AATTGGTGATTGCTGTTGATGGTCGTCTCTTGGAAGAAAACTCGGGCAGAGAGCTGTTACATGAAGCTAATGCGTTGGAGAAGGTTAAAGAGATACATCAAGAGAATCATCTGGGAATTCTGAATACGCTAGACAAGGTTGTCAAGTTCTATGTTCTGAAGGATGCTCGTGATATGGTTACTACGGTGGTCAAGACGTGTGAAACATGTCAGTTTCGAGAAAGGGTCAAGGCGGTAAGGTCCAACCCTGGTGCGATTGTGAAAACTCCAAGACACCCGTTTTTTATGGTGAGTGTCGACGCTGTGGGTCCTTTGAGTGTTACTGCTCGAAATAATCGGTATATTCTTACGGGTATATGTCATCTTACTCGTTATCCGGTTGCTCTTGCTGTTCCCGATATTGATGAAAACACTACAGGAGAATTCTATTTTAGTTTCTGCAAGTTCTTTGGGGTACCTCAATATATTCTCAGTGACCGAGGTGCAAACTTCATTTCTACGTATGTTCATCATTTCCTGAAGAAGTTGGGTTGTAAAAATATCATGACTACTAGCTATCGACCGCAAGCTAATGGTATGTGTGAAAGGTTGAATGGTTCGCTGTGTTCTGTGTTGGCAAAACTGGCTAGTGATCAAGGCAAGATTGATCAGTGGGATTTGTACTTGGATGCTGCTTTGATGGTCTTAAGGTCTACAAAGAATGTTGGTACTGGGTTTTCGCCAAGTTATCTCCTATTTGGTTATGAATTCAGGACTCCTGCTGTTTGGGTTGCGCCTCGTTTAGACTTTGCGGAAGGAGAGGAACAACAAGAACTGGCGGAGCGTATTGAATTGATTCAAGACCAGTTAGTGAAGGTGCGTGAAGAAGCAAGATTGGTGTCTGATGAGCGCAAGAAGATGTCTAAGCGTAGATATGATGCCAAGGTGGTGTTTAGAAGACCTTTTGAGGTTGGTGAAGAAGTGTTGTTGAAGGTGGCTGTTCAAGACTCGAAGTTTGGTGACCGTTGGGAGGGTCCGTACACTGTTTTGTCTGTGAACAGCAAGTCTGGTACTTATCATCTTACTGGGAAGAACAGTTTGCGTTTGAAGCATGCAGTAAATGGTGATCGTTTGAAGTTGTTTCATCGTGAGGCGAAGCATATGGTTCCTGACGTTCTGGTGGCGCAAGCAAATGAACAGTTTCAACGGTGGGTGAACTCAAGAGTAAACGCGTATTCAATGGTGGATACGGCGGTTGAATTTTAAAAGAGAACTCCTTGCTCGGGGGCGGTACGTGTCATGTGTGCATGTTTGTTTTGGTTCGCTTCTTCGTTCTCTTTCGCGGTTTTTCTGGTGATTCTATTATGTTAACAAATCTTCAAATTGGAATGGTGCATGTCTCTGATGTTCCTTAAAGTACATACAAAGTTTGGTGTGATTTGGTCTAGGTCTGATGGTACAATGGTGTTCCAAAGATTTCAGCCAATGGTTCTGTCTTCTGTCAGACCCAATCAGATTCGAGTCAAAACTACTGATCGGTGTGTCAATTGTTGGGTCTGGGTCTCAATTGTTGTACTTTTTTTTGGTTCCTTATTTGTCCTACTTCTTCCGTATTTTGTTTCATGATATGTTGCTGTGATTTAATTGTGTATTTTATTTTGTTTTATTTTGTTTATTGTATTTGACAGTTCATCTCAGTTTGAATCTGTTGAATTTTATAATTTAATTGTATTAATTGTTCTCCTGTTTGACATTTCAAACGTAATTGCTTTTTGGGCAAGTTTGATCTGTTCTAGATTAATGACAAGCAATTGTCTTTGTAGAAATTTATTCTAAAGAAAGTATAAAAGCTTAAAGAACTTTAGAAGGAATAAAAAATATCAAGAAATTAATCTTAAAAATCGAATTTTTTTTATAAATTTTATTTTACATATATCTTCATTGTCTTTTGAAGGAACTGTGCCTAAGGTTATAATCTCTCTATTTGTGTCTATCTCTCTATAATTACAATAGTCTTTACAGTCTTCTGTTGTTAATTATTGGTTTATCTCTTTTATTTGTTGGTCTCGTCGTTCAAGGTAAACACAAAGGGAAAAAGAGGGAGTTGTCATGACAATAAATTTTTGATGTATAATATTACCCTTAAAAATTTTAGAGAAGTCACGTTGAGGATGTATGATTGGCTGCTGAATAGTTTTGCCGGTGAAGAAATGAAGAACTTAGAGGAAGCATTGAAAGACAAGGCAGATTGAATCCTGATTAATTTGCTATTATGAGTAAAATGATTGCTTTTAATGCGTATAGCTTAAAAGTACTGTGATGTTTTGATAATAGAGTTGTATGATAAGATAATGTAGAGACAAAGGTAGAGGGATATCTATTATTTTTTAAACGATTATCTTTAATATAGATATTCATAAATAGAATTGTATATATTTTTATAATTTAAACAAAGTATTATCCTTCTAGGTATTTCATTTAAATATAAATAATATATTTAATCAAGAAAGCAACTGTTCTATTATGCATAAAAGCCAACATTTTCATTTATGCTTTGTTTAAAATAGACTTCTTTTTTATAATAATAAGAGATATCCCTCGTAGATACTTTGAGACTGTTTTGTACAATTTTATTGTTCTTCTTTTTGACTATACATCTTGATCTATTAAAAGACACATTGACTTATTCAGTACAAGAGGTTCTTTTATGTCTATTTCTGATGTAAATTGATTATGATATATTTTAGTATGTAAATGAAGACTTATTTAATGTCAAATCATCAACACTAGCTTAATCCGTTTTTACTAATGAAATGGGGTCGTTTTATTGCTTTCACCCTCTTTTATGGGCATTCTTAGATAATAGTTGATGACTTCTGATTCAGGACTTGCCGTGTTACTCCTTTAGCACTAATAAATTCGATTCTAATTCAAGACTTGGTAACTTTTTGTAGTGTAGATTTCCTTTTTTGCGTCTTCTTGTTTCTGTTTAAGAGTCTGATCAGCACATGCTCAGACAAAGAGAGGACCTGAAGAGGCTCAATTATCCTTATCAAACCAATAATATATTTGTACTGTATATGTCCTCCTTCTTAGTTATTGTCTTTGTGTAATAAAAGCTACGCATGTAAACCACTTGTATAACGACTGTTGCAGTCTTTTATTTTCACTATGAGTTGAACAGAGTATGTCTCACTTGCCAAGTTACAGCTATGTTGTCTTCAATACACTATGATGTCATGTTTTGCTTTCGTATACTTGATGTCTGGTTGTTAGTATTTTTTTTCTTACTCTTTATGCCATTTTTATCAAAACGTGATTGTGACTGTTAGCTATTGACAAAGAGAAAAAAGAATACTTATCAAAGCAGTGTACACCGAGCACCTCAGGCAAAAAGAAAATCGGGGTTTGAAGCACGAGCCCTCCTTTTGCATGACATTCATTGTTTGTCATGTCCAAAGCTATCCTTTTTAACTTTAGAAGCGTCATTTTTTATAGTAGAAACTACTTAAAAGTACTGTTTACATCAAATTGTATATAAGTAAGTACTTATTTGCTAATCAATATCTACCTAAAAGGGCTTTTTTGTACTAATTACAGTGTACAACAAATTTTGAATGCAGATTTAAAGGCAATATTCAAATAAAGCCGACTATTTCATCTTAGTAAACTCGTTTTCTTTTCTTTAGTAGTGTCTAGAGATGGTCTTACCTGATTTCGGTTGGATCAGATTTTCTTTTTATTTAAAATATGTTTTTTAGTTATCACAGAGGGGTGTAATGTGGATAGACTGAAAAAAAAGGAGTGCATAAGTAATCGTTGAGCAAATTAGAAAACGTTTACGAGTAAAGAATGCTGGTGTAGTGAGATCAAAGTTCACTTAGGGTTAAAGGGTTGATTGTCCAATGCGAAAAGCCAGTAAGTGGACCATATTCGCCATTGGCAGACAGATAGAACAGTAAAAAGACGACTGTCAGGCGGCAAAAAAGGAGGACGGGATTCGAGACAGAGTAGGTGGTAAACCATATCAGGTGAAAAATACATCTGTGGATAGAAATAAGTGAGGACTTCAATCCAAATGGTCCATTTCCAAAGACAATAAAGAATGAAATGTTTAAAAGAGTCGATACTTAAAGAACACAGGCAACAGTTACTGTTGGGAACGCGATTGATTTTATATAGCCGTGCTTCTGTAGGTTGGATCAGACCTACATCGAGTTTTTTTTTCTTCACAGACCTCCGTGGATCCCCCATGGGTCAAAAACATAAATTTCACAAAACAGTCAAAACGATAATACCATTCGAATTCTTGGATTGAAAGAACATGTTTTAAATAAAGAAAAAAGAGCCTTATTGATAATGTAGTTGTCGAGTAATGGTCCATCAAAGATTGGTGCATTTAAGCTGTGTCTTGAGCATTTTTGCTCTAGATGACTCATAAAACCTGTCATCTATGGACTTCTAAAAGCTACCGTATGTTTTGAGAGCTTCAAAAACATAAAAAAAATAGAAACATAATTGATTTATAGTGCAAATGTGGGATAAATAGACACACGACATACTGGATGGCTGTGAGCGAAGATTGAAACCAGAAGACAACTCTAATTCTTCGTCCAGCCGCATTCAAAATCGAGCGTTTGCTTAGAACTGTTTAAAAACGCAGTTACTCGGCTTTGGTATAGTGAAAAAAGTTATAGACTTTTGCTTCATGAGTATATTGAAGTAAAGAATACAGCAACCCTAATGCTAAGATTTTGAGAAAATATGAAAAAACATTTATGAGGCTTTCCTATCATATTATACCATTCTTATATTACAATCAGCAAACAAGCAAGCACTTTGATTAAAAAATAGAGTGTCTGGCGGTCATTTTGAGTATTTAAACTTGTTGATAGCTCTATTTTTCGTCTTTCGATGTTAAAAAGAAGATCAGAGGCTGTCAAAACGAGTTTTTTCCATGAGTAGTACTCTTTGGATTAGAGGCCGAAATGACCGTTTTTTACAAGTCGCTTTTTTTTTGTCAAATCGACTCTAGAAGCACCGCGGATAATAGTAAACATTGCCTGTAAGTACTTAGAGTATTTTATGCAGGTATGAACAGGCTTTGTTCTTCGGTAGAAGGACTTTGTAAAGGACTATTTAGTGATATGTTTGCTAAGGAAAAAACTACCAAACTTTACAGTTCAAATTAAGGTCTTCTTTACGCTGTCATAAAAGTTTCAATAGTTTTTTATATGCGTTATTGTTATTATTATCTTTAGTTTAGCCCAAAAAGAAAAGAAAAGATTCTTGTTTGTTCTAAGTCAATTGTCAAAATTTCTTTTTATATATACATCTATTTTGATTTCCATAAAGCTCTAACTTTAGGTGTAACTTTGTAACCAAATGTTTCCATTTCTTCAAGTACCATATGGAAACGAGGGTCTTTTTCGTATGCTAACTTTTGTGCCAAGTTACGGTAGCAAGTTTCAGGTGGAACAATATCATAGCTCTTCATTTCTTCAAGATAGACAAAGGCATCTTCATAATTCTTTTGAGTACAGGCAAGTGCCATCATCTTGGAGTAAGTATCAAGGTTTGGTGTGATTTCTGCCTTCTTCATTTCCTCAATCACAATATGACCCATACCCTTCATACGAGTGTGAATGCATGCGTCAAGAACACAGTTGTATGTGTCAATATTAGGTACGACGCCTAAATTGCTGGCTTCGCGGTAAGTAGCAATAGTACGGTTCAAATCCTTGGCATCAGCACAAGCAGCAATAACGGTGTTGAATGCAGAGATATCGATTGTCTTGTTTTCCTTCTTCATTTCTTCCAACAAGTAATAAGCCTTGTCGATGGCCTCTACATCCTTGTCTAATTTGGAACGGATAGGTAATGTGGCACGCATGGTAGGGGGAATGCCTGACAAGCGCATGATATCCAAAACATTAAAAGCACTCTTCAAGTCGTTCTTTGCAATGAAAGCCTCCATTAAAGGTGTAAAATAGTGTTCTTTGTAAGGGTATCCACTTGTACTCAATTGACGAATAATATCTGTAGCCAATTTGGTGTCACCTACTTTGCCAGCTACACGGAGCACATTCAACAAAGTACCTTCATCAGGGCGTAATGAGTATGTACCAATGGCTTTGTCCCAACAGTATTTGATAACGTCAATCTCATCTTCATCAGCACCAACACGCATCACATCCATGTAAATGCGAGGTTCGCTTTCAACAGGGAATCCTGCTTCTTCTGCCTGCTTCAACATGTCAAATGCAACCTTTGCTTTAGAAAGTTGAAGACATGCAGTGATAATAATTGAATAACATTTCAAACTGGGTTGAATACCAGCAGTCTTCATTTCTTCCAACACGTTCAAGGCATGATTCAACTTTCTAGCGTTACATAGACCCTTCAATAAATGTTGATAAGAAGTTGCTGTCAATTCAAGACCCTTTTCCTTGATTTCTTGCTTTAATGATTCCAATGTTTTGATGTCACCAGCATTAGCAAAGGCCTTTTTTTTAAAGAAATAAGTAACTTCTTTTTTGATTTAGGATCAAATTTACCTCAAGTGTAATATTGTAACTGTCAAGCAAAGGTGTCATGCCATTTTCCTTCATTTCATTCAAGGTGTTCAAAACCGACTTTCTGTCTCTAGCGCGAGAGTAGGCTGTCAAGATAGCACTGTATGTAAGTTGATTGAATTGGAGGTTTTGTGCTTTAATTTCATCAACAATTTTCAAGACATCGTTCAAGTTTTTCTTTGGGTCTCTGTTCTTACGAAGCTGACTAACAAGACGGTAGTTGAAGGCAGAAAGAGGTGCTGTAGGATGGCTCTGTAATACAATTTTTTTAGACACATTGTTTTCCAAAGCTTCAGTTGAGTTGAAACGAACAAACTCTACAAGCGTCAAAAAGTTTAATTTCTCTACAAATTTTTCTTTTCTTCTTTTTTATTATTTACTTGAATTATTGACAGCCCAGTGGCTTCTTGCCTTGATCTCGGAAAACAAAAGTCTGTTCATTCTAGGTAACTGTCAAAAAGATCAAGAAAAGTAAATAGCTAGGGCTGAAATCAAGCTAGGGTGCAAATCAAGAAAAAAAAAAAGCAATTTGTGACAGCGATTTTCATTTGTGGATTATTCTCCTTTTTGCATGTAAATATTGTTTTCTATACAATTAGCTCTGCATAAATACCTTCATTGTTCTTGAATTTAGTTTCAAGTGTTAGTTTACTTTGAACGAATAGAAACTGCCTTTATCTTTATTCTTTTTTCTTTTTCTTCGATTTTGATACGAGGCATTTTTGAATTTCACAATCGGAGTAAGGGTCGGATGTTTAATTGAACAGCATTGTATTGGATGGGCCATAAAATCATCGAGATTGAAACGATATTTAGCTGTCTCTCCGTTTTTTTCCCTCTTTCTTTCTTTTTTTTTTCTATTGTTGTTTATGATATGACGACTTCAACGTATTCTGAGAGAGAGCCGCTTCTATCAGCACCTATTCATAACCAAGCAAGCTCAGGAGGCTCAGTTGTGTCTTACACTATATCGCAGCAAAATTGTTCAAACATTACCCTAAAAGATCGTTCCACAACCAATTCGACTAAAAGAAAATTATGGTTTGCAGTTGGTTTAGCTTGTTGTTTCTTTGCCACCGAGTTGATTGCAGGCTATTTCGCTAATTCTTTAGGTACATTTAATTGAGTATGTTAGAATACTTTTTGCTGACCACACTTCTTTATAGCTTTGATGTCCGACGCGTTCCATTTGTTATCTGATGTAGCCAGTTTCATTGTTGCCCTCGTAGCTATTTATTTGGCTGAAAAGCCCGCAACAAAAAGTAAAAATGAAGCAAGCACTGAACTATTGGTATTGATGGTTTTCTGTAGGACATACATTCGGTTTTCATCGAGCAGAAGTCATTGCTGCGCTTGTCTCTGTATTAACTATTTGGATCCTTACTGCTTTTTTGTTGAATGAAGCAGTTCAGCGTATCAAAAAGCCTCAAGTCATTGATGCTAAGCTTGTAAGTGGATTTGGATTTAAAGAATCAAACTGATTATGTTGAATAGATGTGTATTACTGCTAGTATTGGTGTTGTTGTTAATATCATGTAACTATCCAACAATGTCATACATGTCATTAATCAGTTTCAATTAGTTTGGCTTATGTACTAGGCGGACATCATCATGGACATTCTCATGATGAAGAGGATGATCACCATACACATTCAAATGTTGAGGAATCAAGTCCTCGTACTCCTCATAAGGTAACATTATAGCTTTATTTCCCACCTCCTTTTCTCAAACCATTTAAATAGGAAGCCAATATCAACCTTAGAGCTGCTGCACTTCATGTCCTTGGTGATTTGTTAGCTTCAGTGGGTGTGTTGATTTCATCTATTATTTTGATCTTTAGACCTGATTTGACTATTGTTGATCCTCTATGTACATTCTTGTTTTCTATCTTAGTCTTGTATACCACTTATCATCTCGTAAAAGACTCTTTGGCAGTCTTGATGGAAGGTGTGCCCGGCAATATTCACCCTGACTTGATTGAACAATCCCTTTTGACACTCCCCGGTGTTCTAGCTGTTCATGACTTACATGTATGGACATTATCACCCGGTAAATACTCCTTGACAGCACATATCAAGATTGATCCACAAACAAGCAACCATGATGAAGTGTTATCAAAGGGTCAACATATTGTGTGTGATATTTATGGCGTACATCACTCTACTCTTCAGATTGAAACAGACAATACTGCATTCACAAGTCACTGCAACCCTGAATTATGTGCTCCTAGAACTTAATCATCATCATTATCATCATTTTTATCATTTTCATATTTTGACAGCCTATTTCTATTGGGTAATGATTTAGTGCACTAAAAAAAAAAAGAATTACAATAAAGTGACATCAACCCAAGTTTGCATAAATGATCCGTGTAACCGATAAATGTAATAAAAGGAAAATTTATCTTTTTCATTTTCTTTCTTCTTCTTTAACATATTTGAAATGACTGGAAATCAATTTATTGGTGCTATTGATCAAGGCACTACTTCTACAAGATTTGTGATATTTGACCATGAAGGAAAACTTATTACTTATCATCAAATGGAATTTGAACAACATTACGTGCAGCCTGGGTAAGCAATAATATAATAGTGTACATTCCTTACTTAACTATATTCTAAGATGGGTTGAACATGATCCTTATGATATTTTAGCTTCAGTAGATACTTGCATTGAACATGCTGTTCGTAAGCTATCATTGCTCGGTCATGATGCGTCTAGTATCCAATGTGTTGGCATCACAAGTCAACGTGAAACAACCATAGTTTGGGACAGTGAAACAGGACAACCACTATATCCAGCCATTGTTTGGAGTGACAACCGTACATCACATACAGTACAAGCACTTGCTTCTCAGCCACATTTACCAAAGGATCTACAAGGCACAGAAGCACTCCGATCTATTTGTGGATTGCCTCTTGCTAATTATTTTTCTGCTGTCAAGTTAAGGTGGTTATTGGACAACATACCTGAAGTAAAAGAAGCTTATGAGAACAATCGACTTCAGTTTGGTACAGTGGATACATGGCTGATTTATGTAAGTCAATCAATTTGTTGAAGACTTGTTAATGAACCCCCTTCACCTTTTTTTTAGAACTTAACAGGCGGTGTTGAAAAGGGTGGTGTACTTGTTACTGACGTGACGAATGCAAGTCGTACTATGTTGATGGATATTCATACATTACAATGGAGTGACAAAGCTATCAAGTAAGGTTAAATGGCTTGATAGAAGCAATCTAACTGTATTTAGCTTCTTTGGTTTTCAAGACCTTAGACTAGCCAAAATTGTACCTTCTTCAAGGGTTTATGGTAATTTCACTGGCGGCTCATTACAAGGAATACCAATTAGTGGCTGTTTGGGTGATCAACAAAGTGCTTTGGTAGGACAAAAGTGCTTCCAAATAGGTGAGGCCAAGAATACGTATGGTACAGGTTGCTTTATGCTGTTTAATACGGGCCCTAAACCAGTGTTTTCAAGCAATGGTCTACTGAGCACAGTTGGCTATCAATTTGAAGGTCAAGAACCCACATATGCATTAGAAGGCTCCATAGCAGTTGCTGGTTCTTCTATACAATGGCTCCGTGATAACCTAAGTATCATTCATCAAGCAAACGAAATCAATGAATTGGCAGCCAAGGTGCCAAGTACGGCTGGCGTGTATTTCGTTACTGCCTTTAGTGGTCTCTTTGCTCCTTATTGGCGTGACGATGCTCGTGGAACTATTTGTGGGCTAACACAGTTCACTACGCGAGAGCATATTGCCCGTGCCACATTAGAAGCTGTGTGTTATCAGACAAAGGCTATTCTAGAAGCCATGAACAAAGATGCTGGTCAGCCTTTGCGAGCACTCAAGGTCGATGGCGGTGTCTCGAATTCAGATGTGTGTATGCAGATTCAAGCAGACATTCTGAATATTGAAGTAGAACGACCTCAGATGAGAGAATCAACAGCACTTGGAGCAGCCATTGCGGCAGGTCTAGCAATGGGTGTTTGGAACAACATAGACGATCTAAAGAATGTAAATAACGATGGAAGGACTGTATTCAAGTCTCAAATATCGGATAGAAGACGCAGAAAGCTCTACAATGGCTGGAAAGAAGCCATTACAAGATCATTTGGCTGGGCAGATGTAGTAGCAAATGAAGCAGAAAGTCTAAATGAACATTTATAATAAAATAATTGATGTGTAACAATAATGCAAAAGTCTCAGACAATCAAGCAAATCACGATCGATGGTACCAGTCACGTATTCTGCATATAAACATAAAGAGAGAGATTTTCTACTATTTTTTCTTTTTTTCATCATTTCTTTGTCATGTTTGAATCTATCACACAATGGTTAATACAGGTGGGACCAAAGTTTCCTCCTAATGCTACATGGGACTATGCTTACAAAATAATACACACTGCATTTCATAACCTGACTTCAGCACCAGTCCTCTCTTCTTTTGTCTCAACTTGTTTGAGTCATCCTTCCCAACTGATTGATTTATACAAACAAACAGACCCTCTCGAAACATCAGTCTATGTATCTTCTGGTCTTGCTGTTATTCACTATATACTGTCTGAAATCACAAAGAATTATAGTCAAGTTGGTAAGTTTATTATGTGCTGCGAACGGTATTTCCTAATGCTTTGAATAGACAAGGCATGGTCTATTCTACCTGGTATGTATGCATGGCACTTTACTATTCATGACTACCTTGTTCATGGCTCTTTTCATCCAAGACTCTTGACTGCTTCGATCTTGATTACAATCTGGGGAAGTCGTCTTACTTATAATTTCGCGAGGTAAGTTGTGTGACAAATAAAAGAGTTAGAGAGTAAACACAATACTCTATAGAAAAGGAGGTTACCACTGGACTGGCCAAGATTACCGTTATCCTTATATTCGTGAAAAGATCGGTGCTATTCCCATGGCTCTATTGAACCTTGTGTTCATTGCACCTATGCAAGATTATTTGTTATTGTTAATGGTAACACCATTATATATCACAAACAGCTCTGCTATCCGCTCCCAATGCCTTACTCCAATGGACTGGTTGACTGTATTTACCCATTTGACTTTCTTGACTATTGAAGTTGTTGCTGATGAGCAGCAATACTTTTTCCAGACTGAAAAGCATGCTCTTCTTAAGTATTTAAAGAAGGAGCAATTAAGTGAAGACTATCGATTGGGCTTTTTGTGGCATTCAGGTTTATTCCAATACAGTCGTCATGCCAACTTCTTTGCAGAACAATGTATGTGGTGGACAATTTACTTGTTCTCTGTTTCTGCTGTCCAAGAAGAAAGCGGCTTGACTGGTTTAGACACTTATGTCAACTGGACTGTGTCTGCTCCCATTTTCTTGTCTCTATTGTTTCAAGGAAGTACATGGTTGACAGAAGTAAGTTTCTTTCTTTAGGATAATACAAAGCTAACATGTGATTATAGAAAATCTCTTTGGAAAAGTATCCAGAATATGCAGATTATTGCAAATCAGTCAATCGATTTATCCCATGGTTTCCTTCTAAAACTGTTTCCAGAGACAAGAAAGATCTTTAATATGCTTTCTTTTGTTCTTGTCTATTAATTTTTATTTTTTTTTTTCATATATAAAAAGGAAAATGTATATATAAATATATAAATACGATGAAAATGTAATGGCCTTCTTTTTTTTTTTAATAAAATGCTAAATGTTTCAAGAGAATAGTCTATTTCTTATTCTTGGTAACCTTTCTCTTTGATGCTTCGGGTTGCTTCTTGGTGACTTTTTTAGCTGCTTGCTTTTTTATTTCTTCTTTAGCATCAGAGGCGTTCTTTTTAGCAGGCTGCTTCTTGACTTCTTGCTTGGCGGTAGCAGCCTTAGCAGCGGCTTGCTTCTTTACTGTTTCTTCCTTCTTGACAAGTTCAGCTGTCTTCTTGGTGGGTTCAGCTGTCTTCTTGGTGGACTTGGTTGTCTTCTTGGTCTCTGTGGTTTCTTCCTTCTCTGGTACTGGTTCTTCTTTAGGGAAAGCTGTGTAAACAGGGAGTAATGGTGATGCTTTAGATTTGATACCGATAAGTTGAACTTGTTCCCAATCGTGTGCAGCAATGTTCACAATGTTGGGCAATCCAACTTCATAGTTCTTTAACACATCCTTTTCATCCATACCAAAGTTACCAATAAGAACATGTCTAAAGACATGGTTAGCATGACATGCATTTGTCTTGATTACTTACGTAGTGAGGTTATTGTGTAATTTAACATAAGTAGCCTTCAATGCACTTTCCACCTGCTTCTTCAATGAACCAGTGGCCTTAATAGCAATTGGGTTTCTATACAAATGGTTATTTCAATATTTTGGTGTATGATAATACTTGCTTGTTCTTTTCGAAAAACTTTTTGCCAACAAGATTGGGCATAAGATGGGCAATTCTATCATCAACCAAGAACATATCATATGAATCAGCGAGTTTTCTTCTAGCTTCATAAGCCTTGTATGTAGTAGCGAGTGTCTTGACATTCACAACCTAATCTATGCACTTAGTTTCTATCATAACCATCAACACAATCGAACCTTCTTGATTTCAGTGATAGATTCTTTCTTTAACTTTTCTTCAATAGTCTTTTCTTCATCCTTGGTGATGTAACAAATTTCAATGGTTTCGGCATAAGGAGTGAAAGGCAATGCACTATGTTGTATTTTGCTTAGCACAAGAAAGACGTGTTTTCAAATAACTTACACCTTTTTCTTCTTTAAAGATTCTTTGTTCATAATCTTGTGAGTTCTGATTTCAATGTAGATACCGTTTTCTTCATCGTTGCCGAGCATATCATTGTTTGACTGGGACTTGTTGTACTTGAATAAAGCACTAACAGCTTTTTTGGCCTAACAAAGAGTAAGTTTGTATATCAAAAAGAATATGTTTTATTGTACCTGTTTCAAATCGATGTTTTGAACCATAATGAAGGCTTGAAGAATAAATCAATAGAAAAAAAAGGTTGTACTGTATTTTTTTTTCCTTGACTTGATCAAAAGAATAAGCCACTCAAAGTCACAGTATCGTTACTATGGAGACCTAAACTCCGATTCAGTCCAGCCTTGACTTCTTTAACATGATATTTGAAGATAGAAAGCCAGTATACCTGTTTATACTGGCGTTTCTTCAGCTATTAGGGATTGCTGCTTTTTGCAAAGGCTTCTTCCCTTATAAAGTGTACTTGACTGGGCACGCGACACAGAATGACCTTAGTCATCCAGCTGAGTTTGACAGACTTGTCTTTGTAGTTATCGATGCCCTTAGAAAGTAAGTTAGCAGAGCTTCTTTCTCGTTCCCACAATGATACTATGTCAACCAGTGACTTTATACTAGGAAAAGATTCAGGTTTTGATTTTGTCAATAGGTATGATTATTGCAGCATGATAATAACTAACTTGGAAGCCAAATACAACAAGGTGCAGCGTTTCCCTTTACAGCCAAGGCTACTGCACCCACAGTGACTTTGCCTCGAATCAAGGCATTAACGACAGGCACTATACCTAGCTTTTTGGACGCTATTCTAAATATTGCTGAATCAGATACCACTTCTTCACTCAAGTACCATGATAATTGGGTCTATCAATTAAAGCAGCAGAACAAATCCATTCATTTTTATGGAGATGATACATGGATTCGACTCTTTCCTGATCTGTTTGATAGAATGGATGGTACTACTTCGTTCTATGTATCAGATACAGTTCAAGTGGATTTGAATGTCACTCGACACATTACAGACTTGCAAGACACTGCATGGGATGCAGCCATATTTCATTATTTAGGATTAGATCATATTGGTCATTTGGGTGGCCCTTCAAGTCCACTCATGAAACCAAAGCAAAAAGAGATGGATGCAGCCATTGAGCATATCTATCGCATTGTAAAACAACAAGATATTCAACGAATGCAACAAGATGCCAATGCAAAACATACACTTATTGTTGTATGTGGAGATCATGGCATGAATGAGGTAAGGCCAACATACAAAACTGAATGGAATTTAATCTATTCTAATAGAAAGGAAACCATGGTGGATCTTCTATTGGTGAAACCTCAGCAGTAAGTATTATGAAAGATACATGTCTCGTATTGACACAAGCACAGGCACTAGTGTTTTTGAGTTCAACATTCGAGTCTCTCCCGTCCAAACAACCTCCTTTGATCGATCTTAATAGAGAGCATATATATGGTTTCCCTATCATCGATCAGATTGACCTTGTGCCTACACTGGCCTCTTTGTTTGCATTCCCTGTACCTAAAAACAATCTTGGAAAGATGATACCCGAGCTGTACCAAACTAAACAAGGCAAGTCAAAACAAACCAAGAAATACTAAAGTATCTAAACTATATACAGATTGCTTGTTACAAGGATTAAGATCGAATGCGTTCCAACTAGGACAATTGCTTTCAAAGATGATGCCAGAGATAGCTAGTGTGATTGACCATGCTACGTCAGTTACAAAAGAATCCCCTGTTTATCATTATTCAGAAGCAATTCGGTTTCATTTGAATTATGTTGAATCAAAGTATCAAGAAGACGGGAAGAAGGCGATGGAATTCTACTACAAGGTAAGGTTGAATCGAGAAACTGAACAAACAAAGCCGGAAATGATACAAATTTAGAAAAATCGTTATTTTTGTAGTTTATACACACTGCACAATCCTATTTAGTCAATACTGCGAGCGATTATAGTCTCAAGTTGATGTTACTCGGTGTATCTTTAATATTCTTTGTTACTATTTGTTTTATCTATTGGTTAGGCATCAAAACAACAACAACAACAGATGTCTGGAACAAATCCAAGTATTTCTCTGTCTTTGCAGTGGTTATTTATTCTGCAAGTATGTTTGCCAGTAGTTTCGTGGAAGAAGAGCATACAACTTGGTATTATTTGACGCAAACAATTGTTTTATTGACCATGGTACAAAGGTACATGAAGTTGAATATAACCCATATCTAACACTTTGTACAACATTGCGAAAAAAAAGTTCATATGAATCGAATGCATATCCATTAGGACTTGGCCTACTAATTTTGATGCGATTTTGTATTGCTTGGTGCCATGGTGATCTTTCAAACAAATTGCTTTCTTATTCAAATGACGTACAATGGCATTTACTTGCACTCACATTAGCAGGCACGCTAATGACAGCTATCAGAGCTGTTTACAGGTTTAGACAAAAACAGAATATTGACGTCAATCAGACGGCAAATATCATTCAAACGATCATCAAGGCAGCTTTTGTTTTGACTATAACAATCAATTCGATATTAGTACTTGTTTACAAGATGAGGCTTGCTGATATTGACACTATACCCTTTATGTATCAAGGCCTTTTAAATTGGGAGCTAGTAACATTACTGGATCAGGTGCAATTAGGAAGGCTCATTTACAACTATCAAGGAGCTTCTTTCTTTGTTTTATGGGGATTATTCTATGTCACTAAACGAGCGTCACTTATGTCATTAGAAGAACCCTCAGGTAAATAAGAATCAGGCTTGAAACAGATCTAACCTTTTTTCTTCTGTTTTTATAGAAAATAAGACTAGAGAGACATTGGTTTTGTTCTTGTATTCCCTAACCCCTTTCTTGGTGCTCCTGAGTGGAATTAAGAATGCAATTTTGTTCTTAATTTTTCATTTGCAATTTCTATTTTTGCAAAAATGGCAACTCACCGAAGCTATTCCTGTTTGGCTTCTTAGTGTGATTTCTGTCTTTATGAGCCATTGCGGTTTCTTTTTGACAGGACATACAAACTCGATTGCTTCTGTTGACTTGAGCCATGCTTATATTGGTGTAAATGAATACGATACGCTGTTGATTGGATTTCTCACATTTTGCTCTAATTGGTCTGGTAGTCTTTGGTGGGCTGCTGCAGGATGGGCGATGATAGGCGAGAAAGAAGACTGGTACCATCATCTTGTGATACAGTCTACTATTTTTAGTTTGGTCTTGTCATGCCTATCGATTTCAGTAACCGTGCTTAGAGAGCATTTGTTTATTTGGACTGTATTCTCTCCAAAATATTTGTATCAAACTGCATGGACATGCATGTTCCATTGGTTTGTCCAGGTCATTGTTGGCACTGTGCTAACTCAATGTATATTTAAATGGAATGTTCAACAGTCAGAAGAAGAAATAGAAGAAGTACAAGATTAATAATGCATCTTCTAACTGTTTTTATCCGAAAAATAACTCCTGAATAAAACTTTCTTTTTAATATATACATGTCATTACGTCTGTTTATGAAACAAAATCTGGTTAAGCTAATAAAAGATGAAAATGAAATCACAGATCCAAGTGTAAACAAACAAATCATGTTCCGAGAATGATTTACATTATGAGAAAAAGCGATGAGTGACAGTTTAAGCACTTGTATGCATAGGAAACAGTTCTCGCTTTATGTATTCAAGATCATAGTACCAACCATTATTGGGGAATAGAGAAAGATTGACTTTATGAGTAACAACCGTTTATATTCAATGCTTTGTTTAGCTACAACAGAAGAAAAGAGGATTAGGTTGAAGACAAAGAAAACAGATCAAGAGGCACTAAGAATAAATAAAGTAAATATTCTGAAAGAAAAAAAAAATTACAAACAATGTTTCGTTTTTGTAAGGCATGGTATTGAATGGTTGCTATAGCTAAAGAATTCTATGTGTAAAAAAGTCTTTAAGACGACTTATCTTCTAACTCGAAATGAGCCCTGCATAAGGCTAATAACTCGACTTCCAGTTAAGTCAGTTTTGGTAATTTGATTTATTAGATTTAGAGCGATTGTTCCATCCTTTTGGGTAGCGCTACAAAAAAAAAAAAAAAAAAAAAAAAAAAAAAAAAAACGAGACTTTGTTGTGAAGCCGAAAGAGAAAACATTATGAGAATTACTTGTATCAGTAAACAAAGCAAAATGACGCAGAGTTTACACAAAATAAGCGTGAAAAATGAAAAGAACAATGTCTTTTTTAAGAAAGAATATAACTTTATTTAAACAATGAAGAGAAAGAGTAAGAACTATACATATTTTTTTAGAGGACGTACAAGTGTAGATGCGTAATGAAAAGAAAAAAAAGAGAGAGAAAATGAAATGATTGACATTATAGAACAAATGAAGTAATAACAAAGAAAAATTTACAGTAGCATAGAAGAAGAGAGATATAGAGTTGTGTATGTGTATATGTGTGCCATGAGCATCAAATGTGTTCTAACTTAACTTTCTTATGCTTTTGTCGTTTTATTCTGTCTGCACCATTTTGACACTTGGGTTCAGTACGGAAATGGCGAATACGGGCATCCGAACGAGCAAAACCTTTAGAGCAGCAAGGGCAAATGTAAGGTTTTGCACCTGTATGAATTCGGCTATGTCGGGTGACATCGTATCGACGAGCAAATGAACGGCTGCAATATTTACAACTATAGCTTTTTCCAATTGCTTTAGAATCTTGTTCATTTCGGGATGTATGGGTGGAGAATATTAAAAGTGGGGATAGCAATAGTTGTTTGTCCTTTGATTCTCTTGCTCCCTTGACAACTTGACTGTCTGCATAAATGTCTTCAAAAACACCCAAATCTAATAAGACAGATCCAGGTTGTGGTGATAGTGAAGGAGTGGAAGATGAAACAGAGGAAGCAGAAGGGGTAGGAAAGTAACTAGTCATCGCTGAGTCAGTAAAAGCAAATGGTTGTGTCAATAAAGAAGGTTCAGGAAAACAAGGTATGTTGTATTCGATTGGACTAGACAAAGTTGCTATTTGAGCCGATAAGTTCTCCGGGAAACAACCTTGATTAAAAAGACTTGTACTGTCATATATATAGCAGCTTGTATTGTAAGCATCATTTGATGGTAAAATGTATTCCCCTGGAAACATTTGGGCATCCAAGGACATGAATGGCTGGTAAGACATAGTGCAGTAATAGTCGTTCATACAGTTTCTTTTTTCTTTTTAGAATGAGAGATAGAGAGAAAAAAAAGTGGTCAAATATAGAAGAGAAGAAATACAGAGAAGAAGAAGAAAAAAGAAAAAAAGAGAAATAGAATTCGAAATCAATTTATAGAAACGTTTCTCGAAATGTAATTATATTTATGGTGGCATATAAACCTAAAGTAGACAATTTCAAAGAAGGCAAGTTAATTAATGGAAAGGCGGAAGCAATATAGTTTTCTATTATTATTGTTGTTATTATCCTTTTTAAACAAAAATCCTTGTGAAGCATAATCGATTCTCTGCGTAACAGTGTAACAGACAGTCAACCACATGATTTTCATTCTGGATTTCGTTCTATCATTGTTCTTGATTTTAGTCTATGAGCCTTGTCCTACAAATAGGTCTTGCCTCTATTCATCTTCAAGCCAATCATGGTTGTCGATCTACAAGCGCCATCTGCGGGTCTTATAGGTGTTGGAATGTCTCCTGAATTTGCTGTGGCAAACTTTATGCGTGTTTTTATTCAAACTAGACGATCGATTGCAAAGAAATTCTAGTACCTGTTGCCGAGTTTTTTACCTTCATCGCGTGTTAGCATGTTGGATACACTTGCACGTTCTTCTTCGGCTATGTCCTGGAAAAGTGGCTGTCAAGTAAATTCAAAATGTACTGCTTCGACCAAGTTACTAGTTTAGTAAAAGGCTTTTTTTTTGTATTATCACAGATAACCGTGTTTTATGTAATAAAAGCAACCTTAATTGAAATGGCACCACAAACAAAAAAAAAAAAAATTATGTGTTTAGGTATACAAGCTCAAAAAAAACAACTTTTTACTTCTTTTGAATAATTTCAGTTTTATTGAGATGATGTCAAAGTACCAAAAAGAAAGTGAGATTTTTCTTTAAAAGGTAAATAAAAAAAAACTCAACCTAACTGTCGTTACTATGGATCATGGTGTCAAATACGGATTAAAGTTTTATGAAAACATAACCTTAATCAAGTCAAAATATACCTTTTTTATTCGTGAAAGTCTTATACTCGCATATATACAGTGAATGTTAATAAGCTTAGTAAAAAAGAAAAAAAAAACTTGGCGCAGTACGACACAAACAATATATTTTGATTGCACTTATTCGTATATGCATGAGTCGGACGATGGTATACTAAGTTCTCATTTTTTCTTGGGTTTGTTTTGTTTAATGTATATTGGATGGAAAACAAAAGAAAAAGCATTTTATTTCTCAATGTTTCACTATTTGACAAGTCTACATGTTGTATTGAATGCTTTATATAGACAGGTCAAGCTATCTTCTCTCTTGTGACTCGAAACACAATTTTTTAATGAAGTTTGTGGCTCTAGGCTTTTATCAGATTTAACCGGTAATATGCATTAATTCACGGAATTATCTAAATCGGATTTCTTTCTAGAACTCGTAATTAGTGCTACACGGTGAGAAACGTCGCTTTTTTCTTCTTTAATCATTCGATTTTTTTATTATTTTAGATATTGGATAATATTTCAATGATTCGTTAAATATTATACATTTGTTTTTTTTAGAAGAAAGCAAAATACTTAGTCCCAGCCAAAATAGAACCCAATCACATTCTCACTTAAATTGACGCCAAATAGAGTAAATAGAATAAACATGATAACAAACCCAACGATGGGATATAACAACATCTCGGTGTGAACCAAGAAAGGCATCACTATTTTTATCATGAGTAAGTATTGAAATGATAAGCACTTACCGTTAAATCCAAGAAATGTTCCATAGCAATACCAAGTCGCAGAAATCAAGTATAAGATGTTACTGACAATAATAGATGCCCAGTTGTGACGAATCAGTAGGTTTAAGAAGAAAAACTGTATAACATATAGGACCAGAAACAAGGGAAAAAACGAGTTACAGTGAACATCAAATGCATAAGCCCATTCAACTCTTTGATCTGCTGTCTGTATATTGTTATTTTGACAAAGAAATCGATTGCCAATAAACCAAGTAAAAGTAGCTACAAAGGATCCTACAAGGACAAAGTCTACAATGACCATGAACAGCATGGCTCGCAGAATGCCAATCATGCCCAGCCCAAAGACTAAGCCCCATGCAATCGCTGATACTAATCATTGTTTAGAATTTTCCATGTCTTTTTAATTTATCTCTTACTGCATAATAAGCAGGCTAATAACACAAGAAAGGCTGGATCGTCTCTTGCCCATTGATTTTTAGTTTCTGTAAGACATAGTTAGAAAGGAACAGAAGGTCATATGCCAACATGTTTATGCTTATTTACGCTTATGATAATAAATGTTTCGGTATCTAATCAATGTGTGTTATTCCTACAAGAGCATAGTATAAATAAAATAATTACTTACACTCTTCTCGATGCAATAAGCAAATAAGCCATCTGCCATAGTGCAAACTAAAGACTCGTTTTATTTACTCTTTAGTCGATCTAGGACAGGTGTAGTTCTTACTTCAAAGTCCATTTGAGGAAAACGCACTAAGCGTGTTAGAATAAGAGGGATAGAAGAAGACCTTCTAAATCGACGTGTTTGTATACTATAATCGTTGTTTTTATTTGAAGTTGTAGGTAATAGTTCCATTGTATATATGTATATAAATATATGCAAAAGAAAAAAAAGCTAGAGAGAGGGGGTCAAAAGAATTAGGGCGGTCCTGAGCTGAGCTTTAATAATTTTGCTGTTGACCTCGAAGGTAAGCCAATTGGATCATAGAGTCCTCAATGCCAAAGTTTGGATGATGGAAATAAAAAGGAACAGAGAGACCAGCATACTTGGGAGTCATGAAGGTGGAAATGGGAGGTAACTTGAACTTTCCTTTTTGACGTTGAGCTGGTGATAAGCTGTCTTCCTTAGCATCATTGGTATCATTATTACTACATTCACCACCATTGACTACTTGTTCATAATTCAACAGAACAGGATGAGAAACAAAAGACTGTTGCTGATGTTTCAAGTTTGAGTTTCTCTTTGGGATTGAGTTATTGTTGTTAACAATATGATTGATACTAGAGGCGGCTAAAGAGTCAGCTTGTTGTTGCTTCAAATGCAATCTCTCTATCCGTTCAAATAAGCAATCATGATCAAACCAGCACAAATAAAGACTCACCAAACTCCTTTTGCTTTATAAGCTTCTTTATTTTGTTGTCCTTTGCTCTTCTATTCTGAAACCTATTGATTCTGTTAACCTTTCTACTTATTACATATTTCTAGATGCTTACCAGAAGTGAACATTTCTAACACCCATTTTAACTGCCTCTGCTATTTCTTGTTTTTGCTCTTGATTTGGATTGGGATTTTGCTTATAATAGCTTTCTAAAATAGCAGTTTCTTCACGAGAAGTTCTCATTCTTCTCTTTGCCTTGGTACTAAGCGTCAAGTTAGTAGTAGGAATGGGCGTAAAGAATTGCTTTGTTTCCATTTTATTTAATATAAAAAAGGGAAAGAAGCGATCAATTGTTGTTGTCAATCTTATTTATGCATTGATGTATTGGACTGATATGTTACAAGTGACTTTTTTTAATTTAAAGCACGCAAAGGAAAAAAAGGTGATAAATATGAATTCCTTGGCTTTTTCTTTTACTTTATCTTTTTTCTTCTCTTAGTCGTTATAAAGTAAAAGAAAATGGGTACAGCAGATAGTAAATTAGCATTTAGAAAGAGCGTCTTTCGACTCTACGAAGAAAAGGTTATATCTGACAACAGGATTCAAATAACTGATAAATTGTTTAGAACATTGCAGTAACTGAAAATGAATTTTGGGAATTGGTAAACCATCAATGCATCGATTTGATTTTATATCTAACATATTTGCAGTTTTGGACTTTGCCTGATTCTGCTGATGATGTATTCTCACTTATCGGAGCAAATGACATCAGACGCACGCGAGATACAGCCCGAGAAAACATTGAAATACTGATTGATAAAGTAATTAAAAAAAAATATGGACAAGATCAATAGAGATTGATACTGTTTGCACCATAGATCTTGGAGAAAATGCAGAGTATTCTCAAGGCACAGAACTTTCCTTCTGGGCAGCATTCTATTAACCACCTCTTAAACTGTTGTCGCGTTATGACGCGCCTTATGCCATTTATCTTTGAAAGCTCAGAATGTATGGAATGGGAAGAGACGTTTTTTTGGACACCAAGACAGGTAGAAAGGCCCAAGAAAAATCCTGACGATAAACCCGAGTATGATATTCTACCTTGTCGTGGTGAACTTGTTTTAGACTGTAGGTGTATATCATGTGTTTCTTTGTGTACTCATTTCATGTATACAGTAACCATTCAGGCGTTATTTTTAGCTGGTTTTACGATCCCGATTACATTAGCCACAAAGGAATCAAAAGTAAACTATGTGATATGGGAAAACGGTGTTGGCTCCACTATACCTATGAGCACCTATAAAGATAATGAAGCTAATCGCACGGAAGTATTGCGTCTGCTTGTCGTGTTGCTCTCTAAATCCATGTACGTTTTGCCTTCTCAGATTTTACTTAAGGAGGATTTGTGGCTTCGATATGTGGCTGTCAAGACGGACCGTAAAACTGTACTGGTAATTTTGTGTAGCTTATTGAACACTGTATGCAACTATGACCCTACAGGTTGGGTTCCTTATAACCATGTCGTGAGTGCCGGCCCTCGAGAACAACTAGTCACTTTTTGTCTAACTACACTCCTTATCTTATTGGACTATCGATCTCTTCAACAAGCTGAATTAGTACGCCAACATGATCAGCACCAGCCTAATCCAAGTGCGTCTGTGGGAGAAGAGTTAGCTGCCAATGTAGAAGTATTGACATTAGAAAGTCCAGATGCTGTACCTAAAACTAGCATGGAACTAGAAGTCTTTACGCCTGGAGACCATCAGCAGAGTAAAGCAGAAGAAAATGCTTTCCGATACTATACGTCTAAATTACACCGCAAACAAGACTTTGAATTCTTGATGAACGGTATCTATCGTCTGATGAGTAACCCAATGACAGCTGCTAATACCTATTTACCTGGCTCAACAAAGCGTGTTGGTTGCTTTATTGATGTGATGATGTTATGCTGGAGATTGATTGAGACAAATCCGGTAAGTATTGTATTTTAATCTTGAAAGGGTTTGCATTAAACAATGAGAAAATATAGAGATTCATCCATTATCTTGTTGAGACAGATAGTGGATTAGATTTGACAGTGGCCTTAGTCTTTTACGCAATTGACAACAAGGACAAAATCAGTAAGTAAACCTAAAAAAGAAAGAAGAAAAGTTATACTCATGCTTTTTCATAGCACAAATTGGTTTAGTTCGTATGTGTACATTTATTCTTCAGACATTATCTTCCAACAAGGAATACTGTCTCAAATTGAACAAGACTTTCACAACACATTCTTCGCTTCCTGCTGTCATTCGTCTCTATGCATTCAATGGTACCTATGCTGATTTTTTGATTATAGTAAGCATAAAGCAAAGCAAGGAAAATCAAACACTTATCATAATACACAGTCTATTTTCTCCCTCATCGCAACAACGCAAGGCAGATTATCAGCTCTTTATCCTGCACTCATGTTGACAGTTTCTAATATTTCTCCTTACTTGACTGATCTCGGTGTTACAACATCTTCCAAATTGATGGCCATGTTCCATTCTATGTCTTCCCCGACGTTCTTGTTAGCTGATGAACACAATCCTCAATTGACATGTTACTTGTTAGAGACGCTAAACAACATTATTCATTATCAGTACTCGAAGAACCCCAATTTGATATATGCTATTGTATTACATCATGACTATTTTGAAAAACAAAGCAAGATGACATTTAATGATGCAGTAGCAGAAATGGAGAAAGTGAGATTATGGAGAGAAAAGAAATCTCAAGAAATAGAAAGAAGACCATCTACTCAACAAAAAGAGCCAGAGACAACAAGCGAAGAGACAGAAACAAAAATTAAACAAGATGAGCCCGTGCATGAGGATAAGGAACAAGAGTCAAAAGAAAAACCAACATATGCTTCTGTTGTGGCATCCAGCCTTCATAATGAGCCTTCTTCTTCTTCTTCTCAGCCTATGCCAGAAAATGATCAAACATCCAGATGTGAAAGCCTTTCAGTTCTTCCAAATCGACAAGGGTTTGTACCAAATGAAGCCTGGTTTGATTATTGGAAATCGAAACTACCTCTTTCTACCATTTTGGCATTAATAGGCCATTTAGTCCCCAAAATGGAAGAGAAATCAAGCGAGCAAGGTATATCGTTAGAAGATTTGATGGAATTTTTAAAGAGTGTGCATGTGGAATTACCAGAAGAAGAAAAAGACATCTATATTCGCAAATTTCAATGGGGAGAAGCACTTGTCATTTGGTTCCGTAGTATGTTATGGGGTCAAAACTATGTGAGCACGATGAGAGAATATGGTCCTTGGAATGGTACTCAAGTAAAATTGTTCCAAATTAAAGCAGAACAATAAAAGCCTTATGATAAACAAGCATTTGACATTCAACATTTTCGTAATTCGTTACAGGGTTGAATGCCATTATTATTATCATGAAAAACAAATAAATAAGTAAAGAGTATAAGATGTGATTAAGGGAATTATTCTCTCCAAGTGTACTTGAGGTTGGCAGGCTTTTCGGGTACAACAACCATAGAAGTATAATCAGGCTTGGGAACTTCTTTACCTTCTAATTCAAAATCAAAAAGACGAAGCAAAGTGGCAACGATAGTCTTAATTTGAAGATAACCAAATTGTTCACCAATACAACGATGACGACCAGCACCAAAAGGCAAGAAGGGGTTCTTGGAAGAAATACCAACAGCACCAAAACCGTAGTCAACATTGGCATCATCGCCAGCTTCCATTTGATGAACAGGATCGTCTAAGTCGACCCAACGCATAGGATTGTATTTAAGAGGTTCGTTAAAGTAAGTTTCATCTGTTTGAGTGACACCAGGAACAGCACACAAAAAGTTGTCCTTGGGGATTTCATGACCGGTCTTTTCAAAAGTGACCTTATCAGCAATTACTTTTCTCATCATTTGGAAAATAGGAGGGTGGAGACGAAGGGTTTCCTTGACACAGTTTTCCAATAAAGTCAATTCCTTAAGGTTTTCAAAGGTCAAGTCAGCCTTAAGAGAACCTAATTTAGTGATTTGTTCTTCACGCAAAGCACGGACAAGATCAGGACGAGCAGCTAATTCAAGCATGGTCCAGGCAGTAGTGGTGGCAGAAGTATGTTGACCACCGAAAAGAACAGCAATCATCATACCAGCAATATGCTTATCGGGAACAGGTGAGCCATCCTTGTAGTTGGCATCCATCAAAGCTTGAAGCAAATCAGCATTTGACTATACAATCGCACATTAAATCAACTGATTTATCATGTTGTGAAAGAACTTACGTTATCACCTTCAGCCTTTCTACGTTGAATGATGCTAGAGTAAAGATCAGCCATTTTCTTACAAGCTTCATCACGTCTGCGGTAAGAAGGTAAAGGCAAGTTGGGGAAGATGAAGTTGATGGGCTGGAAACCTTGATCCAAATCATAATACAACTTTGAAACATTGCCATCCAAATTGGCACGAATTTCTTTACCCATCAAACAGCGAGAAGCCGTACAAATAATCAAAGAACCAAACGTGTGATAGGCGTCAAATTTGCCTTGGGGCTTTTGATAATCTTTGAAGAACTCAGTCACTTCTTCAACAATCATAGGCACATGTTGACGGAAACATTCTGAGTTCAAACCAGCCTTAATAAATCTATCGTGTCATATACAATAAGTAAAAAGAAAGAGTGTTTCTCTTCTGTACCTTTTTTGTTCTAAAAAGACACTATGAGGAGCATCATAAACAACTTCAGGACCAAAGACATATTTGGTCATATGGTTGTAAGCTTCAGCAGCAGAAGACAAGTTCTGTTTAGAGTTGAAAACGAACTGATTACCATCTGCGCCCAAAAGAACGGTTACTTTTCTACCAACCATATGGAAGGTAAAGACATCACCATACTTCTTTTGAGAGTCCTTTAAAAATTTGATAGGATTTCTTTTATACGCGTCAATCTCTCTGTTATATACACATATATACTTACACGCCAAACTCAATAGCATTTCCCATAAAAGGAATCCAAGAGAATACAACAGGTGGTTGCTTAGGGTCTTTGGGGCCGAACTAATAGACAAGAGGGATGAGATCCTGTATGTAAAATTTTTTTTCTTTACCCATTGATTCAAAATGTTGAGAATAATGTAGACACCTAGGGCAAGGAATGCATAGACAAGCAAGTTGCTAGGGGAAGGAATTGCGTTCACCAAAGTCGATACAACAGCCATGAGTTGAAGAAAACAGAAAGAGATGATGAGGTGCAAAAGAAAGAATGGGCGAGTGTATATATATATTGCTTTATAGTCACTTTGTGTAACCACTTAGGAGCGGGTATAGCGGGTGGTGTTGCAGAAAAAAATTAAAATGACATATAGTCTTGTTTTTGTAAGGAATGAAGTCCTTAATCGACTCTTTCAGGTACAAATGGTATCATAGACTCTAGAATTCTCTTATTCGATTTCAAGTGCTTCAAACACCGGTAAGCATAGCTAATGTACAAACAAAATCCTTTCAGTATTAGGCTTATAAAGGAAAAAATACATCTAGACTAGGCACTATACCCATATCTTTGGCTTCTTTGTGTTACAGAGATCTCTTTTTTGAAATCATTATGGTGTTATTGTCTCTACCAAAATAGACGCTTCTTATAACAATAATGTGTAGCACAAAATGGCTATGTCATATTGGAGAATACACCGGATAAGCTTATTTCACAACAGCATTATGAAGTATGTATGCTACAATCAAACAAAAAAGCGCATTTCGAGTCTTTATTCGAAACTTCGATAGTGTGTCATGCTATTACCTATAGCTTTCTACTTATCATGTTGATGCTTCTTGATGATCTAATCTTTTTTTCGTTTTCAAATGTCGTAGTTTAAAGTTTTTTTTTTGGGTGTGAGAGAGCGACATTAACACTTCAAAAGGCAACTATGAATGGCAAAAAAGTCCAACTTTCCTTTCATGGCTTTTAAATGCAAGATAAAGTTGAGATACTCTTGATTTCAGGGTTTTTCCTAATGCGAATATTTAAATTTGTATTTCAAGTGAAGTCATTGTTTAAGTTGCTTTTTAGCTTAGTGCTTTTATTCAATGAAGAAAAAAAAAGGAAAGAGAGTACAGTTCGACGTATTACATGAAGAAAGCGCTGGTGCATTTAGCACAATAATTCAACCAAAGAAACAGGAAAAAATTAGCCTTTTAATGGCAACAACTGAAGCTTTTCAACACAAGTCTTGAACAGCGTAAAAGAAGACATGAATCGCAGATGTATTTGTAACGAAAAAATGGCTATAACAACAGAAATATACGAAAAAAAAAGCAATGCGCAAAAAAGCGAATTTTTAATGCATTTTTTTCTGTAGTGTGTCACTTTACACCTAGAATACATAATCTATAGTAAAGCACGTGATCTTTATAACAAGCCTTGTAGTACACTAAACTTCATTCTAAAAAAAATTAGGTGGTAGCGAAAATAACTCAGAGTTAAACTTTCCAACGATGAAGCACATGCGCAAATTCTTCAATGCTAACTTGGTCTAACGTGATACTATGTGCTCCTTTAATATGCATCCTTTTCACTCTCTTTCTCCCTCTTTTTATAAATAGGCATTTCAATACACTAAAATCCAACTTCTTTTTTTTTTCTCCCTTTGCTTTTTTTTAAACAAAAAGAAATGAAGTTCATTGCCATAGCTTATCTTTTCATGGCAATGTTAGTTCCTTATGTCTATGGTGTAGGCATGGCCATCGCGTGTGGTTTTATTGAAAAAGATGCAGATGGACTCTGTCATTTTGGATGTTCCAGTGGTGGTTGTTATCAAAAGACCGCTTCTCTGAATCGAGATGACTTTTATAACGCATTAGTTAATTCGGGATTTGAGCAATGTACAAAGCAAGGCGTGAATGAAATCAGCTGCCTAGAAAGACCCAGTTCAGATGGTTGCGAAAAGCGTAGATGGCGATGTTATTTACCTGAATAAAAGTGGCGAGTAATCAATACAGATAGGGGCTGTTTGTGCAACACAGTTGTTTTTGAAATGTGCCTGAAAATATTCTTTTGTTTCCTTAGCCTTATCATGTGATTTATGTTTGTTATTGTGTACTTGGAACCCTGTAGAAAGTTTCATGTCTTGTAACAAAAATAATGTGATTTATTATTCTTCTATATAATTATATGGGATAAAATATGTATTATAAAATATGAGAGGAGGGGAATAAATATAAGATAAAATATATGACTTTTTTTTTTGTATAAAATGAAATGAATGAATGCATGATGTATACAAAAAAAAAAAAAAAAATAGAAAATAGAAAAAAAAAGGGGAGGAAGAGAGAAATGAAGGAAAGAGATGAAAATGATGCATGCTTTTTTTGTGGATTTTTTTTTCTTTTTTTTTTATGAAAAAATACAATGAATAAATGAAGAAAATAAAATACACTGATATACAAACATTTACATTTTAGTGTTGCTGAAGCAAAGCATCAGTTGGTGTCATAGTGGGACTTTCATCGGAATAGTACAAAGGTAAATCGTCCAGTCTGATCATGGGGCTATTGGTAGCTGTTGTTACTCCACTTTGAGCAGGCGTAATCAAAAAATCAGTAGTGGGTGATGCCAAGCATGATGAGGCACAATAGTAATAATAGTTTTGTGGATCCAAGTAAAAGTCATCTGTTACAAAGGGTTGATAAATCAAGTCTTCAATAGGGTCTACAGCAGGTGAAGGTGGTGCTGAATATTGGTTCCAATCGATCTTTCGTTGCCAGTCATCATCCAAATCAGTTTGACAATCGCCCTTTTGAGGCAATAGTTCTTCGACAATCATCATATTGGTATCTATGGGTGGTGGATAGAACAACTCATTCTGTTCAAGCTTGATGGTAGGTAGTTTAGCTGCATCAAAAAGGGGTGAAGAATGGCAGGAAGAAGTAGTTGAAGAAGCAGAATTTGATAATGTGGGTTCAGTTGTAAACAATTCGTTAGGCTTGATGTCTAACTGTAATAAGTCCATATCTTCGTCTTCGTCTTGCTCTTTATCATCATATTTGACTTGTTGAACTCGGCGCAACGATGTTCTTCGTGTATTGAACATTTGATGATGATGTAGTGAGGTATTTCTTGTTGTTACACTGCGGCTATTGTTGATGGAGGTACGAGAATAAGCTTTTGTAAGACCTATGATATTGTATCACGATAGTTAGGAACTAAAAGCAAGATTGAATCTAACTTGATTTGAACATCAACCATCATCTTTACCTTTGTCAATATCACGGCGACGACGTTGAGTTTGATCTGCTTGTTGAGGTCTTGCTCTTTCATGTGTTTTCTTGTGTTGTGCCAGGTTATCCGATCTTGAAAATCTTTTGCCGCACAAGTCACACAAGTAAGGTCTCTCCAAGGTATGGGTCCTTAAATGGCGCTTCATATGTTCTAAACGCTTAAAGATTTTACCACAAGAAGGGAGAGGGCAATCAAAATGGCGAGTGGATTCTTCTTCGGATTTTGGCTTGTAATCATCATATTGAGATCCCGAAATAAGTGAGGCTGAAGTGGTGGATGATCTCTTTTTAGTAGCTGTTGTTACTGATGGTGTTGCAGTTGTTGTTATTGTTGTTGTTGTTGTTTGGTTGGCGCGTCTCTTGCGTTGTTTATATGTAGGCGAACCTTCGAATAAAGAAAACTGACCAAAGATAGTGCAAGATGCTTTCTGAATATCTGTATTGTCATTTGGACTGTCGCTCACATGTTCATCGATGGGTGACGTAGATTCTTCGTTGATGTCTGATTCATCTTGTTGTTGCTGTTGTTGTTGTTGTTGTTGTTGATAAAATGAGTCCAAATTAAGTTCGCACAACATGGCCTTACGAAACTCGTCAAACATTGCTTGTGTAGTGTCCAAAGAGATAGCAATGGCAGGATGAGCAACAGCAGTAGAAGTAGGTTCAACACCCATTTTTTCCCTTTTCAGATCACGCTCAAGAGCATCCAAAAAAAGCCGATCATGAGGGACAGAAAACCAATAGAACACTTTTTGCTTCTTTTGTGTCCGAATACAGTTATTTCTGAACAAGAGATCAAGGAAAGGAGACTTGGGTTCTTCCAGAATAGCATCTGTACCAGGCTTTAGGTTTCTCAAGTCACTGAAAATGCCTTCTTCGAATTTTTTGACATTTTCGACTGGTCTCCCAAATGCTAAGAAACGAAATACGAGACAACGGACAATGTCTGTACCTGAAATAAAAAAGGAATCGTTCCATCTTACACAAGAAACGATTTCGCCATTGGGCAAATGATGTTGATTGATTGCTTCATTTTGACCATTTGGTGCAGTTACTAAAAATGATTTAAGTTGGTCAATCATTTCCAGTCTAGTCTGAACATTGTCTTGACTTGGTATGATATTGTTCATATATATATATATATTATATGGTGGTATAGATGTATTTATATACAATGAAATAAGAGAAGAAAAAAGATATAGAAGATAAAGAGAGAAGAAAGAAAAAGAAGAAGAGAAAAAAGTGGTTTAAATACTTTATTGTTTGTTTAATTAGTCACGGGCTTACATTCATTAAAGAAAAGGCTTTCCGAATATTTCAAACATAAAAAAATGGGGTTGTAGTACAGTATCAGATTTTGTGGCCAATCGTCTTTCCTTAAAAGAGATGATTTTAAACAAGTTAATTTTCTTTTTACTATTCTTTTTTCTTTTTTACTACCCTTATGCATAAGTTTTTATTTATTTTTATTATCCTTTATTATTCAATCATGGCTAGTGCTCAAGATGATGTACATCTATTGTATGAGCTTAATGCCCCCGACTACAAAAAAGCCTCGGTACAATCCTTGTTTGACAAAATAGCACCAGATCCATCTTTGTCCACTTTTTTAGATGTCTTAACGGGGGTAGAAGATATTTTCCAGTTGATTAATGCTACTCACAAGCAAGAACTAACCATTTTCTGCCCCATAAATGGAGCGTTTCATGATCATGTTGAATCGACACGAGAAAATTTAAAAGAGTTTTTACAGTATCATATTGTTCCGTCTTATATTGAACCAGACAATCTAAAGAGAGTTGATACACTCAAGACATTACTTGATGATGAAACAATCAGTGTAAGCTATCACTTCTTTTCTCAAAGAATTGTCTTGAACGATCTTGCTACTGTTGATACTGTACATACAATAGAAGCCGTGAATGGAATTGCATACAAAATTGATCACTTATTATTACGTCCTACTGTTTCTGCATAATTTTGGTTAACCCGAATAACAATTGAAAAAAATAGGCTATATAAAATAAACATGACGTTCTAAAATTTGTGTTACTAGTTTTACTATAGTCACTTTGTGCGACTTTTTCTTTTCTTTCAAGAAAAAACTATTTTATTAAATTATAAAAGGAGTAAATAAAAGGGGAGGAAGGGAGATATTACAAATCTAAAAGAAACCCATCTTCTTTTGCATCTGTAGATTCTTGCTTTGCTACTGAATTGATATCCCCAATAGCAGTGGTTACAACCTCTTTCTCTTCTTTTTTTTGTCTTTCTTCTTGGTCTTCTTTTATCGGTGTTGTTTCTATCTCTCCTTGCTCTTCTTTGATCAAGGGCTCTTCCTTTTTTGTCAAATGGGCTGATAAATCCTTGTTCATACCAAAGCTGTTGACGCGATCCTGGTCGAAAATCTTTTTAAGCTTATCATCACAAAGGATATATCTTCTATCAGCTGGATCTTGCAAATCATTGGTCTTGATATATTTCCATAACTTTTGAACCAGTTCAGGTCTTGAAAGCTATTCAATACATTAGTTCTACCCAACTATATTTTTTTACCTCTTTGTCACCATCCATCAACTCAGAAAGCGCTGGACTTAAGATGAGCGGTTTATTTAATCCTGTCTTTCTTTTGGCTTGGGTGGTGCATTAGGGTCAACAACTTTAGGTGCTCTCTTTTTCTTTGCTTTGGGTTTCTTTTTCTGTATTCCTCCTGCTTGTTGTTCTAATACATCAATAGCTTGACTTCTTTTTGATGATGTTGATGATGTTGATGCTGTTGTTGATGCTGTTGTTGATGCTGTTGTTGTTGTTGTTGTTGTTGTTGTTGTTGTTGTTGTTGTTGTTGTTGTTGTTGTTGTTGTTGTTGTTGCTGTTGTTGTTGTTGTTGTAATTGCTGCAGATGTTGTTGAAGATGTTGCTGATAATACATTTTAGACAAATCTTGCTGATTTATATTGTATTGCATATAGTTCGCTTGTGAAAGATGATAGGAAGGTTGTGAATTTGTGCTGCTTGTTGTGCTTCCGTTGCTATTATATCTTTGAAGTAGAATTTGATTGTGCTGAAAGCCAGGTATATAGTTTTGCATTTGAGGAGGTTGTTGTTGTTGTTGTTGTTGCATTAGAGGGTATGGCTGAGGTGATAATTGATAAAATCCATTAGGTGAATACATAGATTGTGATTCATGAGTTGATGAAATAGGCTGTGGAATAGATTGTGGTTGTTGATAAAAACCTGCCAAATCAAGGGTATCAAGGAATGAGGTAGTAGTATCCGTAGTAGTAGGCATAGAGTACATTGCGTTTCTGTCTACTGTTTCTGGCAATGGCACTTTAGTAGCTGGTGGTTGATAGCTGGCTGTGGAGTTATTATGAAAGGTATGTAAATCTGCATAAAACAAATTAGACATACACGTACACTTGTGATTTTTTTTTATAGCGATGGTTAGACTTTTCTCCCGCTTTTCCTTAATCCCTTTCTCTCTCTTTTTTTTTTACTCCTGCCTCCCTTTTTTTTTCTCTTCCTTTACCATCAAATAAATTGAAAAAAAATCCTATATACTTGCCTTGTAGAACAGGGTTTCTGTCCATTTTATATTTAATTTTAGTTTTAGTCTCCTTTTCAATGTTATAATTTCTTTCTTTAAAAAAAAGAGCAAGACAGTAACAATGACAAAAAGAAATAAAGACAAAGAAAGAAAAAGAAAGGATGAAAGAGTGAAAAAGAGAAAGAAAAGGTAAAAAATAAAACAGGGAAACACAGTAGAAAAAGAAAAACGTATTACAAAAATAAGCGTGACTTTTTTTGTCCGATCAAGGGACTTTTTTTTAATTAATAGTTCAAATGGATTGCTTAAAAAACGCATTGCTGTTCAAAAGAGTTGTAGTGATCTAGCAAAATAAAAGCATCGAAGAGTAAGCATGGATGGTCACAAATGGCTTTGATATAGAAAGCCATGAAACTCAATCTTTTTCTTCGCATAAATTAGGTTCCATAAACCAAAAAAGGGGGTTATGTTGGAAATACGTCTAATACATCATGGCCTTTAAGGCACTTGTCGTATAAAGAAAAAGAAAGCATTGCAAACAAAATAATCCCATGATCGTACCTAATTTTGACTTTATTTTTTAATGGTAACACAACAAAGCACCACACCTCATTTCTTTGAAAAGGATTTTTGAATATTTTATTATGGTTCAATGAAAATATTCAATTAAAGTTTCATATTATTTTATTGACATTTGACATTTGGAATAACAAAAAAGAGTTTTCAGTTCACAGCTATAAAAATAACTCACTTGCATTAACTAAAAGGGTTTGAAATGTTTACAAAGAAGCAAATAGATGTACCAGGAGTACTTATGCCTTTTTGTTTACTTTTTTATGCTCTATTTTACTCTCAAGAAAAAAAATATATCAATATCATTAAACAAGGCAATGGTGCTCAAAAGCTATGACTACCAAGAAGACGCCTTCCTTATTTGAAGTGTCAATCATTGGTGCTACATATGCAATCACACTTTTCTTTTTGTCTTTTTGAGGACATAAACAACTAAAACAACTTGGCTGCATATTTATTTTCTTTTCTTGAAGAATATGATTGCACTATAAGATGTATTTAATCAATCCTTGAAAAAAAATGTGTGCGTGTTGCTCCTTTTAATTAGTATGTCAAATACATTTAGAAAGCGAAGGGCCTTGCCAATATTTTTCTTGGTTCGTTCTTTATTTTTCATTTTGATCAAACAGGTGGCCCTTCAATAAATAGATAAACAAAACTTAATATCAAAAATTTCTAATCATAAAACATTCTTTTAAAAGAAAGTTACCATTTACCACTTGATACTTACAAGAAATCAAGTTGTATCTATTTTAAGCAATACCGAATCTAAGGATAGCTTGGTCTTATTAATGCAGTTTGAATCCTACTAGCCTCTGGTATTGTTATGCCCACAATGAGGAAATCAGTTGCGGTGATATCAATGAGCTTGTTACTCATAATGTTGGATTATGAAAAGATAGCACGGAAAATACACATCTTCATGTTTTTCTTGTAGATGCAATGCTGTAGTTCGTTCAAGTAATCCAACTAGAGAAGCCTCACATGACATAATAATAAAGATCAACAGTATACATTCAGTTTAAAAGGCGCGATGTCATCTGCATGACTTGATAAGATCAATAGCATATGGTCTTGAGAGCTAACCAATTATCATAGTGCATTTATAAAACTAACTCAAAACATTTATTTCTTGTTGTTGCATGTATCCTAGACTGTTTTCTTAGCTGATATTCCTATTTTGAATATTTCATTCATTGAGATTTGGAAATGTATTGCTTGCTTTCGCTTTTCTTTGTTTTATTTGAGAATTAAAAACCACGCTCATCATCAAATATCTATTTTGTATCAATTTTACTGCCAATTTACAGATTTACACTTGTTAGAAAGCCTAATTTATCTCTCTTGTTCTTTGCGCTTCCTTCAGTTCATTTTTTATTTTGTAAATATGAGAAAGCAATGAGTACGCAAAGTAGGTCTTCATAGCTCAACATGTCAACCTATATAAAAGTCTAGCTTTCCTACTATTATTTATGCGCTGTTAGCAACTTTACAACAAATCTGATAAGGAAGTTATGAATGAAGCATTTGTCTGTGCACCTTTCAATAAAATCAGGGCAACAGTCATAATAAAATTGATTGGTTAAGGCCCTTTTCAAGCCATTTCCCCAAGTTCGGGAAGATGCCATCTAAGGTAACGGTGACATTAAATCATTTCTATAAATGGGGAAATTATGGGTAAACGAAAAGGCACTCTTGGATTTTGGAAGTACCAAGATTGCTCTTGTAGTGTTTAGTATGCTACAAATTGATTTCAGATTAAAAAGGCTGGTTATTCAATACCTCATTATTATAAAAGGAATTTTGAGATTCTATGTTTTTTTTCAGGAGCGTAAAATAGTTTGAAGAGGACACAAAGCACTTGGAAAATTAAAGCAAGATCTGCAAATGCCATGAACGTAACGGGACTGTATTCTTCATAATAAACATTTATTTAAACTCCGACATAATTTATGCCAACATTCAAGTATGCCATTTGTATACTCAAAAAAATATTTTTTGAAAAATAATACAAAAACATTAAAATCAAAACCACTTTTTTAAAATAAATCAAAGATATTTTCTACAATGATAAAAAATAAAAAAGCATAAGATTTTTAATTTTTTTTGCTTAAATTAATAAAAAAGTTTGTTTTTCAATTTTTTTGCTTTAAATTAATAAACGAGTCTACCGATCAGCAACCTCTTCTTTTAAACTAAAACAGTAAGACCATTATCCGGTAGACTCGTTTATTAATTTAAAGCAAAAAAATTGAAAAACAAACTTTTTTATTAATTTAAGCAAAAAAAATTAAAAATCTTATGCTTTTTTATTTTTTATCATTGTAGAAAATATCTTTGATTTATTTTAAAAAAGTGGTTTTGATTTTAATGTTTTTGTATTATTTTTCAAAAAATATTTTTTTGAGTATACAAATGGCATACTTGAATGTTGGCATAAATTATGTCGGAGTTTAAATAAATAAATTATAATAATTAAAATTAGACGTTTAGCCTCTTTGATTTAGACCTTTCAAAAACTTTCTGGAAAGACTCTTTACTGTTTTAATTATTTGAGGTATAGCTCCTTATTTATACATCTGTCCCAGTAAGTTTCGGCATGTCTAATCCATCCCAAGCAGTCATTAACACTTACTGATTGACAAGCTTCCACAATGCGTGGCGTGAGTTTCGAGTTGGTATCTAAAGGATTTCTTTTGATCTTACTCTTAATTTTTGCCCAGCATTATTCAATAGGATTTAGAGATGGAGAATAAGGAGGCATAGAAAGAGATTTGTAGCCTCGTTTGTTAATAGCATCTACCACAAACGCTGAGTGATGAATCCTACAGTTGTCCATAACAATAAACATATCTTTTTTGTTATGTTTGTCAAGAACGTCCATAACGGCCTCTATAAATATAACGATATGATACACAGTGGTACCCTTTTTAAGAGCCTTTGGTTTAGAGGATTCCAAAGTACCTCCCTTTCTCTTTTTACCCTTAAGTTTTTGAAATTCTTCCTCAAGTTTTTCCATGTCTGCCCTTTGTAACGGCTCAACTTTAGAAAAATTGATGGTCCCAAACGGAGAAATGCAGCTGACAATAGTAACATTGGCCACACGTCTGGCGTGAACCTCAACATTAGCTGGGTCGCCTTTTTTCGACCATGCGCGACTTCTCATCATTTGAGTATGGAACCCAGCTTCGTCAATAAACACACAGTTCTTTTGAAAATCAACGTCAACTTCTTTCCATTTGCTTACTATTTCCGCACGTAGAAGAAGTGTTCTTTCGGAATTTCTGTCAGCGTTGTATTTTGAAGCTTGCTTCAATGAGAAATTACACTTCTCCGTTAAATGACTCCAAAGATTATGTGAGGAAATTGTAAATCCTTCGAAGTTTTTAGAAAACGCCTCTTTAGCCATGTCAATAGTTGATGAAGGGTGTGCATCAAAATAGTTTATAAGAAATTCCGTATGCTGCGGCAGAAACTTTGGTGTTCCTCTATTGGCTTTTTTCTTTGATGACCTTCCAGGAAGAACATCTCCATTACCCGTATTAAACTCTTTCAATAAAACGTAGTCACTGCTTCTTGGGATCATACGCTTTTTGGCAGCTTTGGGCACATTCAGCCCCTCTTCCTGTATAAGCTCTATGAAAATACGAATCTGCTCTGGCCCGTATTTATTCTTTTTCTTGCCGTCATTTGCAATAGAAATTGCGCTTAGATAAGTGGTAAATTTCTCCATTGATGTCTCCACCGTTACTGGTTCCTCCATTGGTTCCTCCATTGGTTCCTCCATTCTAACATCAGGAACAGGTAGATAGACATCCATGTCAATTAATTGCAAAACGTAACCATAGTCCATAGCTAAATCTTCATCTCTCTCATCCTCTGATTCATCGCTTGAATAATAATCAAACTCAGGTTTATAATGTATGAAATCCATTGTGAAATATATAACTAAAAAGTCTAAGAAAAAAAGGAATAAGTCCAGAAATTTTTTGTAAAGGTCTGACTCATGAAAGCAAAAACGTATAATTTAATTTTTGTACTTGTCCAATAAAATTCTTAAAATCTCTAATTTTAGAATTAAACACTTTTTACTTAACAAGGGTGATTCAAGGTCGAAATAAATTTCTCTCAAGCATGTATTGAGACCTTCGAACATAGAACAGTAAACATAAATTGCTGTGATCTTCTTAGTTTTATTCGATAAATATGTATAAGTAAAATATATAGGTCAAATTAAAATTAAGTATAAATATGTGAAAGTGATATTATTTGTTCTTTGATCTTCTTTTTATCGCTCGCTTTTCATAGTAAATTCCGAAACATCATTAATCATATTCAAATGGCAGTACCAAACAGTGATATTTTAGCAGCCTTACAACAGCAAATGGCTGCACAACAAGCAATGATTGAGCAAATCATGCAAAATCAAGAACTCCAGAATCAACAACAGCAACAACAAAATCAACAGGAACAAGACATGGAAGCTGAAGACCCATTTTTCAACACCCAACAACAAGTACATTCTTTTGAGACACGACCCCATTATGATTGGAATCCTTCTCAAGAATTATCGCAACTATTGAGATTGGAATGTAATTTATTTTCAGGTCCAGGAATGTCTGACAACCAACGTAAGCAATTGATTGAAAGATATCCTGCCATCCAAGGAGTCAATTATCAACCACCCGCCACCATGCCTGAAGCATATGCCAGAATGAGTTATGATCAAAAAAGGGAAGACAAAATGCTCAAGCACCATCAATATGTTACTTCAGCAATATTCAGACCTTTGGATACCTTGGCACATGAGATCAGCTCTGAAATTGACAATCCAAACGTTCACAGATATTTGCAAATCATCAATGATATTAGACATTTAGTTCTGCATGCTAATCACGATTTGACAGACTCTAGAAAAAACATTGCACTCAAGGCAATCAATCCAAACTTTAGATTATCTGCTGCAAACAATACATACTATATTATGGCACAAGATGAGTTTCATAACTTGATAAACAATCAATTCAGTACAGCAAAGGCCTTGCAAGCAGCTCAAAAGTTCAACAAGAAGTCTTTTTCTGGCAACCGTGTCGAAACACAGTCGTTGGTTCGGCGTTCCCAACTTCAGCCCAGCCAAACGGCCTCTGTTCAACACAAGCCCAATTACAGCAATTTAAAAAAAAAAATGGTGGTTGAAGAACCTCAGCAAATGGAACGGCAAGTCATTCATCGGCCACGAACCAACCGAGACAGTTCACGTAGATGCAAGCAATACAGGTTGGGGTTGCCATTATGGCGACCTAACTGCATACGGGCACTGGACAAGCGACGAAGCCGACCAGTCAATAAATTGGCGAGAACTCATGGCAGCGTATCTCACTTTCAAGACCTTTCCTCAGTTACACAACAAAAAGATTTTGATACTCACGGACAATACAACATCAGTGGCGTATATCAACAAGCAAGGGGGAACAAAATCGCTATCGTTGATGAAGCTTGCAACTCAGCTTTGGAAGTGGTGTCTGAAACGCAACATCATGGTGGAAGCCAAGCACATTCCGGGTCAACAGAATCAAGTAGCGGATCAACAATCAAGAAGACAGTACAGCAAGAACAATTGGATGATACGACGACCAGTGCACAACCAGGTTCAAAAACAATGGGGAAGAAACGACATCGACCTCTTTGCGGACAGAACGACAGCCCTCGTAAAAAAGTTTGTATCATGGACACCAGATCCCGAAGCCTATGCAACAGACGCATTCAGCCTAGCATGGAATCAATTTCACCATCCTTGGATCAACCCGCCATGGAACTTAATCAGCAAGTGCTTACAGAAAATAGTCAAAGAAAAGGTGCCATTAGCAACGTTGGTAGTCCCACATTGGACGAGTGCATTATGGTTTCCGGTGCTTCAAGCACTGGCAGTGCAAGCACCAACTTTTCTGTACACGGAGCACCTGACTTGCCCCAGCAGGAACACACCTTGGCCGTTGAAACCGACTTGGAGACTATCCGTTTGGCTCTTATCCGCAGCAAATTTGACAACAAGCAACTCTCAAACACAGCTTCAGACACAATAAATCAACAATACAGCACAGCCATCAGTACCAATCGTACCTACCAAAAACCACAACAGCAGTTCATTCTCTGGGCACAACGCCATCAGGTCCCTCCTTCGGCATTTACAGCTACACAATTGGTCAACTTTTTACAAGACATAAAAACGGAAAAACATTTTCAATTGTCAACGCTCAAATTATGGCGATCAGCAGTTCTACAGTTACACCCACATGCGGATTCAATTTCACAAGAAAAGGTGCTGAAAGTTTTCATGAATGCAGTCACCAAACAAGCTCCGCCTCTAGCAATCCATCGTCCAACAATCGACTTAAAACCAAGTATACAATTCGTAGCCAAGATCAACATCAAGCGTTGTTCTTTGGCAGATCTGCAAATTAAGACTGCGTTTTTGGTAGCAATGGCGGCCTTTTTTGCGACCATCGGACTTACAGAGAATATCTCTTTTATCTGCAACTCGGGACAATCAGGGCAACTTACTATTTGATATTGTGGCACCTAAAGAAACTAGACAAGGCAGACGAATTATCAAACCAGTACTTATTCATCCCCATCAAGTTTCGGACATTTGTCCAGTGTTATCTTTTCAAGCATTAAAAGACCATCCGGTGGCAAAAGTCAAACGCCAGCCTGACGTTTTATTCGTCAACACCAAGCGTCCTCAACAAGCGGTCAAAACTACCACCATCTCTTCTTGGCTGAGAAAGGTACTACGACAGTCTACAAGCGAATCAAGAGTCAGTGTACGCTCAATTGCATCCTCTATTGCGTTAAAACAAGGAATATCTCTTGACGATATACAGACGCTGGGCAACTGGGTTGATTCAAGGACATTTCAGAACCATTACCGGCGGGAACACTTATCGACGGTGGATTTTACCAACCAAGTACTGGGAGCAGATCTACCAATGGTTCAGCTTGATGAAGGCTCTAACAATGATGAAGAAAACCAGGAGTTTTTCGATGCTACTGAAGGATATTGATGTTTCTTACGCTGGAGCAGCAATTTATGTTTACTGTTCTATGTTCGAAGGTCTCAATACATTCTTGAGAGAAATTTATTTCGACCTTGAATGTAACTTTAGACAAGAGAACATAGAACAGTAAACATAAATTTCCCACCCTATCCCGCCCACGCTCGCTCTCAAAGATCAAAGAACAAATAATATCACTTTCACATATTTATACTTAATTTTAATTTGACCTATATATTTTACTTATACATATTTATCGAATAAAACTAAGAAGATCACAGCAATTTATGTTTACTGTTCTATGTTCTCTTGTCTAAAGTTACAAAAGATGATAATGAGTCGTCAAGCTGTAAATTTATCAGTAGCATTTTCAGAGACCTCAAATCCGAATTATGCTGATGGAATTGGATATTCAACGACAACTCACGGCAAGAAATGGATGATTTTACCATGGTAAAAAAAAAATGGTAAATAAAGTTGCTGGGATTAATTCACTTTTGACAGAAGATGCTGTGTGATACCTTACCAGAAAACTTATTTAGGCTTTTTTTTTTTTTTTTTTTTTTTTTTTTTTTTTTTTTTTTTTTTTAATTCAAGACGTAGCTGTCAAAAACTATAAAAGCACAAACGCTTTACAGTAAAGCCAATAAAAGTTACCATTTTTATTTGTTATCTACCAATTTTCTTCATTAAATTCTCAGCTAATTTTAAGCACATCGGAGTCTTCAACCTCTTCTAGCACAGTGATTCATGATCAAGTATCTGTAGAAAAAAACGTTGTTATTGTGATCTTTCGATAATTTCAAATTTATTTTAAAATCCATTTTTGGACAATACGCAACACTCAGTTTTGGATCATGACATACGGGAGTATTCTATACACGATATATAAAAAAAAAGACTTTATTGAAGCATAGTGATACACTACTTTAACCGATCACAATAGTGAAGGCATGCATTTTTTTTAGTTCTAGGTACTATAAAGCATGCTACAAGAAGGGCCAAGCAAGACAAATTAAGAAACAATAAGAAATGGATGTTTTGTTTTTCAAAGAGATTTTTTATACCGACGCTATAGACCTAAAGAGTAGCATCACACAATTTTCTTTAATAAAAAAAAAAGCATGGTAATAACAAGGGAGGTTAAACCAACATAAATGTTACATTAAAAAATGAGCAACAGTTTCATCTTGAGGTACTTGAACCAATCCCAACGATTCCATCTCCAACTGATGAAAAATTCTATCTTGTTCAGCCATATCACTCTAAGAATGATTAAGTTATTAGCAGTGGTAGTAATATCATATCATTCCCTAAATACGCACCAGCAGGAAAGCGAAAAGTTCAAAGACTTTGGTATAGTGAATGATGCCAGAGAAAGAGAGGGGAATAGAGGCAGAGCGGCATTCAACAACTTGCCATTGGGAAGCAGACTTGATTTTGTATCGAACTAAAGTCATCTTATTTTGAATTATATGGCAAGTGTAGACTCGGGCCTTTTTCATCGTACTGAAAGAGGCTTTTTTGTAGTTTGATACAAAACACTTCAAATTGTCTGAGCCACTCTTCATATTCTTTAAGGTATCGTTCAAACTGTGCGACAAGACGTTTGAACTGTTGAATCTTAAAGCAAGAGAATGTTAGTGAACACTATTTAAGATAAAAAATAATTAATTTATCATACCCAGATGATTCAATAAGAAGATAATTCAACTCTTTGTCAACCAGTCTTCCAATACCATCAAGTAGCTTCAAGCTACCCTTATTTTTAGCAAAGTTATTTGACACAAGTCATACATAATCAGAGTCCTTAGCCTTTTTCTCGCACCTAGAGTCCCCATTATTATTAGTACGCTCCTATTTAAGTATTATTATCGGATAATACCTACCAGACATACTTCAGTTTTTTTGTTGTATTCCCAAATGCTTTAAAGATAGGAATGAAGAGTTCACAATAAGCAGTTCTTTCATCGTTTTGATTATATATGTGTGTTCGCATGCAATTCAAGAGGAAGTCAACAATAGTGAATTTTACAAAATTCAAAAACGGCAGGTCAGGGACGGTTCCTAAGTTTTTGAACATATCCTTTTCAGACCAATTTACGATTCTTGTAACCCAATCCATGACATCAGATCCCAGGTTTTTCAAGCTTTGTAAGTTGTTTTGTTCTTGCATCATAGCTTCATATTCAGCTTTGGTTTCATCGGACGCTTCTGATTCACAAGTGCTTATACATATATCAAAGTAACATCTGACAGCCGATAGATCTTCAGCTTGTATGACAGGTTTGTGCGGCGAAATTAAGTGTCTGGCAGGAGGTTGGAATCTGTAAACATTTTTTTCTTTTACAACAGTCATTCCATAAACCTAAATACAAGTGATACATTAACAAAGTGCGATAGTCAAGTAGTAAGAAATACATACGTCGTCTATGGTACTGAACACATCATCATCATCGCTTATGGTATTTACAGGAGCACTGTCATCTTCAGTATGGCATGAGGCAGTTGGGGGTATTAGGTGTGATATCTCGTTGTCTTCTTCATCAAACAACTTTTAGTTTACACTTCTCTGTGAGAAACTCAGGCCAATTTAAAAGCTTAATATATACATATATACCTTGTCAATTTTTTGCTTTTTGTTTGGGTCTTTATTGGTGCTTCCTTCACCAATCTCTTTTATTCTTTTAGTTATCACTCTGTTGCTTGCAATTCTTGTTTCTGATTTCAAACTGTTCTCGCTTCTCTTTTCTCTCCATTCTACTTCTTTCAACGCATATAAAGCCATAATTTGATTTTTGACGGATTTGTTATTAAGATAAGTTCCCAAGCGACCACAGTAGTTTTGTACAGCTTTGATTACTTCTTTGTTCTCCTTAATCTTCTTTAGGAAGTTTGAGGCAGTCGTTAATAGAGCATGGCCATTCTTTGCAATAACAAGTGATGCTTCAAAATATGCATCTAACAACTCAGGCATTTTGGCCCAATTTTGCAATTCCCCAGTAAATAAATAAGAAGGTAGCTCCAAAGCCTGTCTTAAACTATCGGGTATCTTGTAGTCTCTAGTAGTAGCGTATGGTTTGGGTAATTTGGGTGGTATTATGGAGGTTCTAAGCGCGTGCGCGAAATTCATTGAAGTCCGACGTCATTGTCTGACATTTAATTTTACTGGGTTCACAAAAAAAAATTTTCAATTAGAATGTTTTGTTTTAATTAGAACTACCTTACATCACTCATATGAATCTGCTATGCTTTGCTCTCTACCATTTGAGCCACCTATGGTGTTTGCAAAGTACAAGTGTTGAGTTAGTACACACCGTTCTAAGCAATCATTGCGGTTTGTTAGAGATTAGGCGATCTGAACGTGTGCCGATGTTTGTGTATGTATGCCGTCTTGTTTTGTACTGATATCCTAGTAAGTAGCAACTTATTTGGCTTGTTCCTTTGAGATAGATGAACTAACTATATTTTTCTTTTAAAAAATCTTGCAAGCGATATGGAATTCGAGCGCTTTATGCCACTCATATGAATCTGCTATGCTTTGCTCTCTACCATTTGAGCCACCTATGGTGTTTGCAAAGTACAAGTGTTGAGTTAGTGTACAATGTTCTAAGCATTCATTACTGTCTGTTAGAGATTAGGCGATCTGAACTTGTACCGGCATAAAGCTTAATTTTATTATACATAGTAAAAAAAAAATTGAAGCAAAAAGGAGGCAATAAACGTTATGACTTTCCTATTACATTTCTTTTACTTGGTGCCTTTTCTTACCTCCAATGACAGTTTGTAACTCGGCTTTTGCAGTAGGAGATTCAGCGATAGCTGGTCAGCCACGAGCAGGCCAACCTCTACTGCGATGCATATTAACATCAACCCCGAATTCGTCAAGAAATACGCAGCTCTTAAAAAATCTATTCCTCGACCCATACAACACGCACTAGAAGAGTAGTATCACAATTTCTAGCTTTTGGATGATGACTTACGCCCTTGATACTGAGATTACATGAATTCAGCTACCCTTGATTTCTTGATGTTCAGACCTGCAAAATTCTTGATCAAATCATCCGTTGCGTCCTGAATAGCTGCCAAGGAACTATCGTCAAAAAACTTAACAAGTGTTCCTTATGCTCGTCGTTTAATCGACTGATTGGTCTGTTTGAGGTACGATTGGTTTTTCTCAAGGGTATATTCTTGAATCGCAAAGAACATATTTTTTTCAAAAGAATGAGGGGTTAGTGCGTAACGGAAGAGAGTCTATAATAACATCTGAGACTCTCTATAGGCGCTTTTCTTTCTTTAGTGTAAACCTTTATTATTGCTTTCTTATACAATGATCTGTTTTTGAAGACCAGACTATCAAAAGTAAGTATAAAAGGGGAAGAAAAAAGAGAAAGACGCGTAGTTATATCGGCCAGAATTTCAGAGATGTTATTGAACATATTGCATGAATACTTTGCTACTGTCTCTGATTAGAGAGTAACGGCCAGTCATGGAAAGAAAGTTCGCTAGAAGCGTCATGCTAATTGACGGAGTATCACCTTATAGCTTTAATCTCATAGATCAATTAACAATAGTCGGTCATCAATTTGAATAGCGTGTGTAGTGAACAATGTATTGATATTGAAGACTTGGAATACATGGGATCCTTGATATTTGATCTAAGAAATAGTCGATCGAATTGGGCGATTTATCTGCTGGTAAGCGTAGCTTTTCAGTTGCTTCCAAGTAGTCTATCGTATCGTATCAATGAATACCCGAGATTTTCTAAAAAATAGATATATATATATATATATATCTTATATTCCAAACAGGGCGTCAACCAAAGATTTTTTGACAACCATACAGCGACTTTAATAGGTAACTTAAAGTATAATTTAAAACAAAATAAATGCTGAGATGACACTTTGGCAAAATCGGCGATACAGATAATGAACAAGATGTCTTTCTGTCTTGGTCTTTTGCCTAAAAGTCATTCTGGATTTGTCTACAAAAATTCAGGCTGCGTTTTATTTTAGAGTAACACAATGTAGAGCATCAAACACAATGAGGACTCCTGAAAGTCTTAGAATGCGGAGAAGGGTATTTTAAGCTCAATTCGTGTAACTATATACATTTTATTTGATAGAATACAAAGAGATATACAGAAAATTCTGTGACCAGCAAAGCTAATAGTCTATGATTTTACCCAAGAGTTGATATTCACGTAAAGTCTATAGATAAAAAAGTGAGTTGTTTTTGCTCCATTTAGGTACTTGAATTACTTACGTATAGACCATGATACCGAAACCCCAAAGAACCAATAAAATGTCAAGAACCTTGGCATACTTTTTAGTGGTAATCTTATAATGAAAGAGGCCCGGGAAAATAAAACACAGGGGCATACAAGCCACTGATCCAACCAAAGATACAAATTTGTTTAGATTAGAAGCACCCACACCGAAACTGACAGCTGCACACACAATAGGTACAAGAGAACGTGTGAAGTTTTTCATCCATTTGTAGCGCTTGTTCACACGACCACTATGATTTGTGTTATAAAGACCTCTTTCAGTGATAGTCACTGCGGGATACAACATGAAAGGGGAAGTCAAAATCATGGCTAAAGCATACAATAGTTGTACAGTGATTGAGAGAGGTTCTTTAGGGAAATTTGTTACAACATTAGCTGCAGTATTTTCACCGTAGGCAACATAGCCAATAATACCAATAAAAGTAAAAACAACAGTACAAATGACCATGCCAATATTTAAGACTCTGTTAAACTTTTGAGGTTCTTTCATTCCCTCAACTACAGAGTAGGGGGAGGTTTTGGTTAGTAACAAAAATACAGGGAGAGAATGCTGGAGAATCCTACCTATAGGAACGACCATTCCAATGCCTTCAAAGGAAAAGACAGCTGTACCAATCTAAATGAGGTATAATTAGAAAAAGGTATTGTCTTTTGCTAGATTTATACCATAAGACCAAAATTTGAAGGGTTTGCCATCTGAATATTTGGACCAGGGCCATTGTTGGCAATCTGAGTCGCAGTGAAATAAACAACGCAAATGAGACCAAAAGCAATAAAAATATCAGCAACTAAATTGAAAGTTAGTATAGGTCAATCAGGGAACAAGCATGTATTCACCTGCAGCAACAGGAGCTAGTTTGTTGATCTTTCTTAGCCAAGTGATTGGAATAATAGCAATAAGAACTATCCAAATATAATATTTACTTTCAAAAGGATCAGTGCCATTACGTAAGGTATTAACAGCTAAGCCAATGTTTTCTGAAATAAATATCAGGTATGAAGCAACAAAACCCATCTGTGAAAGACAGAGACAAAAATGAATGAGGTATTTCAGACATTTGCCATATAAAGCATTGGCTACATGTCCATAAGACCCTCCAATAGCTTGTTGGCTTTTTACGAGGATTTGAAAAGAAAACGTACAGAGAATACCGATAAATATCATAAGACAAATGGACACGACTAAACCACCAGATACGAAACTATAGAGTTTAAACATATTAGATTCAACTATTGTGAGTATATTGAAAACTTACGACCCTGGCAAGAAAATAACACCTGTCCCAATAAATGACTTCAAGAGCATAAAGAGTGCTTTTCCAGGACCTGCTGTTCCTTCGGGCACATGCTCTATTTGTTCTTCATCCATGCTAACAACACTAGAAGTTTCTTTGTTTCCAGTGTACCGGTTTTCATTATAAGGGTCTTCTTGATGTGGTATCGTTGTCTCAAATTTACTGTCTCCTAACGAAGGAGCAGCACGCACACTCAATTCGCTCTTTTCTTGCATTATTGAGGGGCGAATTGGTTGTGGATTTGACATGACGTTTCTTCTAAAAAGCTTACTTTAAAAAAAGAAAGAGAATAATTAAATGGATTACCCCTCTTTTATAGACAAATGACATCAAAAAATCAGACTAATTCTTAGTTAGTGTATCCATCGAGTCAGAACTTGTAATAGCCCGAAGACTCCGTAGAGCTGTATTTGGTATCCCCCACATATTAGTCTCAACTCCGAAATTCTGCTTGTTTCTACGCGTGAGACTGTGCAACGCTTTATTGCCATATCGGTTCAAATTTAAAGATTAGGTTCATGATGATACCTTAGACTTTTTGGAAAGAGAATAAAAATTTAATTGTATACTGCTATAAAAAAGAACTACTTTTTTTCTGGTCAAATATCGTACAAGATATTGTAACAAAAGTTTGTACGACAGTGGAATAATAAAAGCTGCAGAGTGTAGTTTTTTTTTTATCTTATCAAGAATTGCTCAAAGTTCTTACCCGTCATTATCCGTTGCTTTCCGCTTTGTTTTACAAAATAAATAGAACAGCGCACTATTTTGCTTGTGAATAAAAAAAAAAAAAGAGCATGGTCAAGTCTTTCTCGAAAAGCATTCTAAAAGACAAATCTTGTGAGTTTGATAAGACCTATTGTATGTATAAAGCCATCATTAGATTACCTGAAATATATATATATATATAAAAGCAAACCTGTGTCAAGAGACAAGCATGTTTTTGAAACAAGCTTTTCTGAGCTACCTTTATAAATCAGAAACATTATGTGAAATAAAGTGTTTCAGTAAATCATAATGATTCTACACAATTTACAGTTTATTTTGTATTATTCTTGCTTTAAACTAGAGTTTTGCTTTTCGGAAACAATGGAGTCGGCGTGAACACCACCAACGAGTCGAACAATAGTAATAATAGCATCGTTAAACTTGCGAACAGGATAAAAGAAGGAAATTTTGTTGGGCAAGACCCATTCAGTTCGGGCTTTAATTCCTGAAGGCATTGTTTGTGCATAAGGTGTAGTTGCTTTGGGTGCAGCAATCATTGCCATAATGATAAACTAAAGCAAGTCTAAATATGCATTCTTTCATACATATATATCAACTTACGAATGGATAAATGAGAGCAAATACAGCACCTGAACGAAGAAAAGATAAAAAGAAAGTAATAAAAGTAGCAGGGAAACCTAAACGATAATGTATCAGTCATCTTCCTTTTTTATGTTGTTTACTTGCCAAAACCTAAAAAGAAGGCCCAGTGAGACTCCATGAAAGAAAGTCTCTTCTCAATAGACCATCCTTTATACACCCATTGAAACCTACCAAATTGCTCAATATTGATGCAAAATGTATATGCTGGACTTACTCGAAGCAGTAATAAGAAAAGATCATGCAATTCATCAAAAATGAAAGCAGGATACCAACATAAGGTACCTTGTATAAAAGAGAAGCAAACACACCGCAGTTGATATATAGTAGAGTGGTCAGTACTGTTGATGCCATACTTGAAATGACATTAGTAGAAGCAGCTTTTTGCTGTGTTTGTTGTGCCTGAATCTGGTAAGATTTCTCTGCCACTTTACCAAAGAACTTGCCATTGACGGCTAGTAATATGAAATATGTCGGTACACCTAATAAACTCTATAATATCCAGAATTTAGTGACATATGTCTTTTTTTTTTACGTGTATTTCTATCTTACAACATAAGAACAGCCTAATAGCCTAGCCTCTGAATAGAATGTCTCGAGAAATACTTGACCACCTAGAAAGAGTACGCCGTTCAAAAGAAAGGTTGTTAACATAGCTTTTTGGATACTCGTAGACCTAAAGAAAATAGTTCAATAAGGCTGCTTAACACGTAAGTCTCAAGTCGGTTACGTATAAAACAAGATAAAAGTCTTTGGCCAGGCAGACGCCTGTTCAAGGCCACTTAAAAAATAGTTCCAATGTTGGTTAGCAGGAGAGTTTGCAAGCGTTGCCATATAGTATGGGAATAGAAGAAAAAAAAAAGAAAAAAGACGCACCTCCTGCTCAGTCATGTTGGTCTAGAAGCGGAACTTTAATGGTTCATGATGATTCACGTTTCCAAAGCATCACAGGTACCACTTATTCCTCAATCTTTTTTAATATACATATATACGCGTGTTTATTGATGGTCAGGGACTACTTTTCCTACAATGTTATATCTTTTAGAAAAGAAATTATGCCACTGGTCCAAGGTCTCAAGTTCTTTCTCTGTTAGATCGCTGTAGTCGGCAACACAGTCCTCGGGTTTCAAAGAAGACTTTCCAAGGGCCTATTGGAATAATAAACAACATTGTTATTTGACCCTATTATTTTACCTTTGACGAATCTTTTCCGGCAAAGACATTATAACCGGCACCAGGGCCATAAGAAGTAATGTTCTTGGATACGTCGAAAACATCCCCTTTGATAGCAACGTATATAGGCAGAGAAGGGTCAGAACCGTCGTATTTACTAAGTTCAGAAACAGTGATAGGTGTAGTCTTGGGTGCTTCACTACAAGGTATTAATAGCGCGTATCTACATGCATTGATACTTTACGTAGCCATTTTCAACAAATAAAATATGGGAAAAAAAGAAAAGTAGAATTAACTTTTTTTTTTTTGGGACCTCTTTTTTTCAACAAAACTTTGTGTAGCCTAAAAAGAAGTTCTTTTACTAGTTTATAAAGATATGCTTTGAAAATTTAGTAATCAGGCTGCTTTCATAAGCTGTAAATAGAATAAGTGTTTGCATAATGTTTACATAGAAGGGAAGTAAGGAAGAATATGGTAAATAAGCTTATCTTTTTTCACCTGATACGTTGTACAACAACCATATTTAACACTCCCTTCTTATTGAAATTTGCTTCCCCCCTTCTTCTTGTTTTCTAAACAAATGGAAAAGGCGTTAAGGCCTGAAGAGGTTTCCTCTTCGCTGACTTCGTTTAACTTTATCCCTGAAGGCGATGAGGAAGGCTTGATCTCTAAGATATTCTCAAAGTTCAAGACGGCCGTATCAGGTCCTAACCAACAACAGCACTCAGCTACTTCACCTACGTCTTCTATACGAACCACATCCATTATGCTTGAAAGTGATACTATCATCGACCATGTACCTGAGCTCTCTCAGCTTAGTACTGCAAGCTCTGCCCTTAAAGATATATCAGCGACAGAACCTGTTCCTGTAATGACTATCAAAATCCCAACACTCAACAAGATACCACCCACACCTGCTGCGAGTGAGGCTCCATTACAAAAGCATATCGTGATTGATGAGGATCAAAATCAGCAATATATACCCACAGACACTTCTCTGATACCATTAACAAAGACATCTTCTGTTGACAGTGATGCTCAATCAGTCATGACAGCCTTCTCTGTGTCAAATACCAACTCACTAAGTCGAGTCTTAAATCGATTACGTGGCGATGAGCCTACAGATAATAATAAGGATTTCTGGATGCCTGATGAACAATGCAAAGAGTGTTATGGGTGCAATGCTCCATTTAATTTGTTTAGACGCAAACATCATTGTCGCACTTGTGGTAAGCCTATTATTTTCTTTCCATCTATATCAAACTAAGCCTTATTCAGGTAGGATCTTTTGTTCCAAATGTTTATCAAACAATATTCACACTAGTCATTCACTTCGAGTGTGTAACGAATGCTATATCAAATATGTGGAAGGATATCGAGCAGATGATACCATCTCATTACATGACGGTTATTCATACTCTTCAGTAGTGGATGCCAATTTGGCTTCTTCTCTACAGCAGCAGCAACAAAAGACGCTTGTTATCCCAAGTGGAGACGATGAAAGTAGCGACGAAGAACTAGAATTTGAACGCTCTACCAACAGCTTTGATTTGCAAAGACCACCTAATCTTGAACTTCATTTTTCTCAATCAACGTCGTCTCATCATACAGCTAGTGATACTGATATTGGCATTAAAAAGCTATTGACAAATACCTTCCTAAGAGCTGGCGCCCCTCGGTCTCGTACCAGTACAATGAATTCTCTCGGAATAGACACTAGTGCAGCAGCCTTAGAGGGTGTCAGACAACAGCAACAAATGAATTCACCTATGCCGTTTCGACGGAACTCGTTCATTACTTCTTCAACGAATGTACATCAAGACACTCACAACAGAGACAGCACACATGGATCACCATTAACAAGTCAAATAGGAGGACATGATAATAATACTACACAACAGAGCAGCGACTTTTATGAAGTGGAAGATGATGATTTACGACGTTGGGACAAAAACCCTCGGAACTTACTCAACTTTCTTGGTGAGAGACCTAGTTCTGGTATCTTCAATAATATCCCTCCCTTTTTTTTTGATGATTATGCGGAATCACCATCTACTTCGGCAGTGACACCCATGCAAAGCACAAGCACAAGTACAATAGGCAAAGCTTCATCGTGGTTTATGCATCGGCCTCTTAGCTATGCAGCCAATGAGCGATCAAGCATTGTGCGAAGGCGGCTCAGTCTGACAGAAGGTGGCAGCTCAAGTCATTTACTCAGTAGTTCTGTAAATAATAACAACTGCAATAACAATAATGGCAACATTAGCGGCAGTCCAACATCTTCAACCAGACATATTCGTGTGCGTACAAAAAGCCTCATGCGCAATAACCCTATTACCATGTCAGATCAGAATGAAAATGGTTATGAAAGTTCAGGTGGAAGTAATCGAAATTCATTTCATCAACAACAACTTACTTCTTCCATTTCAACACCTACAACGACTGTCAATCGAAGTTCGACGCCTGATATGGAGCTTATTCGCTCGCAAATCTTGTCTACTAATTCACACCCTGTGGCAGTGGTAACACATGAACAGTGGGACGCATCGTATATTCATCTTTTGCGCAACATTATTCAGCATTTATTAGACGAAGCTGGTCTATCTCGACAACAATGGGAGGAGGTCATGATCTCATTACTACTCAAAATTGTGGATGAAGTGCAGCCTAACATTCGTGTTCGAGACACTTTTAACATGAACCACTATGTGAAAGTCAAGAAAGTACCTGGTGGTTTACCTCAAGATAGTTTTTCTGTAAGTGGCGTAGTGTTCTCCAAGAGTGTAGCTCATAAAGATATGATGCGTACTATCAAAAACCCTTCAGTATTGATTCTCAATTTCGATGTGGACGGATTTGGTACCCTTACAACTGGCGTCTCAGAGAGCAGACAAGAATATCTCAAATTCGACCGCTTACTTGCCTGGGAAAGAGATCATATGAATGCTTTGGTATCGAAAATTGTGGGCTTAAAACCATCGATTGTTCTTATTTCATCTAATGTACCTCGTACAGTGATTGAGTGCTTAAATAAACACAAAATAGTGGTTGCTTACAATGTAAAGAAACAAAAACTAGACGCCATTGCTCGTTGTGCGGATGCAACGGTCTTCAACTATAAGAATGAACTATGGAATGCAAAAACAATCACATCAAGCAAATGCGGTCTGTTTGAACCTATGACAATCATGCACGAATATTTGCCAAACCGTCGCAAGACTTTTTTGATGTTCCATGAATGCCCCAAAGAGCGCGGAGCAACTATTGTACTGCGTGGTGGTGATCTAAAGACGCTTCATACTGTTAAGTTTATCATGAACTTCATGGTCAAGGTGGTCAACAATATTAATTTGGAAGCACAACTACGCAAAGAATTCATGGAGTTACGTCGCTGGCATCAGCCCATTTATGATGAGACTGACTCTATTCAGAATGAAAACGAAGACAATGAAAATCCATACGAAGACGATACATTGCAACTTCGAGGCATGGGTGGTAAAGCTTTTACTGTTTCTTCCTCTTATAATGCGGAAGGTGATCCCGCGCATATTGAAACTCAAAGTGTTCTATCTGTAGCAGAATCTCAGATAACTGTCAACACAATTGATGTCAATGCAGCTAAAAAGAAATCACAACAGCAATACCAACAAAGCACTGTAGTTGTCGAGGACGATGATATCTGCCTTACGGCAATAAATGCAGTGTTAAAGCAGTATCAAAATACGACGCTTTCCATATCAGCTGGTGTCACTCTACCTGTACCTCACATCTTGATAAAGCTACGAGAATCCCAAAAGAAGTTGATTGGTTTGATTCGTGAAAGACTTGGTGTTCATATCACAGGAACTACACTTGCAACAGAATCAACTGCAAATAGTGTGCCAACATCACCTTCACTCGATGAAAAGCAGCCTCTGAATAACAAGCCTGTGATTCCTCCTATTCCTACAGACCTTATGTATATGCCAGATTACTTGAAGGCTTTTGACGTCTATCTAGAACATGATTTAGAGTATAGACATTATCAAGAGCTTCATTTACAATCATGGCTCTTATTCAAAAAATACATTGGAGGAATTCATCAGTATCTGTCGCCTATCTATCATCAACAGATCCTTGTTCGCCGTACTACTAATCCAATGGACGATCACACAATCCCATGCGAGAAAGCTGCTTTGGATCCTTATGACTACTATAACCCAATGGGCGATTGCACATTAGGCCAATATATTCTTAACTCTACTAAAGAAGCATACTCTAAATGCTCTTCCAAGATGTGTGGTGGTCCTCTGATCTTTCATGATAGAACTTACTCTCATGGTAATGCTCAAGTTAAAGTACAAGTGTTTGTAGAAGATGACAATGGAGAAGAAGAACTAGTAGAAGAAAAGATTGATATTAGCCGTGATGAATACTTGCGCAAGATTCCCATCTTCATCTGTACGCACTGCAATATCTGTAACGTAACGCATGATTGGAGAGCCATGCCTGATTTGCTTCAACGTTATTCATTTGGCAAGTTCTTAGAGCTTTTGTTCTATCAGTCTGAACCTATCCCTATCTATGAGGAAGACGATTATTTTTCAAAGCAAGGACAAATAGGCTGTCCCCATGGTTTTTACCGCGATCATACAATCTCGTTTCGTATTCAAAACCTGTCAGTCAATTTCACGCATGCTATGGTTAAAGTAGTGGAAGTACAGCCGCCCCCTTTGCACCTGAGGTTCAGCTCAAAGCAACAAATGGCAATCAAGGATGCTACACTAGACTCAACTAGATCCAAAATTGCCCGCTTCTTTGACTCCATCATAGAACGTAACAAGCAATTCTCATACGACATTGTACAGCCCAACATGGTTGATTTATGTAAAGAATATCTACAAGAAATGTCTCAAGAGGCGCTTAAAAACAAAAAGAGTTTATTACAAAAGCTGCAGATGGAGTACGCTACCAGTGCACCTACAGATACGTTGCAGCTGAATAATGTATTGGCAGAACTACAGAATCATGCTGTTGCCTGGGACCTGAAGTATATCGATTTTGCTAGACGATTTGTTAGACCTGAACGCGAGCTAAGAAGGCTAACAGCAAATCATTTGCGCAGAATGTTTCCAGCGGAAAGCCTCTATAGCAACAATACCAGCAATCTGCCTGCTGTATCTAACTTAAGCTTGCGCACAAAAAAAGCCATCGAAGCTGCAGATTTACCTTTATTGGATGTCGGTTTAGATAGTAATAGATCAATGCCTGGTGTTTCAGAAGTTGTCTTAAGCGAGCAAATTACTGTGGATGACTATAACATGACCTTGAAGGAGCAACCAAGTCTAGGCGAATCTCCTACAGAATCTTATCCTTGGTATGATGAATTAAAAAGATTTGATCAAATGTTTTTGCAAGACAAAAAAGAAGACCGTCAAGAGATTCTCAGCTTAAGCATCGCAAGTAGCTATTCTTATCGTCGTCGTCGTCAACATCACAGTCATAATCAAGGCCAAAGGAATACTGGTACAAATATATACAACATGACTCACAATGATTCTTCAACTAGCAATCTGCTTTCTTTATCACCAGGAAAAAGTGGTATTCAGTTTCAGTCAAAGCAGGAACAAGAAGACCCTCATGACCTTGATCCGAGCGTGGCTAGACGACTATCACTCGAATTGATGAAGGATGCACCTAAAAAGAAAAAAGAGCAAGAACAGACAGAAGAAAAAAAGCAAGAGAAAAAGATCCAAAAAAATCCACAAGAATCTAACAAGGCAAAACTTGTTGATGTGCCTGAGAAAACACCCTCAACACCTATCCCTATATCAACAAAATCAAGCGAATCTGTGAATGTAAACCAATCTAAGCTTGTTCGGCATACTGCTGCTCTTCCTCTTCTCTCTTCAACAACTTATAAGAGATTAGCAGGTTTGCTGCCAGAACCCATGGTACACAAGTCAAGGAGCTCTCCTTCGCCAGGCAACTATCTTCCTAGCCAACAACAGCGAGCAATACCTTATCAAAAACTGATAGATAATAAGGCTTATAATCGTAAATCTCAACTCAATGAATCCTCTGTAGTTGAGAAATCATCAAATCAGACACCTCCTACCAAACCAAACTTCTACCGTGGATCACCTTATACTACTAAAATTCAAGACAGATCACCCATTGCGTATCGATATGGATTTATGGGAGGTCTTAATAGTACAACACCAGTTGAGCGTCGATTAGGTGCTACAAGTATTACACACCCCATCAGTACAGCCATGGCAGCTGCAGCTCAATCTACCACTAGTAAACCATCTTTGAATGCAATTCAGGATTTCCCTATTGCTCGACCACGCTCGCGCACAATGGCTATTGTTGGCGCAACTGGGCCTTCTTCTATTGGACAACAGGCAGCAGCCAAACCTCGTGTTGGCGGACGAATCTCATTACCTAACAACTTATTCGGTTTTTCTACTAATGTATCCGATAATAGCAAGTCTACCACTCAAAAGAATTCACTCTTACCAGTACCCATCTCACACCGTTATCAGCACACACGTCAACTCTCTGAAGGAAAGATTCCTACTCGTATTCGACAACGATTGCCTAGTAAAGCTTCGCTAGAACCTTATACAAAAATCAAGGAATTGACAAACGATGATGAATCTTGTTTTTCTTCTTCTTCAGATGATGAAGAAGTGGATATTGAGGACTTGTCCAAAAAAGCACATGATTCTGATGGGCCCTCGTCCGATGAGGAGGAAGACAATGATCAAAGGCTATTGCCCTTCCAGCACAAGACATTTTCGCTTATTTCTACTGATGAATATGATGAGTCTCTTGGTCGTGAGGTTGTACCAAATATATTGGAATTACAACAATTTCATCAAGAGCATCAATTGCAAATGTCAAAAAATACATTACCATTTCTTAGTGTTGAATCAGGCATGGTTGTAGATAAGAAGAACCAAGGTCCAGAGCATCATCCATTGTCTACAAAGGCTAGTAGTGTAGTCATGATGGAAGCAGATGCGTTGTTGAGATCAGCAAACTCTTCTATTATTGGCCTAGGTAAGAAAAACCAAAAAGAATAAATAAAGGTCTAATTGTATTTTAGATAATGGATCAAGCTCATCTAGTCTAGATTGGTCTACAAATAGTAGCGGAAGAAATTCAATCATGAAAGCAATTACATATGTTCTTGCAGAAAAAAGTATCAATAATTTGTCCCCATTAGAGTATCCATTCTCTCCTAATGAACACATCTTTGCCGACTCCAATATTCTAGTAAGAGAAGACGAGCCTAGCAGTATCATATCATACATGCTTGGTAGCACTTTTTATAACGAGAAACTACAACGGAAACAAGAACTTCGTATGTCAAAAGCATCCAACTTGTTCAGTAACGAGTCCAAAGAAAGGCCAACAGAATTTCCCTCCAATGAGACTAAGTCATTTTTCTCTGAGATGTTTCCTGAAACAGATGAAGCTGAAAGACCATGGCGGTTTTGTAAGTCAGAAAGAAAAAACATTTAAGTGTTTGACTCACATGATACATAGCTTTCCAAGGAGGATCTACTAGTTTCACTTGTAAGATTTATTTTGCGGAGCAGTTTGACATGCTACGAAAGAGCTGCGGTTGCGATGAAATCTTCATCTCATCTTTGGCAAGATGTAATACATATGATGCTTCTGGAGGAAAGTCAGGGTCTATCTTTTTGAAGACTAAAGGTAAGTAGACATACAATTTACTTTAATCTCATTCAGCGATAGACGAACGATTTTTGATCAAACAAATTTCCAAGTATGAAATGGATGCATTTTTAGGATCTGCAAACAAGTACTTTTTGTATATGTTTAACGAAGTGTTTGATAAAGGGGTAAAGACCAATATTTATTTGAGATTACTTTTTCATTATGTGAACTTTAGATTCCCACTGTTTTGTGCAAAATATTTGGCCTGTACCGTATAGGCTTCTATAATAATGTAAGCGGCAAGTCAATGAAAATGGATATTCTTGTTATGGAAAACCTATTTTACGATACATCTGTAAAGAGAGTATGTAAGAATAATTTTGATGCTGTTTCTTTAACCTGTTATTTTAGGTTTATGATTTGAAGGGATCAATGAGAAATCGATATGCAGAGAAAACGGGCAAAGATGTTGAAGTATTTTTAGATGAAAACCTAGTAGAAAGTAAGGATCGAATCATGATAGCATAGAGGTCTCATTTTTATTGCTAGTTATCAGTAAAACACCTATTTATATGCGAGTAGACACAAAATACAACTTGTCAGATTCGTTGTATAACGATACGCAGTTCTTGATGTCATTAGATGTAATGGATTATTCGCTTTTGGTAGGATTTAACGAAGACTCGGACGAAATTGTCGTTGGTATTGTTGGTAAGTTGTAATTTGATGCCTATTGTGGTAAATAACGTTTGCTTTATAGACTTCATTAGAACTTTTACCTGGGACAAAAAGCTCGAAAGCTGGGTTAAAGAATCTGGTATGCTTGGCGGCGGCAAAAAAGATCCTACTATTGTATCACCAAGAATGTACCGCAAACGGTTTAGGTCTGCTATAGATCTTTATTTTTGCATGATACCCGATTTCTGGACGTTGATCCTTGATTAAATAAAATGATACTTTCTCACGATGAAGAAATTAATGATAAGAAGTTTGATAAGATTACTCATTTCGCATCACATTGCTTATGACAGTCCGCGGGATTTTCAGAGTGACACCCCTCGGGACACTATATAGGCAGATCCATGGAGATTGGCCAGACGAAAATATAGATAGGCAATCAATCAATATAGATAAGTAAGGCGTTTCCAATTTTAGAGAAGGCATTTGCTTTAACACATGATTATTTAATAAACAAGATTTGTTGCATTTTGAATCAAACAGTATATAAAGGATACCTTGGTTTATATCTTTTTTTCTTTTTCTCAATTTCACCTCATAAAATGGCTGTTGTTTCCAATTCTAATATCCTCCAAAAATACCTCGCTCTTGATCAACATGACAAAGTTCAAGTTGAATATGTCTGGATTGATGCTAAGGGTGGATTAAGAAGTAAAACACGCACTGTTACTTTTGTCCCTAAGAAGCCTGAAGAATTGCCTGAATGGAACTTTGATGGTTCTTCTACTGGACAAGCAGAAGGTCATGATTCTGATGTCTTAATTCAACCCGTTGCTCTTTTTGCTGATCCTTTCCGCGGAGGCGACAACAAGATTGTTCTCTGTGAAACTTTCAATAACGATGGCACTCCTCATATTACCAATCATCGTCATGCTTGCAAAAAAACCATGGAGCTTCATGCTTCTAGTAAACCATGGTTTGGTATTGAACAAGAATACATGTTGTTTGATCCTGAGACTTCAAAGCCTTATGGTTGGCCAATGCACGGCTTCCCCGAGCCTCAAGGTAAATATTATTGTGGCGTTGGTGCTGGCAAAATCTTTGGTCGCGATATAGTAGAAGCCCATTACCGTGCTTGTTTATATGCAGGTATCAACATTTCTGGTGTCAATGCTGAAGTAGCACCTGGCCAATTCGAGTTTCAAGTAGGTCCTTGCGAAGGAATTGAAATGGGTGATCATCTGTGGGCTGCTCGTTACATTCTTGAACGCGTTTCAGAAGATTTTGGTATTGTAGTTTCTGTGCATCCCAAGCCTATCAAGGGTGATTGGAACGGTGCTGGTTGTCATACCAACTTCTCTACTGAAGAGATGCGTCAAGAAGGTGGTTTGGCTGCTATTGAAAAAGCTATCAAGAAGTTGAGTCTTCGCCATTCGGAACATATAGCTGTATATGGCGAGGATAATGATCAACGCTTAACAGGTAGACATGAAACTGGTCACATTGATGATTTTAGTTATGGTGTCGCAAACCGTGGTGCTTCAATTCGTATTCCTCGTCATGTTGGTATTGAAGGTAAAGGTTATTTTGAAGATCGCCGACCCGCTTCCAATATTGATCCTTACCGTGTCACTAATATTATTGTCGAATCTACGTTTCTTCCTGACGCTTAATCTTGTGAGGATAAAGATATGGTCAAATACCTATACATATACCTCTTTATTTTGTCTATATCAAATAAAAAGAAATATCATAAAGTCTAAACTTATGCCGCCATTATTTTCTTTTATCCCTGAGAACAATTCTTCAATACTGTCATGAACAGTTGCTAGATACCTGTATTTACTAAAAGCAAAGATTGGTCAAAGGAGTGTCAATGCTATTTCCAAGCTTCAATTGATCTTTGTTAATGCAATGGTAAACCAAAGTCAAATAGACTTTTTGATATAAGATACGTAATTTTATTATATATTGATGGTTTGCATTTCTGATAAAAATAAATTACTTGCTTGCATCAAGAAAAAACATTGTAATTCTTCAAAGCTTGGCATAGACGGCTGTACCTTAAATGTCGGAGGTATAAATCCGAATTCTCATTCCAAGAAATCTGAAATAATGGACTAAAAGTACCTAAAAACATCTAAAAACGAAGAGTTATCAAAAAAAAAAAAAAAAAAAAAAAAAAATTATAAAATTGACAGATATAAATGCGTTACAGCAAGCTATATAGAAAATACGGCTTCTTTGCTACTAAAATACTGAGCTATTATACAACAACATTGGTTTTATTTTTTTTAGCTGTAGTGTACACTTTTTATAATACCTTTGCGAAACCAACACTTTGGATGTATTTTATAAACCCAGGGAAACATTTGGTACTAAGATATCTTATATTTACGCCATCTTTATGGCTCTCAAATTGCAAAATAGTGAAAGTTGAAGATTCGTAAAGGGTATCATAAGGTGAAGCCGATGGAAACGGCAAGAAGCAACTCTTGGGACTTCGCCAGCGTTATTTGGATGCTGTCCGTACATAAAAAAATGCCTATGTCTTCATCTCTGCTTGCAGGCCCTTTGTTGGCCAGATCAATCCTATCTTGCTGCTACCCATGCCGATTAATGACCGCCAAAGAATCCTCCGTTAGCGTCTTGGTTAGACTCCAAAGTACACCTCTAATTGCTCTTGTGATACATCGCCTGCCAATCGAAGACATGTAATTAGTTGCCTGCGCGCTGCTGAACCTTTGCGACTACCAGTTGATATACAGCCTGATCCAATTGATTATGTCTTGAATCAGCTGCCAAGAATATCACGCCCTCCAAGCCTACAAGCTCAAACACTCAACCACTATACACGATGGTCAAATTGATGGCCAACCATTTGCTAACTGCTTCTTGAAACTGAAGCTATGAATCTTCCCGACAGGACTTTCTCAAGCGAAGAAAAAGATACCTTGGTATGACTTTCCTCCTTTGGTTGATGCCTTCGCTTTATTCAATACAGATAGGCAGCTAATTCTCTCCTTCGTCCTGTGGTGTTTTGACTTCTATTGTGCCTCTCTTTTCTTTTTTTACTTTTTTTCTTTCTTATTTTTTCTTACTTGCATACACTTTAATACGTTCTCATCTATGTTTCCTGCCCTTTTTTCTAGATTCCTATAACTCTATAGTTTTTTTGTTAGACATTTACCCTGAGGGCCCAGTCTTCATAACCTTACAAATAAAATATAAACCTTTACCGGGTACATAAGGGCAAAATGACAATTTTCTCACTTTTTCAAAACTTGCTATGTTTTTTGCATAAATATGTTCTTTTATGTATGCTCAAACAAAGGCAGCTCAAAAAGAGAGAACTGGAAGGTAGCAATTATGGTTTATTTTAACGAACACTCGCGCCTGCAGCGGGCTGTCAATCCACTGGTGATACTATTATGCTTACCAAGTGTTTGACAGATTTATTGCAAGAAAAGTTACCTTATAAATCGAAATCCCGTATAAGCTTGGTACTCCAAAAAGGCCCAAGCTGAGAATTAGAAGTACAATAAGTATTTTAGTTATGCTTATGTCAAATGGAATCAAAAGTTATCTGGTAGCTACAATGTACTTATGTTGTTAATACATTGGTATCTGAAACGAATTAGCTATTATCAATGATGTGTATAGGCATTGTAATAAAATCATCAATCAAGTAGAGCTCAGAATTCAGCTAGCTTAAACGGCTACTCAAGCTCTTCTTTTAAAGCGAGGAACATGTTTTTTTTTTTTGCCAAGCAAATGAGATCTATAAGGAGTAATTTCTATTTAGACTACCTTGGTTATTTATGCACGCATTTTGCAAGTCTTTTACAGAATTCGACAAGCCTTTGTCAGACAGCCCATAAAAACTATTTAAGTGTTTGTATTTAGCAATTTAGTTTCCGTTTTTTCAAAAAGATCACCCTCTATGGTGTAGAGAAAGATCAACGTTTGACAAGTTAGCATGAAACTAGCCACACTTATGGCTTTATGTATAGCTTTTGCTACATCTGTGCTTTCACAAACGGCGACTAAAGGCGAAAGACCCTTGTCATTGTTCTTTTGTCGAATTGTCTGTCTTTTTTCTCAAACATTCGATTGGTGCTAGCATAAATGATGTCCCTGTATATCTTCTATAAACAGAAGAGAGATTCAAGCGCTAATACACTGCATACGTGTGTCTTCTCTCTCTCTCTCTCTCTCTTTTTTTTCAAGCCTCAGTAACTGACATTGATTGTTGGGCTTAAAGTGAATCACTAAGTCGATTCTAATTAACAATTCAAATCCCTATAATTAAACTTTGTCCTATTAAAAGAAAAGTTCAGGTGAAACAGGCTGCTAAAAATGATTTTTAACGTATTTTAAGCCTGATATTAAATCTATTGCACTTTTCACTTTTTTTCTTTTTTTTTCTTTCTTTTTTCTGCTATTTATCATGAAGAAAGGCACAATACGAACAGCAGTCATTGTTTTTGTATTTGTCACTGCAACTTATTTATTTACGAGCTATGTATATAAGACCAACAAACATCTCTCAAAGCCAATAAACACAGAAAAAGAGACGTCAAAAGAGCAACAGGCACAGTATGAGAATATTTTTCGACCTAAAATCCAAAAGATCGACGCTCGTGCAGACGAGAAATTCATGTCCTTCTTTCCACACGGGTAACTATACTGATTAGCCTATATTTAGCTCCGTACTTATTAATTGATGTTGTGTATGTTTCCCATTTAAGCGACTTTGCTACACAACACGAAGCAGTCAGAAACGCATTTCGTATCGCTTTAGAAACAAAACGTACACTCATTTTACCGCACGTTCGTCTTGGCCAAAAAGAAATTCCTTGGACACCATTTCCTATTCTGAAGAAATACTACGAATCGCAAGATAGAGATATCCTAAAACTAGCTTGTGCAAAAAAACATGATAACTGGTATACGCAATATCAACCCTGTCGCGACTTAAATCAATGGGTTGAGCTACCTTGGTCTTCTTTCTTCGACCTCAAGGCAGTGACTGATCAATTTGGTATTCGTATCATTGAGCGTGCTTGGGATCACGGTTGGGGCGTAGAGGAACAAAAGTTAAGTCACTTGGGTCTGAAACAGGACCAGGTCATTGTTGTTGATGCCAACAGTTTCCCTAGTAATGGATCAGATTGGGAACTCAAGGAACAGATCTCTGTGGTCAATATTGAACAAGAAACTCAACAAAGCTTGACATTAAAATCGCCATTAAAGACCTTGGTTACATCTGAACAGCTCTTGAACCTAAAGCACCGCTATATTCAATTTGGATCACTAGTGTATGGTCTTCGTTATCAGACAAATATCAGTAAGCAACAAACTGCCTTACAAAAGGCCCTGCGAAGCACCTTATTTACTTCGCCAAATCAATATGGTATTATCAATAACGTTGCGCGTCGGATTGTTCAAGCACTTGGCGGTACTGGAAAATTCAACGTGATTCATATGAATTTGGAAGCTATTTTAAGAGTTGAACTACAGAATCGGGCGTCCATGAGTCGCGAAAATGCAGAAATTGATGGCAAGTCATTTGTCGATAAGACTGTGTATACAGATGCAGAAGGTATCCCGCTCAAAGGCAATGAGCTATTGAAGCAGTTGAGCAATCAAGATCAATCTGACTTGATGTCTGCTTTAGTAAGAGAATTGAATGGTGACATGCCTATCAATCAAGCTATTTCTGCTGCGTTACCTTTCCAGCCATCGTTATTAAAGGACTTCTTATCCGTGTCCTCTATCAAAGAGAGTAGAAAAGATTTGTTGGCTGCATGCATTGATTATCGCACAAGGATTGATCCAAGATATCCTATTTATTATTTAACAAACGATGTCTATGAGGACATTGTTGCTCATCCCGAGTTATTTGGACCTCTTACCAAGACTTTCCCTTGTACTTTTACCAAACATGATATCTATGAGTGGGGTGTTGTAAATGCAAATTGGGCTAACCAGATCAATCTGTTGCAAGACGTGGACTATGAAGACATTCTTTCGCCTATTGTGGAGATCCTTGTTGCCAGAGAAGGTAAGCATAAAAAAAGGCATTTAATAAGATACTGACTATCTATTATTTAGCTTATTCTTTCTTTGAAGTACCAACCACGAAGCTGACTCGTTTGTTATCATGGCACTAACGCATTCCCAGCGCTTGATAATGATCGAACATCTCCCTATGTATTTATCCCTTTCTTTTCTCGGTTTATTACCCCTTTCACTGTAACCCCCTTGCATTTCTGTCCCTCTTTCTTTTATCACTCTTCAAATTTGTTGCATGTACAAAATGCCTTTCTAATTCATATAGACTAAAATAAAGTATTTACATTTTAGACGTCTATCTTCTTCTTTTCTTTCTTTCTTTTTTAAATGCTTACCGCAGTATTTGACGAAAACGCTTTGAAGCCAACCTACGATTCATTAAAGGAACGTGAATCACTTCCGCCTTTACCACCTAGTAATCCAAGTCCAAGTCAGAGCAGCACCACTACTGTAGTCACTTCTTGTAGCGTGCATAAAAAGAGTCTAGACGGATTTGCACTAGAAGAAAACAAAAGCGAATTATTATTTGACCGACTTGAGCAAGAGAATGCAAAGCTGCCGCCACAAGTAGAGTTTATTAGTGGACAAAATTTATAATAACAAATACTTTCGTAATAGGATTCTACAGCCTTCATTTTAGCGCAAATTGAGCGACAAAACGTACTTTTAGAGAAAGACCCCAAATCTATTTATATTCATTCAAACAAGCTCAGGGCACATTTTTCAACAGTTCAGCGTCTTGTCAAAGGAAACATGGATGATGATGGCGAAGAAATTGACTGGGGATTTTGGGAAGCTGTCATTCAAGATTCAGATCAGGTGGCTCTTAAATTACCTCACTTACTTTCACTCAAATTAAGATCAGGTATTCCTTCAAAAGTAAGAGGACTTATGTGGCAAGCTATGTCAAAATCTGCTTCATTACATTTGGAAACGGTGTATAAACAATTATGTAATGAGAAGTCTCCTCACGAACGTGTTATTCAGCGAGATCTGTCAAGAACGTTTCCTCGTATTGATATGTTCAAGAAAGAGAATGGGCAAGGACAGATTTCTATGAAGCGTATTTTAGAAGCTTATAGTTTATATGATACCGAAGTTGGCTACTGCCAAGGCCTGGCGTTCTTAGTAGGCCCATTGCTTATGAATGTATGTAATTCTTTGCAAAATGATATAGAGCTAATTAGCTCAATCTCATGTAGATGCCTGAAGAACAGTCATTTTGTGTGTTTGTAAGGTACATAATTAACAGCGATTCTTTATTCTTAAAAACATGCAATACATAGACTTATGGAAACATACGAGATGAGGTCCATGTTTACTTTGAATATGGAAGGCCTTCAAGTCCGTCTGTACCAGTTTTCTAGCTTGCTGAAGGAAATCCTGCCTGACCTCACGAATCACCTTGACTTATTGGGCGTACACCCGGCAATGTATGCCTCGCAATGGTTTTTGACATTGTTTGCGTATGCTTTTCCTGTTCCTCTTGTATCGCGTATTTATGATATCATTTTCGCCGAAGGTGCTGCAGAAACAATCATGCGTGTCTCCATTGCTATATTGAAGCGCTCGCAAGATACTATTCTGTCTAAAGTGCCTGCTGAATTCGAGCATATATTAGATTTTCTAACCTCACAAAAGCTATGCGAGCCTTACAAAGACTTTTATAGCCAAGTCATTCATGATGCAATGGCTTTATCTGGCATTATAACTCGAGAAAAAATGGACATACTTGGTGAAGAATACGCTCAACAAACAGCAGAAGGAAAGGTCATAATTCCAGCACGTAAACTTGGATTTTGGAAGAGAAAGAAGCAGCTTTATTCAGCAAAAAACAACAAGATTTTCCGATCATACAGTGGTGCTTTTACAACAGCTAAAGCATCTAATAAAAAGCCAACAGCAACTAATCCTCCTTTGCTAAAAAAGCGATGGTCATCAGTTTCTTCACCCAAAGAGTGGATCTATCTTCAAAAGACACCAAATTGTGATCGAAACGAAACAAACGATATAGAAAAAAAGCTTAAATGTGTTCTTCATGATTTTGACCAGCTTAAAATCAAGCATCAAAAGACACTAGATGAACTCAATGAAGTCAATTACGATAAAGAAGACTTGGAGTGTGAAAGAGATGCTCTCAAACTGACTATTGCTGAACTAGAGCGTTACCAGCAGATATCATACAATTGTGATAGCTCAGCCATATTATCATCAACTTCGTTCAGCAATCTCGAAATAGCACAAAATGCAGCTATGGCCGAAAATGTGTATCTTCAGGAGACCAAGGCAGCTAAAGACAACCAGGACATTTCTTTGCAGCTTGTCCATCTCAAAGTTCATAACTTTGAGCTGGAACAGCATTGTGAAAATCTTGAGCAAGATTTGGAACTGATTCAAGCAAAGCTAGATATGGTCAATGAAGGGCAAATAGCTCTTGTAGATAAACTAGTGGTAATGAAGACTGAATTAGAAGAAGCAAGAATCGAAAAAAGCCATATAAAAGAAGAAAACGAGCGCTTAAAAAAAGAGCTAACGCGTTTGAAAGAAGTGCAGTTACTAGCACCACAAAATGAAGGACATTGTGGACCATGCATTAAAAGACGCCATAGTACATCAAGCATAATACCAGGTACTAACAACAAGCAACTGTATGAACTTGAGCCTTCTTTAATAGCACGCAAAATGAAATTGGACGAATATGCATCCACAGAAAAAAGAAAAGCATCTATTTACGGTCGAGTATTACACGCGTTTTCACGATCAAGTTGATTGTTGCAATAAAGAAGCTGCATAACGGCAGACATGTCTGAAGTTGCACAAGATGTAGCATTTCATATTAAGTAATCTTTTATTTAGCCTGTGATTTTTCTTTTTTACGTGTTTTTCTTTATAAAATGAATAGTGGTAGTAGACGTCTTTCTCTCATCGCAAGCCATTTAGCGTCTAATAAAAGCCGCCAAATTTCGACTAGTAAGTCTAATACAATCAAAAGAGAAACTTTTCGAAACAGACACGACTACACGTATTTTCTGCCTATCCAAACAAGGTAACGCTTTCTCTTTCCAGGAAAACGAACCGTTATTTGTCTAATGCATTAATAAGATGGTCCGATGCCGATGTCTATGGTCACATTAACAATTCAATTTATTATCATTACTTTGATACAGTTATTAACGAGTACTTAATCAAGCATTGTGGCCTAGAACCCAATCACAATAACAACACAAAGCCAATCGGTCTTGTGGTTGCAAGCCAAGCCAACTTCTATGCTTCAGCAACATATCCTAATGTTATACAGGCTGGTCTATGCATTACAAAAATTGGAAAATCAAGCGTTACTTATCGCATTGGTATATTTGAAGCAGAGAATCCATTGGCGTGTGTTGTCGGTGGATTTACACATGTTTTTGTAGATCCAGAAAACAGGAGACCTGTCCAAAGCTTACCAAAAGAATTTTTGGAAGGTATGGAGAAAATGCTGAAATAAGTAAAAATATACTATACTACATTGATTTTCATGCAAATCATAATTGTCGTTATAATTTGATAACCGTTAATATATTAAATGAAAAAAATACAATCATTGAGCATGGGTCAGAAATAAGAGAACAAAGGCTATTTTACTAATAACAAGACAGAATTTCATATGATGTATCTAATTTCATACCATCTAGTTAATGTCTTTAAGATCAACCAATTTACATAAATGCAATCTTTAATTCCATACGATTTAATATATTACAGGTGAGCTACATGTCTTTAGAATACTAGGTGCCTATAGTTTCCTTTAGCAATATAATATTGTGCAAGGACGCGACTAGTGATTTGTTATTAAATAACGAGCTCTGAATTTCTTTGGTTCATAGAGAAATGATATCTCAAGTATGATAAAACTGGTTTTGCGGCCAAAAAAAAAAAAAAGCAAGAATTAAGGACCGTTTTGCTATCTTTCAAAGACAACTGCGACAGAAATACTAATTTCTCATACTGTCATCTCAAATATAGTTTCGTTTCTTCTAGAGTGTTTAGATATCTACAGGTATAGACACAAGAATCATGACTAAAATACTTAAGATCCCGTTAAATTTTCATTTTTTTTTGGGGTGTTTCGACTCTTTTTTTTTTTAAGAAAATGTAACAGAGAAAAGCACGAGCCAGTCTCAATTGAGCGACGTTAATCAAATTTATTTTAATAAATTCTTTGTCAGAATAATTAGCTTGTACTTGTGTCCTTCAAATTGGTGCTCAATGGCGCCTAAAAGTATCGCTTTAAACGCACGAAATTGATTTTATTCAAACTAGCAATTGCATAAAAGATATAAATTAAAAAAAAAAGCTAATGACGCGTAGTCAAATGATACCTAAAAGAGGGACCCGAAAGTTAGCTGTGGTTACCCTTTCGTTTTCCAAAAAGCAGTTTTGCCGCGTGTAACGTGACTGGGTTAGACAACTATTTTATTGACTTGATTTTTTTATTCTGTTTTTTTCTTTCAGCTATCATTTTCAACATGAATACTGTCTCTTTTTCAAAGTTTAAAGACTGGTATAGTTCATTTAAAGTCTTATACACGTATACAAACAAAACTGAATTCAATGAATACTTAAAGTCTAGATATCTGGTCCAAACAAAACGAAAAGGGGACACAATGCTTGACACAACAAGAACTTGGCCAACCTTCTACCGAGTTAGAAGAAATTGTAAACAAATGTAAGTAGTGTTCTAGGCAAAAATAAGTTGCTAACAAAATACAGTACGACAGGCCTTAGATACTATGCTCGAAGAATATGTAGCAATAGTAAGCCAATTGGGCTTAGAAGAAACACTAGAGCAAGTTTCAGCTGAAAATATACCCAGTCAAGTTATTTTGATGAGAAACTGTGTTAATATGTACGACCAAGAATTTATGGTAAAAGCAAGTATATAACATATGACTTAATCTACAAAACAAAAGTCTGACTGAGTCGTCTAATAGGAATGCATCAAAGGCATTGTATGTGATAAAGGCTTTGCAACACAGCAGCATTTATATGGAAGTATCGCATTATGGAAATCAGAGTCTTATTTAGATGATGAAGTACAACAACAAATAAAGCAGCTCAATTAATCTTTCATGCCGGCAATGAAAGACATTTTATTATTTTTATTTTTATAATGCTTCTTGATCTGAGTTTCTTCTTGAATTAGGATGACTATTAGTGGGGGTATTAGGCCCACTACGAATTAATTTTGTCCTGGCCAAAAAATTACCCTATTTCATGTGTTTAGTTTTGATAAAATAGCTTAAAGAATCAACTTACCACAGCTGTTTCAATACCAAATAAACTTGCAAAATCAGTAATAAAATGATGACTCTGGTTCTCCCATAATTCTAATTGCTCTATCAAACTTAATTTTACTTTTTCGATGCTCACTTGAGTCTTGATTTGTTGCTCTTTTAGGAAAGAAATATTAAGGTCTTTGGGAGATACACCGCGCTCAAGATTGCGTCTCAGGAACTTGTCATAATCACGAACAATACGTGTAATCAAGTCAGAAGTAGAGATACCATCAGTACGATGAGTAGGCAAAAATTTACCTTGCTCTTTGACAAAGGCATACACATCTCCAGATTCAGTTGATTGGTATGGCTCTGCATCATGCGCAACATAGTCAATTTGATGAAGGTCAAGGAACTCTTTTGTGACAGTCCAAGGTGCTGATTCAATCACTTGGTCAACCCATTTGCAGTGTCGAACGGCCTCATATCTCTCAACGTCTTTCATGACTGTCTTGCCTTTAAGCTTATGGGTTTCTTCATCGTTACACACTACCAAATGATGAGTTTCTATACCTACAAGAGTCTTCCCTTTACCGCCTACTAACAGATAGACACTTGGAAATGCCTTTTTAGCTTGTTCAAGTGCTTTTGCATGGCCAAAATGAAACATATCATAAATGCCATCACAATAAACTCTGACAGGTCTATCTTTAGGTGGCTATACTTAAAGTGAATAAATAGCAGTGAGCATAATAAGATTTACCTCATTTATCTTGAAGTCATATTCCTGAGACGGTGAACTATAACTCTCACTCGCCATAAAGATTTCTGACTGAGATTTGTTTAAACTTGTAGATGATGATTGGGGTGTAAGATTGGTATCTATAATTAAACATGTCAAAAACAAAATCATATATATATAATAGACAGAAAACAAGGTAGAATGAAACACTTTACCATTGAAGGTAGTAGGATGGACGTTTTTTCCAATAGACATGGTACTTTATAAAGCACTTTCACTCACTATGTAGTTTTATTTGCAAGAAGAAGGAAAGAGAAGCAAACAGAATGTTCTTTGGTCTAAATACGAGTTAAATGAGCGATTAGTTTTGACTCAGTCGGACATACATTAAACAAGCCGAAAAGTGCAACCGGAATTTCATCTTGAATCATTGAGAGCTAGTGGTCTTTGACCAAAATCCCATTAACAATACATTCACAAGAGATATACTTTGCGTGAGCTTCTATATCTTGATTGCTCATATCGAAAACTATTCATTTGTAAATGTTGATACATGTTACATTTTTTGTTTCTTGTTTGAGACTTAAGAAAACCAGAAACAGTTGCCATAACTCAATAGACCTAATCATATCAACTTATTTCACCCATAATAACCACTAACACAAGCAAATAGACAAAAAATGATTCGTATGATAGATCTTTTCTACGATCTTGGTTCAGTATGACTTTTAAACAATATAGCACGTTTGCAATTAAGATTTTTTTATGTCCAAACATTTTAAGCAGTGTTTAAATAGAAAAAGACGCATAAAGTATTTACAGTTTTTTTTTTACAAAATCAAATTTCTGAGTGGTTGTTCAATTAACGTCTGGCATGAGCCTAGCTAAATAGTTTTCATATAGTCAGTATGATCTATTATTGCTACTCAAATAGCACACTCAAACTTTTTATTAGCTATGAAGGAAAGAAAGGGCACTTGTAATTTATGCATTTTTAAAGACCGCTTATAATGTTTGGACATAGATCCAATCACAGTCACAATTGAAGTTCAAACACAAAACTGAAGGTTCATTTTCTTTCAATAATGCAACCATGTTGTATAACATATGGTAATCTTGACAATCACGTAAACAAGTATACTTTTTAGTTATTAAATGCACTTCTTTTTCTTCTAGTATGACCTCTGACTTCTTTTACCCGAATATGGGTGGAGTTGAAAGTCATTTGTATGAACTGTCTCAACGTCTGATTCAAAGAGGACATAAAGTATACCTGTGCATATTGTGATTTTTCATGCCAAACAAAGGCAACTAAGACTCATTCATCTAGGTAATCATAGTCACACATGCTTATGGAAATAGAAAAGGCGTTCGATATCTGACAAATGGCTTAAAAGTGTATTATGTACCAACAAAAGTAATTTATTCAGAAGCTACTTTACCCACTATTTATGGGTTTTTTCCTCTATTTAGACATATTCTCATACGCGAAGCAATCCAAATTGTGCATGGACATGGCGCATTCTCATCTTTATGCCATGAAGCCATTTTACATAGTAAAACAATGGGCTTAAAAGCAGTTTTTACAGACCATTCTCTGTTTGGATTTGCAGATGCGTCTTCTATTCTTACAAACAAACTCTTAAAGTTCACTTTAAGTGATGTTGATCATGTAATTTGTGTCTCGCATACAAGGTAATTGTCCTTACAAAAAAAAAAGAGACACAAGACTAAGAAAATCATTTTATAGTAAAGAAAATACGGTACTTCGAGCAGCATTGTCTCCTAGAAATGTTTCTGTAATACCCAATGCTGTTGTTGCTTCTCAATTCTTGCCTGATCCCAGTGCTTCTGACCCTAATTGGATCACTATAGTCGTCATTAGTCGCCTTGTTTACCGCAAAGGAGTCGATTTATTGGTTGCCATTATACCTCGTATTTGTGAAACATACAAGCACGTCAGGTTTATCATAGGTGGTGATGGTCCTAAACGAATTGACTTGGAACAAATGCGCGAAAAGCACTTGCTCCATGACCGAGTTGAGCTACTGGGCCCTATCAAACATCATGAAGTTCGAAATGTTTTAATTCAGGGAAATATATTCCTAAACTGTAGTCTAACTGAGGCTTTTTGTATTGCTATTGTTGAGGCTGCATGCGCAGGGTAAATATAAATCAAAATGATCATGCTGTACAAACTACAAAATAGGTTATTTGTGGTCAGCACAAAAGTTGGCGGTGTACCTGAGGTTTTACCAAGCCATATGATCAACTATGCAAGCCCCGAAGAAGATGGTAAGCAGAAATCTTTAACACAAAACTCACAACCTATTAGATCTAGTCATTGCAATATCCAAAGCAATCCATATGTTTCGTTTTGGTCAAATCGATCCTAGTAAATTTAATGACCAATTGAAGGACATGTACAATTGGTCTAATGTAGCAGAGCGCACTGAAAAAGTCTATGGATCTGCATATCAAACAAGGAATTCACCTTTGATTGAACGCCTTAGAAGATATTATGGTTGTGGATTATACGCAGGAAAGATTTTCTGCATGGTGATGGCTTTAGATTATTTGATCTGGAAGTTTTTGGAATGGCTATTTCCTACTGACACGATTGAAAGAGCAAGAGATTTTCCATACCAGAAATATAGAAACTTTTTTCAGCAACATAAGCAAGAGCAGGTTACTCGCACAAATGATATCATACAACAAGTTGTTGAAGAAGTAGACGAAGAAGACGAAGAAGATATTAATAGCATACCATAATAAAGGAATCTTCCTAATTAAGAGCTGCCGATTGAAACCTACCAAAAAAAGCAAAAACAACCGCTGTGTGGCAAAGCATCGCTAAAATATGAAATGTTTGTATCATTAGACTGGTATTTTATTATATTCATGTGCTTTGAGAGAGAGATTTACGTTTCAATAATAGGTGACGATGTGATATGTAAAATTTTTGAGCATTGATGTAAGCTCCTAGAGTTAAATCAACCCATTTTACAGCATTTTGATGGTTGTTAATAGGTGGCCTTGTTACCCATTCACACATTAGTCTCCACGCATGTACTAAATTCTCGGTCATTTGTATCCTGCCAAACAAAATGTCATGCAGTTTTTCTCTAAACTCGTTTACATAGATTGAGTGTCCCAATTTAACTTGTAGACGCAGTTTCTCAAATTGATTCAAGAGCGACTTGGGTGAGTTAACGTGCATGATATGGTTCATTTGATCGCAATATCGTATTAGTTCAATAAAGACTCTGCACAACCAAACTGGTGGTTGCAATGATGATTTTTTGTGATGTGAGGGGTATTTTGGTGTTATGCTGTTATGGTTTGTTGTTATGGTCGTTGCCAGGGGTATATCTATGTAGTTCATGCAGATATCTATGGTGCTGCTATCGCTTGCTTGTTGTTGTTGCTCTTCTTCTTGGTGATGTCGATTACTTTCAGCAACTTCATCTTCACTTTCGCCTGTACACAAACTATGTGTAGGTGTGCTCACGGTAGATTCAGTCCCTGATAGACTAAATGATAGTGGTGGTAATGGATTGCATGCTTGAAACCGACTTGGATCCTCCTGAATCATTTCAACCAATTCGCCATAACTTTCAAAATGCCTTGGTTTTAAGTTGTTTTTCAGTCTATGAATTTCATTGTAGATCCATTCATCCATCGAAACGACTTTTCCAGACACCAAATCGTTCAATTTCATCATATTTTTTTGAAGAATAAGAGAAACAAAGAGAAAAGAAGAAGTAAAAATTAATTTGTGATCACTTTTGCTTTTTTTGTTTATATAGTTTTTCATTGTGAAATGACTTCGCCTCTTTTTCAAGAAAAAAAAAAAAAAAGAAAGCGAGTAGCGTAGCACGATTATCCGCGATTGTCACCTGTAATTCCCATTTCGAACATTGGATCTTGATGTACGCGCGCGCGAATCTGGTACAATTCGTTCGGAGATTCATTTCAATATTTATGCTTATCAACCAAATTTATAACTTTTACCAGAACTACAGCAATGGATAGAAAATGTCTATTTTACAAAAAGCTTATGGACATTCTCTTGGGATTTTTTGTGTATCTAAGTTTTATTCTTCTTGTTGACATTACTTCTCGATACGCGGACAGCGCCGAGGGCTGTTCATGCCATCAATAGTGTTGACCTTAGTGTAACTATAGATGGATCGAGATATGTTTTAGAAAAAAAAAGGGGGGCTTTGCAACACCTTCCGTCTAAACGTATAAACATGTCAAATTTGAGTTTCAGAAACTTGATGACAATTGGTCTGCTCGCTTTATATATTTGAACCTAGAGACTTTATTAAAAAAACGCTATTTTAAAAAGAAACCTTTGGAAAATGGTATCCAAAAAGGTTATTTGGCGTAACGCTCACTAGCATTTACCTCAAAGAATAAAGCTGCTGTTTAAAAACCAGCATAGTAGTACAATCCAAAAAGGAATACAGAAAGAGCAGCGCAAAGGTTCGGTATTAAACAATGAAAGAGGAAATAACAATCTGACATATGAATTTGTCATCGCACAGTTGGAATATTCTATTAGAGAACATAAAACAAATAGAATGATTTAATTGATTCGTAGTCTAGTGCTAGGAATTTACTCAATTCGACACTTGTGTTTCGTTGTTTGTAAGATACAGGATAGCTTATCATAATACTTTGTCTCTACCTGAGAAGAATTCTTTATTAAGAAGACAAAAAAGCCCAATCAAATGGTCTTCATTAAGTACTACTAAAACTGCTTATGTCTCAATTTATTTTTATATGAATATGCATTTCTCTTCGTAAGATTAGAGAGTATTGTTTGCCGTTTATGGGAAGACAGAATAAATTTGACAGTGAAACGTTTTAAGCTCGTGTGCAACGAAATCAAAACAGATACTCAAATTTCATATAAGGAAAGGAAAAGTGAATCTGCAGCTTTAAAATGTTTTAGACATACATATGCGCACACCAGCCCTCTCTCTCTCTCTCTCTCTCTTTCTGCCTAAACTTTTAGGAGTTCAATATAGATTAGATACAGGCTTATGTGAGGTTTTGTAAGCAATTCAGTCATTTTTCCAGCAACTTGAAATTAAATCGTTTTGTACTACCCTCCTTTTTTTTTTGGATTATTTTCTTTGGTTTACTTGTGATAAACACAAACATTCAGGATCACTTACATGAAGATTGATAATAGAACTCAAAATCATTAAAAAACATCATTCGTTTTTTATAATTCTCGAAAAGGATTCTATATGCACACAGACTAAAATTGATTATAGTTGCCTAATACAAATTACTGAAAACTGTAGCTCAACTCGGCGATCCTATTAAGGGAATGGGCTCAATGACATAAATAGTCATACATTTGTTGCACAGTTAAAAAAAATTCCCTTTGAAAAATACTCCTAGTTACATCTGCTGCTTATTGGGCATTCCATTAAAAGGGAACGCCTGTAGTCCGCATGACCATGCATATTAACTATATCTTTTTTTAATTAAAAAGACTCATAATGACAGGGATAAATAGAATATCCTGAACGAATAACGTCTTCTGCACTACGACCTTTTGTCTCCGGTAAAATGAAGAACGCTATGTAAGCAAGTAGTAAGGAAATGACGGCAAACAAGTAAAATACATAGCCCTGACCCATAAAGTTACGAAGGATAAAAAATCCGGAAGAGACGGCAAAATTGGCAATCATGTTGGAAGCCAATCCAACAGAACATGCACTGCTTACTGCTTGTGTGTCTACTAGTTCAGGAATCATCAGAAATGGTATAGGTCCAAGACCAACAGCAAACAATGCAACGTATGCAAGAATAGCAAAGGCAGATGTTGTATTGTGTCCAGTTTCAATACTCCAGCCTAATAAGCAACTCATCAAAGCCATAAAAAGGCCAGAAAACAAGAACAATGGTCGACGTCCTAGTTTATCCATCAGATAAGCAGAAATAGATGTCATGATCAAGTTAACAATCGATATATAGACAGTGATCAGACCAGAAGATTCAGGAAACACACTTGACATGATTGAAGTAGAATAGAATATGACTGCATTGATACCAGACAGCTGTTGAAACAATTGCAATAATAAAACAATCATTAAAGGACGGCGGTATTTTGACGAGCCCAAAAATGTCCATACATTGACATGTTGTGTGTTAGATGCAGTTGACTGGATTAATCTTTGATCGTCTTGAAAATTTTCTTCCTCATCTAATTCTGCTTCTGCTGCCTGGTTCTGAGCATTGCTGGCCCATTCTCTTCTCCATTCATTGATTTCTTCCTCTGCCTGATCAACTGAAGTCCCTCTAAGCCTCACTAATGACTTCTTTGCTCTGTTGAAGCCACCAGGGATGAGTGCTAAATATCGTGGCGACTCTACACAAAAAGGTAATAGACAACATTGCAATATAGCTAAAACAACGCCCATGACCAAAATATATCGCCAAGAAGAGATAGTAGACCAAGCCAGACTAATGACTTGAGCAGCCATGATGCCCATCACAATGGCCAATTGATTCAATGCACCAAAAAATCCACGTTTTGATTTAGGCACACATTCGGCCAAGTATGCAGGCACAACCACAGTGACAATTCCACTTCCAATGCCGGACAAAAACCGACCTATCATCATTCTTTCGGGTGTTGAGGCCAAGGTGGTGATCAATGAGCCAGAGCTCAATAAGAGATTGGTGCCAAACAGTGTAGAGCGACGACCATATCGGTCATTAAAAAATGGAGCTGATAAAGCACCTAATAAACCACCTGCTGTTAATACAGACACAACGAGTGAATACTGTGAGTCTGGCATAGGGATACAAGGTGGCAAAAAGCCTTCGCGAAAAGTAGGATTAGCACATTTAGAAATAATATCTTGAGGCGTGTTTAGCTCTCCGTTGTGGTAACCATATTGGAAAGCACCCTATTAAACTTAGTTTATGTGCGTCTGTTTAGAGTGTTTACCATCAGGATGGAGATGACCACAAACACCAAGTAGCCCGTTACTTTTTGAGACATAACAGAGGTCTCTTATTTTTCTAAAAAAAAAAAATAAATAAAAATAAAAAGGAAAAAAACAAGGAAGCATATGTTTTATTAGACTTTTAATTTTCTTGATTTAGGACCATTTATTGGCTCGTTTGTTTGCTTGTTTGCTAAGGCTGACAGCTGTTGAAATAGCTACCATTGAATCACCATTCGCTTCTTCTAAAGCCTTTTGTAAGATCCTTATGTCAATCTGCGGTAAAACAGTGGTAAGATAATCTATTCCTTCCATGTTATCATGGCGAACGTTGCTATCACTGCTATTTGTAGAAGAGCTTTTGGGACCATAAAAGGAGCTAGGTGAGCTAGCACTAGATGTAGGCGTATTAATAAGGGAAGAAGGCGACGTCTTGATCCTTCTATTTGTATTTAATGGTGATGGTCTTGCATTAATTTTTTTTGAAGCTGTTGGAGTTGCCCCTACTCGATTGTTTAAAATTGGTGTCATTCTATTATGACTGGGCTTTGTTGGCTGAGTATATCGAGGCAGTTGAGTTGATCTGGTTGCAATCAAGTTAAATCGACTGATAGACCGACCAAAAATCCCACTTCCACCTGTCGTCACTTGAGGTGTATGCACATAATTCTGGTTTGCTAAAAACGGTTTGTTTTCTTGATTGGGTCGCTTAAAATTACTATTGTGGGGTGAATGAAAAGATGTACTACCGATAGTGGCTTTCTTTAAGAACATAGAAATAGATCCACTAAAGCTTGAACTCATGTTACCAGACATATGAGAACCAAAATGAATGGAGGAGTTGTTGGAGCGTGACATTTCAGGTGTACGAATGGGAGGTACATAATCTTCCAATAAAGGCTGAGGCTTGCCCTTCTCTTGATTAGAACTAACCCAGCTTTTAAAAGGCGATTCTTCTTTAAGGCACAAGTCCAATGTCTTTTCATAAAATGATAATCTCTCGTAAATATCTGGTATACGCATCATTTCATCATAAGATCTTTCCACATATTTCTGCGTACTTGATGGTTTCTTTTGTATTGATTCTTGTAAGGATTGTTGTGATTGTTGCTGGAGTTTTCTCTCACTTTGTAAACGTCTTGCACTTCGAATGCTCTTTTGACTTTTGCCGCTCTTTGTTGATTTTTTACTGGATGCAGAAGAAGGGCGTCTAGAAGTCTGGGATTTCTGTTGCTGTGAATAAAAAGATTGCTGTGAATGCATGTCTTCGGGAATAGGTGAATCTGAAGCAGTAATGATAACAGACTCCATCTGACAATTCTCTTTAGGTATAACTACAGCAGGAACTTTCAGTTGTTTAAATTGGTTTACAAGTGATGTAAAATCCTCGGATAAATTCAAATCGCATGAAAGAAAAGAGAGTGGTTCAGGTACAGGGCTTGATTCAATCAGAGTCTTTTCTTCTCGAGTCTGCTCTATGTCGTCCAGAGTCTTTTCATTTGGTTTTTGGAGCATGATAGGTTCCTCTGTTATCTGTATTTTTTCTGGATCACCTAGTGCAGTGGTTCCTGCTTCTTTTAACAAATAAATTCTCCGACTTGCTTGACTTTACCTTCAGAAGCAAAATCATCAATAAATGACTGCAAATCGCGTATTTGACTGACAACATCTACTGAATCTATGTGAATTTATGTGTTGTTTTATATAGTAGGTTACCTTTACAGGACATGTGTACCTTGTAAAAAAAGAAAGAGAGAGAGAGAGAAAAGGAAAACAAAAGTCTTGACAAGAATTTCTCTTTAAAATTTACATTTAGCCCGCCTTGATGATTTAAAGTAAAAACCTAGTAATTTACAATTTATCACAGCTCCTTATTATTTAAAAGATTGTTTAAGACTTGGACCGTTGGCTCAAATTTTGATCTTACTGCAATGAATAGTATCAAAGACAATTGATTTTCAGAGGCTATTAAATGTGCTTAAAATGTCGGATCTGTAAAGGTACTAGAAAAAGCGTGCGCTATGACCAGAAGATAAAAAAAATCGCTTTTAAAAAATTGAGTTAAAAAAATTGCATGCTTTCGATCCTCGAGTAAGTTCTCCAAAGGATAATAGATTGACATTGTAAACCGCATGAAAGAAAGCTGAAGTTATGTGTTGAAATAATATAAAAAAGAAGAACCTATATTTAGTGTGGCCACCTTTTTCATCCATCAAAGATTGGTATCGGCTTTTCATGTTTCCGACTAAGTGTGCCGCATATTTTTCGTCGAAGTACAGCTTTTCAGTGCCTTGACTTGGTACCTGTTTGATCATCCTTTTTCTCCACATCTTGCTCTTTCAAGTCATTCAATAAACAAAGCCAAAATATAAAACATTTCTTTAAACGTTTCTTTAGGAAGAAACGTTCTTAAAAACCTAAAAATCGCCCATTTTAAGAAATTTACCCAACATCTTATACAATCATTGTTGAAATCAGCGACTTTACCTTCTGAAATGATTATATACTGACCCGAAATAAAAATCAACACTAGTTTTTTGTCATTCGAACTCAGTAACAAAGGTATCATGATCTAAGAACTCTTTAATATGCCTAGATGATACTTAAACGCGCTCAATTTTTTGTGGATGATTTGTTGAGATGTTTTAAGATAATATAAACAAAAAGGAATCAGTACTTGGTGGTACAGCCTTTAGCATGAATCACAGCTTGGTATTGGTTGATCATATTGTGTAGTAGTATGAATGTAATGAGAAGATAGTAGGGGAGGTATTCAACAGCCTCCTCGTATCTGTGTAAGTATTTTACATATACTGGTTAATATATGTTGTTAGTTTATTTCTCTCTTTTATGTCGCTTCTATTTTCTGCTCTTCCTTATAATCTAATGTAAGTAACAATATAACTATTATTCATGTATCTCATGCTCTGCCTAATTTCTAGATTTTCAATAGTGTACTTTGATATAGCCAATCATAGCTCGAGTAAGTAGAAGCATTCTATATATCACTTTATCTCTTCACAAGTCCATATTTGCTTTTTCAACAGAGAGCTTGAAGCATTGAATCTCGTCTATATGTTTAGAAGCCATGATGTGTTATTAGCTATCTTCTTTTTGCTTGAAAAGGATTAGCTGTAGTGTTTAATTGCATAAAAGTCAGCCAGCCCAACATTTTCTCGCGCTTATTACGTTTTCTTAAAAAATGCTTTATGGTCCGAGATCTGAACAAGAAACCTGGAGAAACTGTATCAAAGTTATTCTGGGGCTATTAGGTACGTATATGCCGTTGAGGTCTTGAATAGCTGTATAATAAACAAACATATACATATAGAGGACAGTTTACTGAACGGATCTACACCTTCTACGAAAGTTAACTTTGACGAGTTTTGGCTTTATAACAATACAAGTTCAGGTAAAACAAAAATAGTTTGTATGCAGTGCAGCTCATATTTCTATAGAACTACTTTCAGCACCTGCTTCACCTAGTGCCCAAAGTATCAAACGAAAAAGAAGCTTTTCTGACTGTGACCAAGACCGCAAAATACAAAAATTGTCAAGCAGTTTAGCGAATGATATTGCACGTAGTTTATCAGTGTCTATGGATGATATGGATATGTCGTCCTCTCCTCAACTATCCAATAATTTCAGCATTTATAGCAACAACAAGCCTCAAAAAGAGAATCCAGTGCCAACATTGCGCCGTATTTCTCTCAGTGGCATTATGAACCCGGCCAATGCATCTTCTATGGAGCAATGGCTAGAGACACAAGCACACCGGCATCATCTTCCATTATCAGACTATAAAAAAATGTTTCATGAAAAGCAAAAGATGTTACGAGAGGAACTGGATATATTGCAGAAACCAGATCAAACATTTGAATCAATACGAGAACATTTGACATGCGTATTAAGATTGGCAGACGAATTGAGTGGAGATCGCAATTTACCATTTAATGTAAATAATTGATGTCTAATCATACACATTACTGAATATCTACTATAGAAAATATTTCCAGAATGGACGTTGTACGAAGGAAAAATCAATAACTTGGCATCTTATGTACAATCAGTAGAAGATATGAGTTTCTCAGTCAACAAGACGATTCCACAATCTGATGATTTATTGCAGGATATTAAAGGATTACAAAGCTTGTTAGATGCTAAAATGTCCTTGTACGGTGATGTCTTGATACAGAATGGATTAGAATGGAAAGCGATGGGGATGCCTGTCAATGAACAACTCTTGATTGCAACAAAAGAATGGATTCATCATCTCTGTAACGATTTATTGAATGCATTGAATAATGAGTGCAAAAAAGCACAAGATTTGGTACATGACATGAAAGCACTTGTTCATTCACCTATGGGGGAGAAGGTAAAATGCATAGGTATAACTAGAGTATACTAATTGAATAGTTAATGGCTTCTATTCTGGCTGGATTAGAATTTATAGCAGAAGCGTCTACTCTAATAGGCTTTACTTCTTTAAGGATTGTGAATGAATGCCATATGTTGGCTATTATCTATGGTCAATGGGTTTCTGAAAATCTAGAGCATATCAACGACAAATCAAAAAAAAACAGATCATACACAACAACCAAAAGAACAGATATTCGCTTTATGCATTTACTTGAAACTATGACACGCATCTTATCAGCATTGTATACCCTCAATGAATTGGAAATATCACCCAGCTATGGCTCAATCTCCTATGTAGATAACTTAACATCTGTCTTGGTAGAGCTGACTGTGCGGGCAGTAAGCATGATTGAGATTCACCGAGCCAACGAAGCACCCAGCAAGACAGTGGCAGGCAATATCATGTCACATCCACAAACAACATTTATTTATATGGGAGAGTCTTTATTAACATTTGCAAGCAAGATCCTTGAACTGTCAGGACAGGAAGGGACATTTGAAAATAGAATTAAGGTATAGTGATTAATGCAAATTAGAATATATATTTATGCTATTTTATTATTAGACATTGCATTCTTATCTGCAAGACCTTGAAGACTCCTTGGAATCCTCTTGATTGTACATAAATTTAATATATCCTCTTACAAGATATGCAGTAATAAAATATAAGAAAAACTCCGTTCTAACTGTGGATGTATTGTTCTCGCGTGGTTGCATGTAGATGCCACACATCATAGGCTGTAGTACAAATGTCAAGAGCACCCCAATATTCTTTCAATTGGATTAATTTGCAATTAATTTTTATTGGGCTGTAGTACAAGTCTCTGTACAAGTCACTATTTTTCTCTAATGGTCTGATTCTGGCCTTCTCTTTATTTCTTTTCTTTTCTCTCTTTCTCTTTCACCCCCTTTTTTTTCTCTTTTCTTTCTCGACTCATACATTTTTATTATGTCTTTAGTTTATTCTACAGATACAGAAAACTATATATCTGCGCCACTACCAACTCATATCTCACAAGGTGTTCATTATGATTCATATCAAAAATACAACACTGTTCAGTCAGAAGTAGCTGTTTTTACTGTTCCCGATAACTTCCAATTTGACGAAAAGAAAAAATCTACACCCAAATCCAACTCATGGTTTAATACCACTGCTTTTTCCAACACAAATAACAACAAAGGCATTCGTCGAGTTGCTTCAGCACCTGACGCAAACCATATTCAACCTCTCAAGACAAAGGGGTCTTCGGTTACACTGCAGAGTCCAGATGCACAGAGACATCAACTAGAACGTATCAAGCTGTGTAGACGTACTTATTCAAGTAGTAGCATCAAGATAAAAACACTTGAAGTTGGTCCTTCTAGTTTTTCAAAAATCCGCATGTTAGGCAAAGGCGACGTTGGGAAAGTATACATGGTTAGACAAAAGGGCAACGACAAATTGTTTGCCATGAAGGGTAAATAACACAAATAGATTTTTCTGGTTCTTTTATTAATATGTCTTCTTAGTTCTTTCAAAGAAAGAAATGATCAAGCGAAACAAAATCAAACGCGCTCTAGCAGAGCAAGAGATTTTGATGACTTCAAACCACCCATTCATTGTAACTTTATATCACTGCTTTCAAAGTCAAGATTATCTTTATTTTGTTATGGAATATTGTATGGGTGGTGAATTCTTTCGAGGTAACATATACATTCAAAGAGATATGCATTGTGTTTATTTTTTTATCTCGTTAGCATTGCAATTAAGACCGGGAAAATGTCTGAATGAAGATGGTGCTCGTTTTTATGCTGCAGAAGTGACAGCAGCATTAGAATACCTTCATCTTCAAGGTCATATTTATCGTGATCTCAAGCCAGAAAGTAAGTCTTAGTATAGCCTAAAATAGATTTACTTAACAACAACAGATATCTTATTACATCAAAGCGGACATATCATGTTGACTGATTTTGATCTCAGTAAAGGCTCGACACCTCCAGGTCAACCAGGTGTCGTGAAATCCAAATCACCTAATCTGGTAATTTTTCATAATAGGTTGTTTATAATTATTGACATCTCAATCTAGCCACCTTCAATCAATACAAAAAGTTGTGTGAATGGATTGCGAACAAACAGTTTTGTGGGCACAGAAGAATACATTGCACCTGAAGTCATTAAAGGATGTGGTCATACAAGTGCAGTTGATTGGTGGACATTGGGTATACTTATTTATGAGATGCTTGTAGGTATTTATAGATGCTGTGTACAAGCTTGTTTTTTACTGATCCATCTCTCTCTTTTTATGTTAGTTTGGCACCACACCATTTAAGGGCAATGGTCGAAATGAGACCTTCTCCAATATTCTTCACACAGACATTCGATTTCCTCACCAACCTGCACCTTATAATGGCAATGTTTCCAGCAATACTAAAAACTTGATCCGCAAACTTTTGCACAAGGACGAAAATCAGCGTCTTGGATCTCGTGCGGGTGCAGCTGATGTTAAACAACACCCTTTTTTCAAGACGATCAACTTTGCTCTCTTGAGAAATATGACGCCACCTATTGTACCGATTGTACACAAACCAAATGGCATTGATGCTGTCAATTTTAGAAAGATGCAAGAAAGTGTTAGTCTAGACTTAGAAGCAGATGGGCTTAAAATCATTAGTACAATGGAAAAGTCCAATCCTTTCGAAAAGTTTGATTCCAGTAAGTTACTCTGTTTTGATTGCTCGGAATACTTATTTTTTTTCTCTCTAGTTACTTTGTACCACATGGGTGATTCTGATTCTGAATTAGACGATGAATAAGTTATATACACACATACACACATATACACACATGGCATTATACATATATACACACGCACAATACCCTATTGACTCACATATACACTTTATTCATACTACGCTTTTAAGAAGAAGAAGAAGAAGAAAAAAGAAAAAAACAAAAACTGTTCTCTCAGTGTAATAGATTTATATTTAATTGCATACTTTTTTTTTTTTAAAAAAAAAACTACTTACTAATGTTACTAATTAAAAAAGAAAACAATTACTCTTTATATCCATTTTCTTGATTAAGGAATGCAGTGTATTCATAAAAGTGTTGTTATTGTTATCCTAAAGAGAAACATATAAATGAATATGTTCTCTATGCTTCGGCGCAAAAGAGAAAAGGTCTGCTTTCTCTCTTTATAGTGATACAACCAAGAAGAACAAGTTATTCACAAGTGGTTTTGCAACGAGAAGTCTGTTTTTTTATTGTTAAATTGAGCTGTACAACTCGTATTGCATAATTGTGTTCAGAAACGACAAACGAATTGGTTTCAAAAAGGGGCACTGTTCGTTCAGGCCCGATCAATTATAAACACAATTCAGGGTTTTATTATACGCACGCAGAAGTCTGCATTTCAATTCATGAGTGTGACTCGAACGTTTGCAGGAGTTAAAACATGGCATACATGCGACTTTGTTCAATACCTGTTGCACAGCTGCTTCTAAAATGATAATATTTGGCACCATGGCAATTACTTTTAGGGGGTTTTGACATGTGAAAGGAAAGAGTTGTGGCAAAATGTATAAAAACAACATTAAGACAGCCACTGTTTAAAATAAGGTCTTCTCAAAGTCTTAGAACAGTCACGAAGTTGGCCTCGAGAAAAAAAATCAAATCAACTTTTAACGAGGTTATCATGTCAAATACACAACAAGAAAGCTTATTTTTAAAGGTTTATCAGAGTGCTGATCATCAGATTGAAGACCAAAGTGCAGAGGACCCATTCCCAGCTTATTTAGATGATATTGATACCACACTTGCACCCTTTTGTCCAACTTCTGCTCAGCGTGTATTAAAAGCACTCGGTATGGCTCGTGTGGGATCTCAAGACATACTTGTCGATCTAGGTTCTGGCGATGGTCGTTTTGTTACAGCTGCTGTATCAGAATTCAAGGCTTTAAGAGCAGTTGGTATTGAATCCGATAATGAATTAGTAGAAACGTCAAAAACACTAGCAAATCAAGTCTTGTCCTCAGAGAATAGTGGAAGGGTCTCCTTTATTTTAGGCGATTTATTAGACTTACCAAAGATAGTTCATGATACAGACTGGACAGTCATTGTTTTGTTCCTTTTGCCCGATCATACGGACAAATTTTCAGATATGCTATTACAGCATTATCGTAAAGGAGCTCGTATTGTCAGTTTGGTTTTTAATCTCAATGAAATACCAGAGTTAAAGCTGATAGCGTCAGATGAATCAGATGGGATCTACGTGTATGGCCAACAGTAACAAAGAAGATCACATGCTTTAGTCACACACAGATAGTTTGCAAATTACTATTATCATTATGCTGCATGATACACATATAGACACAGTTAAAGAAGGACTATTTCTTGTTGTTTTCTCGTGGATATCACCCTATTTAAGTCTTTGTAACAAAAAAAAAAAAAAACCTTAAATGCACTCTGCTTTTCACCCGAAAATCTCTTTATAACGTGAGTTTGTTTTTTTTCCTTTTTCTTTTTTCCCTTTTCTCTCTTTTTTCTTAATCTTTATATCACAATGACTCGTAAAACATCAGTGAAGCAATTAGTTAAACCGCTTTGTAAACTCTCTTTATTACCACACTGCCATACATTTGAACCCGACTTAGATTTTATACCAGAAAAAAAGCAACAAAAAGTCATATTAAAAGAGATAGGACAAACTGACATTGTGAGTTTATTGCCCAGAGAAGTAGTTCTCAAGATATTTTCACTATTATCTTTTCAAGATTTGATTCGTGTTCAATTGGTAAGTTATTTATAGGAAAACAAAACACCAATTTCATGATAGACTTGCCGAATGTGGCGCAGATTAGCTTTGGATGCATCTATCTGGCGGAAACGATTTTACGAGCTCAATTCAAGATTTACTGATATTTATGCACATAAACCTAATACATGGATTGAATCATCTTCTCTGCCATGGAAAACCAGATATTGTCAAGCCATTACATTTGCTAATTGGAGAATGGGGACTGTACAGAAATTGAACAAATTGGATGATAACGAAGGCAGTAGGATATTGTCTGTCAAGCTGAGAGACCAATTGTTGGTGACATTATCAGAAGTATGGACCTCCCGAAAACACAACAAGTTCACTCATATCAAGTATAGGATAACGTAGTAAAATTGTATCAATATACCACTGATACAGGTTTTACGTTTAAGTCCAAATGGTGCTTTGGTGATCCAATTACACAGCCAAACTGTATGATCGAGTGTGTTGATGTCTTGCCTGATATTCATATTTTGGTGGTAGCACAACGTGGATCGTGAGTAGTGTTGTACACATATCTTGTGAGAGTTTGTGTGCTAATCTTTTATAGAAAATGCATGTTTTATGATATTAATAAAGGATCCAAGCATGATCCAATTCAAGTATTAAAAGGTGGAAGTCATCCTTGGTTTATTCCTGATTCAATTTCGGTCAATCAAGATTACTTTGCAATGGCTGGTAGAAAACCTTCGGCTGTATTTGTCTGGAACTGGAGAAAAGGAGTAAGATTGTCAAGTAGGGTAAGTGTGTGTGTGTGTAAAAAAAAGGAGCTTGTATAAACACATTTCTTGTTTAGGCGTTTGATAATCAACCTCACAATGTCTTTTTATCCGGAGATAATTTGATTACAGTCAGTGTAGATGGTTTAGTCCATGTGTTTGATATTTTTGACAACATAAAAGATGCCAGAGTTACACACTATTTAAATGCCTGCAGTATTCCTTGTATTGACTACGACAATTCGCTTAGTATTGTGTTTGCACCACACGCTTCACGTCGAATTCATCACTATAAATGGAATGAACAGGTTGATGAAACGGTAGCAGTAACAGACCAAGAAGAGCAACCTAGCAGTAGTGATGAAGAACAAGACACTACGCCGGTTACACCTCTCCGAAGAAGATTTTCGACCACGTTTATCAATTTATTTAAATCTTCCGCTGCTATACCTAAAAGACAAGATTCATATAAACTACCACGCCCAGCAAGCAGCAGTAGTACAACATTATCTTCTCGTGAATTCTACAAATCTGTCCGATTAAGGCGTCACTCTTCTTATAATGATTATGGTTATGCTTGTCAAATGAGAACAGACCAATACATACGTGAACACAAAAGCCTACATCATCAACAAGTTCCTCTTCCTATACCTAGTTTTCAAGATAGACCTCGGTTGGTCCATTCAATTCGAACCACACCACTGGGTTCAACAGCAAAAGAAATAGTGAATGTAGCTATGCATGGGGAGCGAATAGCTACTGTCAATCGACATGGTGACATTGCTTTATATGCATTGAATGGTACAACAGCAGCCAGAGTGACAATACCACTTCATGACAAGCACGAATGGATGGAGTCAGAGGATGAAGACAACAGAAGGGATGACGATGAGTTATCAGATGGATATGATTCTATGAGGTCAAGGTTGGCTATGGGACCTATGGGATTGGTATATGGGTCGAAAGATGGCCGTCTTTGGTGGCTTGATTTTGGTTGCAGAGCACTACCTAATACTAAATAAATCAAAATCATATAAAAAACTTTTTATTTTATTATTGTTGTTTTTTCATGTTGTTCATAAGTTGAGTAATTCTATTTGCAATACCTTCTTTAGCTTTTTCGGTGACATTCAAATTGTGTTTATGACCAAATTCTTCGGCAATCTGCTTTGGATCCGAGTCTTTAAAGACCGAAATCGTCGTACTAATACCATCTGCTATAGCTAATTCAATTCGGAACCAAGGGACAGTGTCTTGAGCTGGTTTGGATAACAAATGCTTTGTGATTAATGACTTGTCCAATTTGACTCGAGGTTTCACTGATGGTGTGCTAGCATTAGATGCCGTAGCAGTAGATGTAGGTGGAGCAGATGCAGGTTCATTAGGCGCAGGTGGAGTGGAGACCTTGACAGGTTTGGATACGGGTAATTGAAAAAGAGGATCGAAGGGTTTTGCTTGTACATTTAAAGGTGTGCTTTGCACTGAAGCATTGGGGGTGAATGGACTGGGTGGAGGACTGAAATTAGATGCAAAGGCGCTCATTTGATGAGCAGAAGATGATGGTATAATAGCACTTGAAGGGGATTGTAAGTTTGATGGAGGTGCAGATTTGGGCTTAAATTCCTCAGCATCAAGACTCCATTTACCTTTCATTAAACTGTTTGGAGGAGTAGGTTGAGCAATGAGTCTTTGCTCTTGATGCTGTGTTGATATTTGAGGGTTAGATGGTTTTATTTCAGAAGTCGCAGGAAGTCGTGCTCGAGATTGTGCTATAGGTTTTTGTTTTTGAGCTGGAGGAGGAAAAGACTGAGGCTTTTTTTGCTCCCAAAAAGGTTCAGATGATAAATTAGCCATACCCCAGACAGAGTTAATAGGTGCAGCACGCTGAGCCATAGGTTTGTGAGTAATTGGTACATAGGGTCTATCAGCATTGCTGTGTCGAACAATAGGGGCCGTTGCCCTAGTAGTGTTAGAGAAAGGAGTAGTGTCCTTGGGCTTCTTTTTGGATTTCTTCTTAGGTTTTTTACCACCAAGGGCACTTGGAATAGGCTTTTTTAAACGTTGAGCAAGGATAAAGTCCTCAGACACAGGCTTAAAGTTAGCTCCACGTCTATGGAGGTCTCCGTTGCCTATACCACCTGCTTTTACTTTAGTTGAATGATCTATGAGAGAATCCCAAGTAGCTGGCTCGCTCTTTACATTGTCGCCCCAGCTAGTAATTTCTATATCTTCATATTCAGAGTCGTCGTCGTCTTCCTCATATTCAGAAGATTCGTGGTTGTTATCTACTGGTTGCCGACTCATGTTTATGAAAAGTCTATTGAGGACACTGTTGAATACACAAGAGAGTAAAGAGCAAGAATAACAAAAAAAATCACATCGCATTTGTTGTCTTTTCAGTGACTGTTAACACGAAGAATCATAACAATGAAAAGTATCTGCTTACTCTGAGAAATGGTGTGTGTGTGTGGGGGGGGGGGGGAGGTTCATTTATTACTGGTATTGTTATTATGTAAAATTAAAAATCAATGGCCCAAATTTTCCAAATCATAGTCTTGAGCATTTAATGGCTGATAGGTGCCTCTTCCTCTCCAGCGAGCTGTAGCTAAAGATAGTTTTTGCCAAGCGCTTGTCTTTTCTACTTGTTGCTCTAACTCAGGCTTTCTCCAGAACCATCTCAACATCAAACTACTCACTACTACACTTGTTGAACTAGCAGCCATAGCCATACCAGCCATCATTGGAGGTAAGTGCAATCCAAAAGGCATAAAGATACCCATTGCAAGAGGAATACCAACCATATTATAGATACAAGCCCATAACAAATTGAGTTTGATACGTCTAAAGATACTTCTTGAAAGCTCCAGAGCCACTACAACATCAGTTAAATCATTGCGCATCAAAACGACATCAGCAGCTTCCATAGCAATATCTGTTCCACTACATAAAGCAACTCCCAAATTAGCAGCAGCTAAAGCAGGAGAGTCATTGATGCCGTCGCCAACCATAGCCACAACAGTAGGAGCAAGGCGATGAGACCAAGGCAAGAAGCTAGTCTTCACCCTTAATTGTGATTGAATATCCTTCACAATCTGTGTCTTGCCACTTGGAGAAATACCTGCATGTACTTCAGTGATGCCTAAGCGAGATGCAATGCATTGAGCTGTTAATGCATTGTCACCTGTGACCATGGCTGTGTCAATACCCATTTTATGCAGACTAGCAATGACCAATTTAGCTTCTGGCTTGAGGGTATCCGAGATAGAAATAAAACCCATAGGAAGACCGTCTACAGCGACTAAAATACTTGTGCACCCTTGAGCTAATTCTTTTTCGATGGTTTGAATCTGTTCATCTGATAAACCAATGCCATGATGGTCTTCTAACCAGGCTTGATTACCCACAATAACTTGATAAGGTTGACTAAAGTCTTCATTAAGCGTTACATGACACTGTATGCCATAACCAGTTTCACTCTTGAAGTCTGACACAGAACCCAAATGATCTAAAGATGACTCGGCAAGCGTTTGTGTTAATGCCTTGGTCTTGTTGACAACAGCACGTCCCAACAAATGCTCACTTCTGGCTTCAGCAAGAGCAGCAAGCAAGAGCATCTTATGCTTGGTTGTTTCACGATCATCCCAGCTGTGATAGTTCACTACTTGTACTTGACCTGTGGTCAATGTTCCTGTCTTGTCAAACACAACCTTGTTGACTTTCTGACCATTTTCAAGCACATCGCCACCTTTAAAGATCACACCGTGTTCTGCAGCTAGACCTGTGCCAACCATAACAGCAGTAGGCGTAGCAAGTCCCAAAGCACAAGGACAAGCAACGATAATAACACTAATACACATCTTGAGGCAGACAAAGAACCAATCACCATTATTGCCTTCTTTGATAATTTCATGTTGCAAAAGCGCAGGCATATGGCTGACACCCAAACAGCCTACCAATACAGACCAAATAACTAAGGTGGAAATACCCAAAACGAGAACAGATGGCACAAACACACCAGCAACCCTGTCGGTGAATCCTTGAATAGGTGCTTTATTTACTTGAGCATCTTCTACCAATCGAACAATTTGGCTGAGAGCAGTTTCAGAACCTACACGGATGGCCTTCATCACAAATGTGCCGAGTCCGTTCACTGTACCACCAATCACAGTATCACCTGCTTTTTTGTTGATAGGATCGATTTCACCTGTGATCATGCTTTCATCAACAGAAGATTCACCAGAGACCAAAACACCATCTGTAGGTATCTTATCACCAGGCACAATCTTTAAATAATCATTGATTTGCACGAGTTCCGAAGGGATTTGCTTCTCTGAGAGAATAGTTCCATCCTTAGAGAGTTGAACCATAGTAGCAGTAGAAGGAGTAAGCGACATTAATTTGGACAGTGCGGAAGAGGATTGCCCTTTGGCCAAGTTCTCCATATATCGACCTGCCATAATAAATGTAACCAGCGTAGCAGAAGTATCAAAAAAGACAGAAGGACGAGTAGAAGAAGCATTGTAAATGGCTCTGATCATGGAAATAATCGAGAAAAAGTAAGCAGACAAGGTGGATAAAGCAACTAAGACATCCATGGTAGGTGCATTGTGTTTCAGTGATTGATAAGCAGACACTAAGAAGCGCTTCCCAATGATGAATTGTACAGGTGTTGCCAAAGCCAACTGCAACACGTCAAACAAGTAAAGTCCTGGTATAATATATGTAGGTGTATTCAAAATCTCTCTACCCCACTTGAACTCAGGCAGTATCATAGCCATCAAAAACACAGGAAAGGCAAATGCAAAACTTTGCCAGAAACCACGACGCCATTGTTTGATTTCCCTGATTTTGGACAAACTTTCCAGTTGTACACTCTTGGATTTGTCGCTTACAAGAGCATTGAATCCTATTGACTCAATTTTTTCAACAATTTCTCGAGGGCCTATTGTGGATTGGTTGTATGTAATTATGCCTGATTCTGTCATTAAGTTGACAGATACTGTATGTATACCATTCATTTTCAAAAGTTCTCGCTCAATGGCGTTAACACAGCTAGCACAGGTCATACCGAAGATCTGAAGTTGAAGTCTGCTTGAGCGTTGCTGAACATTATCTACAAGAACTGTAGCATCGAATCCCATGCCGTTTATCGAGTCTATGATTTGATTAATCTGAATGACCGTAGGATCGTAACTAACTGTAGCTGACTCTGCAAGCAATGACACTTGGACCGCAGAAATGCCTTGTATGGCAGATAATCCTCTTTCAATGCTGTTGACGCATGAGGCGCAGGTCATGCCGGTAACGCGTAGCTGTGCAGTTGTGTCTGACTGCTGAGTTATGTTTTGCTGAATCGTTGGCTCAACTGTTGGCTTTGGCTGCACAGGTTTGTTACTGTCTTGAGAATAAAGAGCCGCATCGAATCCACACTCCCTAATCGTATCAATAATTTTATCCTGTGTAATTATCGAGGGCTGATATTGTATTGTTGCCGTCGCATCCTCTAAACTGACGCTGATTGATTCTAAACCTTGAAGTGATAAGCTTGAATTTGTAATGGATTTCACGCAAGATTGACAAGTCATGCCTTGGATACTCAGTTTGATCTCGGAGATTTTCGGTACATCAAATCCGCAATCTTCAATTGCTGCTATGAGTGTTTCCTTAGAGACTATATCCGAATGAGTGATGGTAGCGTTTTTATGTTCTAGGCTGATTTGTACTGTTTCTGTAAGAGGGGCAAGTGCTTTTGTTATTGCGTTGACACAAGAGTGACAAGTCATTCCTTCTATTGGAATGATTGATGTTATATTTGTCATCCTGGACTATCTTTTTCAGTTGATGTGTAGTAAAGGGAAAAAAAAGCAAAAGTGAAAAAGCGGTCGAGAATGAACACAAAAAAAAATTGTTCTTTTTATTTTTATTCATCGGCATATCTAGTTTTCCCGACAACAATGATATCACTTTTGTTTAGACCACATAAAAAAAGTTTCAAGAAGTATTCCAGCATGTATCTTGTTTATGCATCTAAAAACCCTCCCCAGAGCTAAATTACTAAAAAGATAAATCTTTGAAACAGTAAATCGAGCAATAAAGAATTCAAACTGACGGAGGGTTGGAATGATCAATGGTAAAAAAAAAAACAAATGTAATGAATCAAAGGCTTGGATAATGGTTTTTCCACATACGATTTATTTAAACAGGAGAGTTACCAGTGTATGTAGGGTTAGCAATAACCTAATGGAAGGTTTATGAATATGTGCCACCAAGTATGTGATGTTTAATCTTACCTCAACCCAGTAATTATCGGGATCAGCAATGAAAGCAATGTTCTTCATGCTACCATCAGTCAACTTCTTAATGAATTTAACACCAAGAGACTCAAAACGCTCGCAGGCCTTTTCAATATTGTCAACAAGGATAGCAGTATGACCAAAGCCACGACCAGGCTCGGTGTTACCATTAGCATAAGCGAAATCAGCTTGATCTTCAGTGCCCCAGTTGCTTTCAATCAAATCAGAATCATCCCTCTCTTTTGCATACAAAATGGTTGTACTTACTGTGTTAATTCAAGAACACCGGGGATACTGAAAGCCAACTTTTTCTTTTCTTCTTCAGCTTCAGGAACTTTGTCAACGTATGCCAAAAAATAAAGAGTGAATTTGGCAGAAGGAAAATCGCTCTTGGTGATAAGCCTAGTATAAAAACGCGTCAAATACTGCTTTGTTTAGCATGAAATACTTACTTCATACCGAGAACTTCAGTGTAAAAATGGAGAGAGGCCTTGGGATCCTTGACACGGATCATGGTGTGGTTGAAGACATACTTGGTAGGATCAGTGGACATATTGGTTATGAATAAAAAGTGAAACTACTGGGGAAGAAATTCAAAAAAAAAAATTGGGTTTTATATTAAGAACAATTGACGCAATCAGTACATGAACTTGCCAGAATTTATAATCTGCTGAACACGAAATTCGTTCAAATCTCTAGGATGCTTAATAAGCCCGAAGACCAAGATACATAAACACATTGGCTCACTGCAGAAGCATGCTGTGAAGTCTCTTATTGGGACTCAGACGGATAAAAGTTTGTGTTATCAGTAAAGCCTTTGTTTAGCTGCTAAAAAGGACATTGTAAATATAATTCTTGACGCAGTTCTTGTTCTTTTCTAGAAGAATAAAAAGGCCCTTCCTCTCCAATGTCGACTCCAAAAAAGGAACCACTTTTGCGCATATAGTGATTTAAAGGTGATCAAAACTGTAAGCGTTCCATAATGAAAAAAAAAACGAAATCGTTATTTTATGGATTATGTATTAATTCCTTTCAATCGCGGGCATGTAAATACTTCAATAGCAAAGAAGACAACAATTGAGACAGATCTTCTTCTTTTTGTTAGGCATGTAAAGGTAGTATAGATCCTGTTAATACATGCATAAGTACTTTAGGTATCTGCAAATAATATCTAATAACATCCAGGATACCTTTGGGATTGATTTGAGCCAAAAAGAGCGACTTGTAAAAAATGGTCTAAATGATCATTCGACCAAAGGGTACTACTCATGGAAATCTTGAGTTTGATAACTTTCCAGTTTTTTTTTCTCAATGTGTTTTCTTGCTAATTACAGTATGAAAATGATGCGACATAAGCGAAAAAGCTCGTAAACATTTCTTCACATTTGCTCAATATTTTAGCAGCAAAGCTGCTGCGTTCTCTACATCAACAGACTTACAATGCAAAGATCTAAAACTTTTGTTATTGCGTCAAAGCTGAAAAACTACGTCTTCATGCAGTTCTCGGCACAAGCTCGATTTTTGATGCGGCGGGATGAAGATTTGGAGTTACCTTCCGTTTTCAATTTCCACTCACAGCCATCCTGCATGTCCTGTGTCAGTTCGTCCCACGTTCGCATTATAAAATGCCTATATTTCTATCCTCTCATGTTCTTTAGCACTCGAAGTCTCATACAACGCTTTAGAGTCATCCATTGCTAGCACATTTCATATGCCATCTAGAGCAAGAATGCTCAAATCACAGCTTAAACGAGCCATTCTTTTTTGAGTATTTCTCAAAACATAAGCACACATGAAAATTCTCATTGCTTTGAGAAAAGGTTATCTTATGTAGATGGACGTTCGCTATTCTATTGAAGATAAAAAGCTGCTGTTGAGAAAGTAATTTAAAACAGTACACGCTACGATTAATTGACATGAGTTTTGCAGTGCGCTGTTAGAGCGCGCCATTATAACATGTCAAGCATAGTACAGATCAAATGATTAAAATTGAATCATCAAATTGCTTGTACTCTTCTCTATTCGGTGTAGATTTCAAAGACTAGCCTGATTGTCAACACTAAAAAGTCTAGATACTCTGTTATAAGATAATCCATGCTTGGTCGGATGGCATAGTTTTAAACCTAAATATTCACACAAAATTCTCTTGGCTTCATGTTATTACTTTATTTATTTTTGTTGACCTTGTAATGTAACTACAATGCGACGAGCTCCACCATAATTACGGTGTTCGCACAAATAAATTCTATTGTCAATCATTAATAAAAGGCTTTACATGCCTGTGTATATACTTACCCTTGCCAAGTACCTAAGTTGAGCTTTCCGTTCGTGATTGGAATATTCAAGGAAACACCTACAATGCCTGATTTCAAATGACCAGGCTAAATTATGACAGTAAGAGATCACGCATGAACATCCCTTTTTATTGTCTTACCATATCATCAGCACCTTCTGCTGTATGAATATAAGGGAAATTCTCGGGAACAATCTTGTTTAAACCCATTTCCATATCTTTCTGTACATCAGGATCACAATTTTCATTGAGCATTAATGAAGCAGAAGTGTGTTGCACTAGTGAGAATTAGTCAAGATAAATGCGATACGCGTCTATTTACAGAAAACATTGGCAATACCAACTTTGAAAGACTTTAGTTCGGGAAGTTGGTTTACAATCTCGCTATGAACAAGATGGCAACCTATTCTTTTGTATCAGCTGTTGTTATTGTATCTAGTACCACTTTACCTCTGGAGCGTTCTTTTAAACGAATTTCTCTTTGTACCCAAGACATATCTTTATAAGAAGGATGAAAACGCTTACTAGTGAGTTCTTACGTAGTCTTGACATTTAGACCCACGTCACGTATTTTGTAATCGAAACCCAGGATTTTGTTTAAATTACATCTTGGCATGGGTTTCCCTTTTCAAGTAAATTTGCACTTTTAGAGGCTGTTATTTTTCTTACTACTTGTAACACAGTGGCCCAAAATAAACCCAATTTGCCAGTTATGTACGGGAAAGAACTTTTCCGAAAGTCATTTTTTTCTTTTCCCCTTTCTTTTTCTGCTTTTTTCCCTTTTTTTTCTTTTGTTTTTCAACATGTCTTGTACTTATCGATTTATAAACTCATCCTTGTCTCAACTCCCGGCTCAGAGGTATAGAATATAGATTTAAGTGTGTGCATACACTCACAATCATTTCTCTTCCAGAGACTTCAACATCATTCTAAGACAGCAACCTAATCAAGCAAAAATGAGTGTTCCTAACGAAAGAGACAGACGATCAATAGAACCACCACCTATTCTTCAAGTTCAATGGCTGAATTGTACACCCGAACATCAAAAGTAATAAAGAAAAATGACCAAAAGTATATGAGACTCATGAGTAACATAGACAATCATTACAGAGTCCATTCTACTTTATGATGGTCAATCTCTTACCTGCAGAACATCCAGATATCACTTGTCCTTTACCTACTCAAGAATATTTATCCGGCACTATTGTTTCATCTCTTCATCGGCTAAGGGATGTAGATAACGTAGACGGTGGTTTCTTTATATTTGGCGATCTGGCAGTTAAGAAGCCAGGGCACTTTCGATTACATTTTAGTCTATTTGAAATAATAGAGTAAGGGAAATAGGCTCTAATTTTTCTTTAATCATGTTCTTTAGTGGTATTGTAGGAAACTGTAAAAACAAACTATCAGAGCCATTTATTGTCTATACCCCCAAAATGTATCCAGGTCCAATTAAGTCTACTTTTCTATCTCGTACATTTTCTGATCAAGGGATTAAAATACGTGTGCGTAAAGACACTCAAGTACAGACAACTAGTCAACAAAAAAGGTAATAAACAATCAATCATGTATTTGTATTTATTTTTTTTCCAGGTCAAGCACAATACGGAAAAGAAAACATACAAGTCAACACAATGCGCCTATTATGAAAAAAGAAATTCTATCACTACCTTCTTATGCCTCAGACCATCCTGCTGCTCATTTTGGTCGATGGCAGTCTTGGCATCCAATAATAAGTAGAAAGGATACCCCGCAAGCATTGACACCCTCTCATTTGTCGCCTATATCTTCACCCACTTTATCCCACCAATCTTCATCTTCTACACATAGTTTGCCGCCTATGACCAGCCCTAGTTTGCCTAGTCTTATGCACTCAGTTCCTTTTGAACACTACAGGCTGCCTCCTCCTAGGGAGATTATAAATAATCGGCATTCAAATGATATTTACCATACATATACATCACCCTTTCCTTTAGACAGTTCGTTTTTTAAATAAATTGCTTTTCATTGGACAACGTGGCATAACTTATAGACAAAAAGAAAACTCTTTTGAATTTTTTTGTTTTTTTTATTAGTCTTTTTTATTTACAGGGAACAAAGCTAAGATAGCCTATTCAGAAGGCCATTATAATCTTTCTGTCCTTTTCTTTTTTTCTTTTCCCAGTAGAATTGAAATACATTCACTAAGATATTTAAACTCCGACGTTCTTTTAGGCCGTCGACTATAAAGAATTACAACTGTTCTCTTTCTCTTTTCTTTTTTGTTTTCTATTATGGATATCACTATTAACATTCGCTCGCCTTCTTTAAACGACACTCTTGTTGTTGTCATAAATACAGATAGTACTATTGCAAATCTAAAGGAGTCTATTGAGTCTGTTCATCCTCAACATCCTCTTCCTAGTAATCAACGCATTATTTACAACGGGAAGCTATTAGAAGACTCGGACACTCTTTTGAATATCTTGAAAAAGGCAATTCATTATAATGAAATAGTACTTATAACTCATTTATATATATAGGTTGATAAAGAGGTCCATCCTATCTTTCATTTAGTCGTGAAACCTTCTGTTCAATCACTTAAGCAAGCCCCTTTGAAGCCAGCGTTTGCTAGTCCCATACTGCAACAGACACAACCTCGACCAGAACAAACTCCACAACCGCCACCAGAACAGCCACAGATAAATCAAAATGAAACTCTACCCCAACTTCCCGGTATGCTACCTGGTGGATACCAAGTAGTCTATATCAAGTAAGTCATTGTGTTGTATCTTTAATGAATAACATTTAAAGTGGTCAATATTATCTTGCACCTGTTCTCGCATCCCTTCAACCCTTACCTCAGCAACAACCATTTCATATACCACAACAGCAACAAGGACCTTTGGATCCACTTATTCAACAACAAATTCAACCACAACAACAACCACAACAACAACCACAACAACAACCACAACAACAACCACAACAACCCATGATTATTAATCAATTTGGCAACATTCAAGCACAAAGAGCAACTTCTATTTGGCTTGCACTTAAATTAGTGGTCGTCTTGTTTATGGTCTGCCAAGGTGCAAGTATTGATCGTATCTTTATTTTTCATACAATTGCTATTGTTTTCTTTTTATATCAAACAGGAAGGTTGAGATTAGTCTTGCGACGTGTTGGTGCACCACAAAACTTGAACCAATTTGGATTCAATCCACCAAATAACAATAATAATAATAATAATAATAATGCTCCTGTTCCTGTTGGTGCTGAAGGTAATCAAGAACAGCAGCAACAAGAAGGCAGAGAATCATCAGGTAGTCAAGGTACTACTGCCGAGGCTTCTTCTTCTCCTACTCTTACTCCAGCTAGACCAACTACCGCCTTGGATGTTTGGAAAAGAGGCCTCTATGCATTCGCTGCTTCCTTATGGCCAACATACGGTGTAGATCCTCGGATTGCTCAAGCTTTTGAAAATAACAATAATGATCAAGCAGAAGCATAAGTTGTAAATAATAATAAAAATATGTGTGTGGAATTATTTTATGTATGAATTGCACTAGATCATGTAGATAAGTTGTTTCATCTCTGGGAGTTGTGTCATAATTTGACTAGATTAGGTAAAAATTATCGTTAAAACATTGGCTAAACTTTTAGGAAGGACTTTTTTTTTTTCTACTGTTGGAGGAAAGGTAACACAATATGTGCTGTGTATATTTTTGCTTTTTTCGTCATTTTTTTTTTCTTTTTTTAAGCTTTGTTGATCAAATGAGTCGATATTTAGAAAAGTTGCCTTATTTTATATCACATTTTCTTGGCTATAGAAAACCAGACTATAAGCCAAAGATTCTTCCTGCTTGGCGAATTTATCTTTGGTCATTTTTAGCTGCTTGGTTAGGTATTGCAGTTTTGGAAATCGTTTTTACATATGGTCCTTCATTTCAAGCACATCAAACACCAATGATTATTGCTTCATTCGTATGTTTTTATCCATGTATATAATTCAATGCTTATATAGAATGTTAGGGCGCAAGTGCTGTATTAATCTATGGCGCGATCGATTCCCCATTAGCACAGCCTCGTAATATTATCTGTGGCCAAATTATAGGTGCAGTAGCAGGCGTCATTATCTCTCAATTATTCTTGGGCATTCAACATACCTGGGCTTCTGAAGGGCAACACATTGCTGTCCAATGGGTTGGTGGCTCAACAGCCATGGCCTTGTCTTTGATTCTGATGCAAATAACAAAGACAGTGCATCCTCCAGGAGGTGCTACAGCACTTATTGCTGTCACAACCCTCAATGTGTTTGAGATCAAATGGTTCTATATAGGTGTAGTTGCACTATCTGCTGTTTTGCAAGTAGTCATTGCTTGCTTGATAAATAATATTGAGAGAAAATACCCTCTATATTGGTGGACACCTGTTCAATTACCTTTAAAAATTGATCCTACCACTTTATCAACTGTTATGTCGACTCATGGCACACATAAGGATGAAGATGTCGTTATTGATAACTTGACAGGAGCTGAAGAAGGAAGGTTACATTATGCAGAAGATAATGATAACGATAACGATATTATAAGAGGAATAGCAGTAACAGCAACAAGGTCTTCCTCAGCCACAGCGTTGGATCATCATGCTGTATCGAAAGCGATTGCTACTCTACAAGATCATGCATCTATAGAAAGAAAAGATCATTGTCAATATATCTTACTAGCTGCTGGAGAGCCATTAATAACAAGTCGTCATGTGAATCTATCAGGAAACGAAAAGGCTTTATTAGAAGCCTTGTTAAACAAATTACACTAATAAGCTTGTTCTAGACACATATGTAAACAAATACAAAGTAATTTTATTTCAAAACTTATTTCTTGTGCTTGTTCTTCTTGTGCTTGCGACGACGATTGTTCTTTCTCTTCTTTTCTTGCTTTTTGAATGCTGCTTGCCATTGATTGTGTTTCATGCGGTCCAGAGTATCCAGCATTTGTTCGCACTTTTTAACCAATGATCGACGCTTTTCACGAATCTCATCATCACCTTCACTTTGAATAGCGTCCAACTTGAGCAAAAGGCGCGTTAACTCATCTTCAGAGCCAAGGAACTTTCGATTCGCATCAGAAGAAGCAGTGACCATTAAAGTGCCTTCAGGTTGCTTTGTGAAACTGAGTTGAGACTTCAAAACATTGTTCCAGCGTTGCAAAAGTTCACTTTTATCATCAGTCAATTGCTTGGCAATAGCGTCTAAAGCTTCCAACTTGCTTGCCTTTTGGGAATCAACCTGAGCACCCTTTTGTTCAGCTGCAACCGAATCAACAAAATCAGACTCTTCTTGTGTCTTTTTATTTTCTTCGTCTGCTTCTTGAATCATCATATTGGCTTCCTTTTCAACAGGTGTGCTGGGCAAACTTTCACGAGTAGGGGTAGGTTCAGCCTCTGTAAAGATATGTTTGGGAAGGTAAGATTTTTGTTGCTTGGGCTCTTCTTCTTCTTGCTTGGGTTCCTTTTCATCGTGAGGCATGGGTTCAGAAGAAGGTTCAGACGTGGCCCAAATACCAGAAGGCTTTGGTTCGTCATTGTACAACTTTTGTGGTGGCGGTGCACGGTCAAGATGACCGAGAAGTTGTTCGTTGACCAAGACAGGTTCAGAAGCAAGTTTTTGTATAAGCTCTTGTAAGCCCACAACATGGTCTTGAACAGTAGGAGGTGGTGTTGATGCACTTGAGGTAGCTGCTGAAGACTCTTGCTTGTCCGTATCTTCCTCTTCAGATAAATCTTCTTCTTCCTCTTCCTTTTCTTCTCTTGAGCGGTTATCCACAGTATCATTTGATGGTTGGAGTATCTTGTCTTGCTCAGAGGACAAAAATGCAGTACGAGGTGTCTCTGAATCGAGCTTCTGATCTGACAAGTATTTCCAGACCTCATCCATGGCTAGATCTTGTTTGTCTTCGTCCCTCATAGGCTTACTATTTTCTTTTTTTTCTTCCTCCATGTACTCCGGATGATTGCCAAACACATGTCTTAACAACTCTTCTAATTGACGAGTACGGTATTTTGAATAGCCTTCATCGTACTCATCTTCTTCTTCGCTTTCGTCTTGTTCGCGTTGTTGTTGAGCCAAGATATGTTGTTGCTCGAGTTTTTGTCTCAAGACTTCTTCTTGCTTTACCCTAAGATACTGTTGCCAGAGAGCATTCACGCGTTGTTGTTCAAGAGCAGCAGCAATACATTGACGATAGTATCTCTCTTCTTCTTCCTGTTGAACAGCGCGTATCAAGGCTTGTCTACGATACGCCTCCAGATAGTCTTGAATTTCTGCATTACGTTGGCGTCTGTATTGATCCTTGAGGTATCTGAGTCGTAACAAGGCTTGGTCTAGTCGTTGTTTTTCCATAACGGACTGTTGTTCAGCTTCGGGATCAATAGAGCGTTGATGATAAAGAGGTACGGCATAGGGATAATGATGGTGTGGAGGATGATATTCTTGTTTACGTCGACAGGCAGCAATGTGTCTATCACGCTCCTGTTGTTCATAGTCTAACAAAGCTTGAAGTTGTAAAAAGTCATCAAGGTTAAAGCTCTTGTTTCCAAGTAAAAAAGATGAAGCCATTTTGATATTTACTAAAGAATGAAAAGGAAGGGGTGAGAGAAAATTCCCGGTTTAAATAGACCAAAAAAAAAAAAAAAAAAAAAAAAAAAGCAGGTGAATTTTACGTCTTTCCTTTTTGGTTGCATAAACCATGCTTTTTCAAACCACATTTCTTTCTTTCACCTTCTCTTTATTTCTATTAAGACACATAAACCAACAAGACAGCCAATTTCGTCTGCATTTATTGTTCTTTACATACTCTTCTTTACGTGATAAATTGGTTATGATGGAGAACAATAATCATGACGTTTTTAGTGTAACAATTTTACTATTTCTGATTGTTTTTTTCCAGAGCCTTCCATGTTTGAGAATGCTCTCGAAAGTAATACAACTTTCTCGAATTTATTTAAATGCTCCAAGAAATACTTTTGCTACATAGCCAAAAGAAACAGTTTAATATGTCTTTTTTATTCATTCACTCATATGCAAGTGAATATCAAAGATCATCTTTTCAACCCTACAAACTGAAAGTGTATCCTCATCAAGACTTTTTATAGTCTTTCCAGTAAACAGTAGTGGATACAGCAGTTTTGTATACATGAGACAATGATTAGGTGTTGAATGAAACCTGTTTTTCAGATAATAACTTGAGAGCAACAATAGAGTAACGAGAACGTATATTTAGAGTGGAATGACTATGTAATAATCAATTTAAATCTACTTTGATCGAATAATATCTCGGGCTGATATTTGCTGTCTCAATAGAATTGGCTTATAGGTAGCCATGCAGTAATGTATAGCAAGTCTTGAATGATCAAGAACCCTAAAGCTTTATATTTTTCTTATTTGAGAACCTTATAGCTCGAAATAATAGCAATATGTCAAACTCGCATTTTTATAATATATATCATCAGTTTGTTGACGAAATGTGGCTCAAATGCTCCACGTTTTTTAGACTATTTCCCTAAACGATACCTTTACTTTGGATACTATGTATATTTTGGTATTACTGGTCTACGTGGGATTTCTTTTCATTAAATTCTTATTCATTTTGGAGGAAACACTTTTTTGAGAGAGAAAGCTCATCAAAGCAGAGTACACCTAGTATATCAGGCAAAAAGAACACCCTTATTTAATCACGCCAGATAGAGTTTAGCCGGATGATCGTCCTCAGTGGCTTATGACTTTCTATCACTATGGAAGAATATCAAATGAGCAGAAATTAAATTCTAGAAATTAAACGGAGCATGAGATACGTTAGTAACGTACAAGAAATTCGTATTGTTACTCACATTAGGTTATAAGAAAGAGCAGAGAATAGAAGGGAGATAAAAGAGAAATAAATTAGCAACGGATATTGACTACTATATGTAAAATACGAGGAGGTAGTTGAATACTACTATCTTGTCAATTGCATAATTGCTAAATGAGATGGTCTTTAACTCATTACATTCATACTACATGCTTGATCGACAATGCGAAAAACTAACGCCAAGCTATGATTGATACCAGAGGCGGGCATACTCATCATTGATTTTTTTCCATCAAATAAACATCATGACTATTATCTTCATAAGGTCTCGAGAACTGAAGTCAAGTGTTGATCGAGTAATACACTTTCTGGAATATTAAAAAAAAATATTGGAATTTAATTTGTTGTGGGTGTATAATCCCAAGGCCAATATCATTTCCAACAAGTCAGTGCTCCCTCTCCATCCAACAAATATGTGATAGCACATTGAAGGTCTATAGCCCAGCCATTGGCGTTCTATTTTTGATCCCACACCTTTCACCTTTCCTTCTGTAGTCCATATAGTCCAACGCCTGTTGACTAAGCAATCCGATGAACAAGAACTAAACATTTTTTATTAAACTCATTTTCCTTCCTAGTCAAACTTATAAACCTTTTATTTTCCCCTTCCTGATGTGCAACATACCCCTTTAGTCTTACTTATCACTCATTATGACATCTTTAGGACTTTAAATAAAACAGGAACATAGTTCCCATACAAAAAGAAACAAACATCATCTTCAGAATGTTTAGTCAAATCAAACTCCACTAGTATTTATGCCGACATTGCAAGTATGCCGTTTGAGTACTCGAAATATTCTTTAGAAAGAAATAGAGCAGTTGACGAAACAACGACGGAGGAAGTGGCTATAGGCCTTCAAGCCGCGCTTTATTTTCAGTAATAATATATAATAAAAAATTTTAATTCTATTGTTCTTTACTTGTTTTAAAGCAAGTATTTTGTCAGTTTTTTGGTGAATTAGTGGTGGTTGCGGTGGGCGAATTTAAAAAAGCCTTCTATACCAAGGGGAGAGAGCCATCATTTCCTCCGTCGTTGTTTCGTCAACTGCTCTATTTCTTTCTAAAGAATATTTCGAGTACTCAAACGGCATACTTGCAATGTCGGCATAAATACTAGTGGAGTTTGATTTGACTAAACATTCTGAAGATGATGTTTGTTTCTTTTTGTATGGGAACTATGTTCCTGTTTTATTTAAAGTCCTAAAGATGTCATAATGAGTGATAAGTAAGACTAAAGGGGTATGTTGCACATCAGGAAGGGGAAAATAAAAGGTTTATAAGTTTGACTAGGAAGGAAAATGAGTTTAATAAAAAATGTTTAGTTCTTGTTCATCGGATTGCTTAGTCAACAGGCGTTGGACTATATGGACTACAGAAGGAAAGGTGAAAGGTGTGGGATCAAAAATAGAACGCCAATGGCTGGGCTATAGACCTTCAATGTGCTATCACATATTTGTTGGATGGATCGGCCTCTGATCCAAAGAGTACTACTCATGGAAATCTTGAGTTTGATAACTTTCCAGTTTTTTTTTTTTCAATGTGTTTTCTTGCTAGTTACAGTATGAAAATGATGCGACATAAGCGAAAAAGCTCGTAAACATTTCTTCACATTTGCTCAATATTTTAGCAGCAAAGCTGCTGCGTTCTCTACATCAACAGACTTACAATGCAAAGATCTAAAACTTTTGTTATTGCGTCAAAGCTGAAAAACTACGTCTTCATGCAGTTCTCGGCACAAGCTCGATTTTTGATGCGGCGGGATGAAGATTTGGAGTTACCTTCCGTTTTCAATTTCCACTCACAGCCATCCTGCATGTCCTGTGTCAGTTCGTCCCACGTTCGCATTATAAAATGCCTATATTTCTATCCTCTCATGTTCTTTAGCACTCGAAGTCTCATACAACGCTTTAGAGTCATCCATTGCTAGCACATTTCATATGCCATCTAGAGCAAGAATGCTCAAATCACAGCTTAAACGAGCCATTCTTTGATGCACCATTGCTCGACAACCAGATTATCAAAACAGTCCATTTTTTGTTTGAAACATGTCCTTTTGAGACCAGCAATCGAATGGTATCATTGGTCTGCAAGTTTTGTGACCCATGGGGGATCCACGGAGGTCCGTGAAGATGGAAAAAAAAAGTCGATCGAGAATTTTTGGAATGACCCATGTAGGCCTGATCCAACCGAGATGAGGTGAGACAATCTCTAGGCACTTCTGACAAAAAGAAAGCGAGTTTACTAAGACAGAAAAGGCGACTTAATCTGAGCATTGCCCTCAAATCTGCATTCAAAGTTCATTGTACACTGTAAATAATACAAAATAGGTCCATTATAGTATATATTGACTATCGAGTAAGCGCTTAACTATACATCATTTCATATGCAATATAAGATTGAAAGGCTCTGTTTAATACGTCTTTTTGATATATCTATGGGTTTTTACACTTTTAGTCGCAGAGGTGATATCTAGCCCAAAAAAAAAAGTCGGCGTTTGAATGTTTGTACCTATCTCTTTCAAGGCATCCATTGTTTATTATGTCCAAAGCTTTTCCTCTTGACCTCAGAAATGCCAAGTACTGAGACGTGATTTTTTTGCCTACATTTTGCGCATCAAGCGGCGCATACTTGGGAAACTACTCGATAGTCAATATATACTATAATGGACCTATTTTGTATTATTTACAGTGTACAATGAACTTTGAATGCAGATTTGAGGGCAATGCTCAGATTAAGTCGCCTTTTCTGTCTTAGTAAACTCGCTTTCTTTTTGTCAGAAGTGCCTAGAGATTGTCTCACCTCATCTCGGTTGGATCAGGCCTACATGGGTCATTCCAAAAATTCTCGATCGACTTTTTTTTTCCATCTTCACGGACCTCCGTGGATCCCCCATGGGTCACAAAACTTGCAGACCAATGATACCATTCGATTGCTGGTCTCAAAAGGACATGTTTCAAACAAAAAATGGACTGTTTTGATAATCTGGTTGTCGAGCAATGGTGCATCAAAGAATGGCTCGTTTAAGCTGTGATTTGAGCATTCTTGCTCTAGATGGCATATGAAATGTGCTAGCAATGGATGACTCTAAAGCGTTGTATGAGACTTCGAGTGCTAAAGAACATGAGAGGATAGAAATATAGGCATTTTATAATGCGAACGTGGGACGAACTGACACAGGACATGCAGGATGGCTGTGAGTGGAAATTGAAAACGGAAGGTAACTCCAAATCTTCATCCCGCCGCATCAAAAATCGAGCTTGTGCCGAGAACTGCATGAAGACGTAGTTTTTCAGCTTTGACGCAATAACAAAAGTTTTAGATCTTTGCATTGTAAGTCTGTTGATGTAGAGAACGCAGCAGCTTTGCTGCTAAAATATTGAGCAAATGTGAAGAAATGTTTACGAGCTTTTTCGCTTATGTCGCATCATTTTCATACTGTAACTAGCAAGAAAACACATTGAAAAAAAAAAAACTGGAAAGTTATCAAACTCAAGATTTCCATGAGTAGTACCCTTTGGTCGAATGATCATTTAGACCATTTTTTACAAGTCGCTCTTTTTGGCTCAAATCAATCCCAAAGGTACCCTGTATGAGTAAACATGGCTTGTGAGTATTTAGAGTGTTCATGCTTGTATAAATACATTTAATGAAGAGTGTCCCTTTGATTCTCAACATGTTCTTACGCCCTCTTTTTCTTTTGAATGGTGCTGGCTTTTGACTATCATATTTTTAGAATTGTTTCTACCCTTATCTTCCTTTTCATGTACCTTAATTTATTTGATTGGATAATGCATTATTGTCCTCTGATTGGACAGACTACTTTAAGCATGATTTGCTCATGTGACAAGTGGAAATGATGAGCACACACACGCAGTTATATCTATATATTAATGCAAAAATGCTGGTCTCCCTTTTCTCTCTCTTTTTTTTCCCTTTTTTTTTATTTTATATTTTTTTAAAACACTTTTTGTCATCGCTTACTTCGGTACTTTATAACAAGTAAACTACCCTAAATAAATAAATAAAAAAAAAGACCCGCTTATCTTTCTTACAGTACGTTCACCATCACTTGTTAGTTTATTATGGACAGTGGTGTTCGAGCAGAACCTAAATTTCTAAGGTAAAATAAACCAAGAGAAAGCGTATTGAATGACGATAGAGATCCTACTTCACTTGAATCCATTTCTTCAGGCATATCAAGGTTATCAAGTTATGTGGCATCAAACTTGCCAAAAAGAAAGTCAACGCACTTGATAACACCGCCTTTTATGGATCCATACTATCAACAACCAGTGATAGAGCCAGAAGAACAAGCGAATGAAGAGATGGAAGAGATGGACATAGTGACATTTGGTGCATTTGAGACACTAGACCCATCCATCAGTTGTCTCTTGCTAGGCTATCATGATGGTTTTCAGATATGGGATGTCACTAATCCTGATAATGTACATGAAATATGCTCTATTCGAGACAAAGACACTTTTGGTACAGTGTCTTTTATGCATCTTGTTCAACCCAATCATACCCTCGTCATTGTATCTACAGAAGACAGTTCAGATAAACCCAAATCGCATTTGATCTTGTTCTCTTTAAAGACACAGACCATCATCAAAGAGATTCATGACTTTTGGCATGAAGAGGAAGAAAAAGATGATACAGCACAAGTCACATGTATTCAAAGTAACCACAAGGTCATTGCACTGGTGAGTATCATTTTTAAGATTTATCATGGACTGATCTCTTATTTTTTTTTTAAAAAAAAAGGGATGCGTATCTCGCCACCGTTCTTGTATACACTTGTTATCTACAGTAGACTATACACCTTTTGCTAGACCATTAAATGATGTGTATCATGATGACAAAGGGCCGGTGTTTACATTGGGTTCTCGATTCATTGCGTATGCAACAAATACTGCGGTCTTGAATTCAGATCCAGTCATGACCTCCTTAACCAACAAGAGCATTAGCTATACAGGTTTTGGGGTGCTCCAAGGCGAAAAAGACGTGAAGGGTGCAGCCAAAGATATCGCTAAAGAAGTTGTGAGTGGCATGAAGACATTAGGTGAATTTGGACTAAACACACTCTCGAATTATTTCAACCCCAATGTGCCAACAGATAAAATGATGTTTAACGCCAGTCCATCGTCTCACACCACACCGCAACAAGACACACAGTACAATCCAAAGAAAATGATTCCTTCTGGCATGATCATGATTCGAGACATGCTTAAATTACCAGTGACACCTACACGAAATCTGTCGTCGTCGATGATAGCTCATTTCAGGCCCCACACACACCCTGTCTCTTGCCTGAAATTCAACCAAGCAGGCACACTCTTGATGTCGGCCTCCAAACAAGGCCATACATTCCACATCTTTTCTGTCTTGACCTATACACCTTCTGCCTCTCATCTCTATAGTCTCTCACGTGGCATTACGGATGCTCAGGTAGAAGACTGTCAATTCTCGATGGATTCCACTTGGTGTGCTATCAGTACAGCCAGAGGCACCACCCACGTCTATGCGATTAATCCTTACGGAGGCAAACCAGAAATCTCAGGCCATGTCCATGGTAAAGTCAATAACCCCATGCACCATCACCCATGGATACCCAAGAACCACAAGTCATCCATCCCAAAAGCCACCACACTGAGTTCTGTTGTACGCATCAAACAACGCCGAAGCATGCCTGGTTTCCTTCAGGAGGAAGTGGCCAACAAATATCCCAATGGATATTCTCACGGCTATTATGGTCCTACGCCACCGCACTATGTCTCGGCCCTGCCCCGTACACCGCCCACGCCTTCCCTGAAAGAACCTCGGGCTAAACTGAGATCGATGTTTGTGACCAAATCACCTTCTTTTGTGCACCACAAGCACGCTCATCCTTCAGATCACCCATTTGTGTCAATGAAACAACAGGCAAGCCATATGCTCTCGTCTTTTCATCTACCTTATTTGCCTCAACAGCCTCAACCGCATAAATCAGCGCATGAGACCCTTGTGTTTGGATTTGATGAAGAGTACGACGATGCAGCCAAGATGATTAATGATGAAATTGGGTATCAAGACATGTATTCGTTTCATCCTGATGGTGTCTTGACCTTACATCGTTGTTGGGTAGCCAAGACAGTCATCAAAAAGCGAGAGAATGGACGTGTGTTGGAGAAACTGGATTTATCGCTCAAGGAAGAAGATGTCGCTGAATGGCGAGTAGCCAGAAATGCAGACTGGGATCAAGTCAAGTTCAATGTGACTGAATCTTCACAAGAAGAAGAACAACAACAAGAAACAAAGAAAAAAAGAAAAAGAAACCCAAGCAACAAGAGAGCCTTCCGCCAAAAAAGACATGGTTGTCCAATGCAGAAATCACCACCTATATGCCAGACGAACCTGCGTTATGGACATATCACCAATTCAGTTTCCAAACATATCATACCAAAGATTTGCCATCCATCTTAAATGCAGGCAACATACCTACGACAGATACCATGATTATGCTTAAGGGTATGCCTGAGCCAGTCTCCAGTCGAATGGACCGTGTCAGCAAGACAACAACACGTATCACAAACAATAATGCAGAAGAGAACATGGAAGATGCTTTGGCTGAATTAGAAGGTAAATAGATGGATGCCCAGCCTATGATTTACTTTTTATATATATATATATATGTATAGACAACATTTCAAAGGCAATGCAGACTTCATTTTCACCTTCCAGTAATTCGTTAGGCAATAGTCCTGCTGCTAATCTGAAATGGCTTTCTTCCAGTGCCAATGCCATTCATGGATCTTCTCCTTCTCCTAATCAACAGAAACTCTATTTGGATAAGAACTCGTCTGTTTCATTTGAAGATGCTTATCTGATTCATATGGGAAGTGGGCCTAGTCCTGAGCCTTCTTCTCTTCTTGGATTGACGCCTATTCAAAACCAGCCATTAGAAGAACCAGAGACTTCTATGCAACACAGTTCACTTATTCAATTTGATGAAGATGAAGATGAAGGGTCGGTGCAACTCAAAGCCAGCCATAATGTCTATTCTCCTGATGGTGATAATGAAGTTGAATATCCTTATGAATCCGTATTTGGTGAGCTGCATACAAGAAAAGAGGAGGAGGAAGAGGAAGAGGAGAATGGTCAGTCTATCTCTTGGTAAACACACATTTTGTAAATAAAATATATAAAGAAATAAAAATTTATACATAAAAAAAACAAGAGCGGTAAAACTCGGGAAAACTATTTCTTATGTTCTAATGCTTGTTGTGCCTTGTATTCATCAGATTGACGGTATCTAGTTTGATGAGTTTGAGCGTGATTTCTATTCGACTTACTTGAAGATACGAGCCACTTGAGTAGCACCTGTAGCAAAGACAAAAAGGTTCACAGTGAATAAAGAATAGTTTTTGGGAATAATGACCATCGAATAACGAGACCAAATAGCACCGGTCAACATCAAAGCTAAACAATAGACAATGAACACACCACATCAAAAATGAATTGAACTTACACATATTTTGAGTCAAACTCAACTTGTCAGCAGGACGTTGCATATCACCAATACCTGCAATAACCAAAGCCTAGCATGGATTAGAAAACATCATATTATTTTACGCGGCATACCCATTTCATAGCAGGAGCCCAAAAGTGAATGGTTTTAGGACCTGCTGGGGAATCAATAAATTTACGAAAAGCACCTTTTTGTACTGCTGCACTAGCTGCTGAACTAGCCATGATATAGAGAGTGGGGAGAAAGAAAAGATAAAAAAAAAAGAAAGGGAAAATATAGTGCCTAAGTGATAAAAAAAATTTTAGACAAGAAAGTCAGAATGTGTAATTCTCTTACATGATGCGATTGGCTCATTCATTTTAACCGAGATTTTATTATATATATACAAAAGTTTAGTTTCTTTCGGCTGCAATGACATCTGAAATCATTTTTTCTTTTTGTAGACTTAATAGAGATTTAGAGCATTCTTGCTTTACATGTTCTGCTTTATCAGAATCAAACAAACCATATTGATCAAATTGTCTTGCATAATACACACATTGTTCAAGGCGATATTTTCTTGCAATTCGGTTTTGAATTCTCCGTTGCTATAGACAGTGTCAATATATATATATATATATATGTATATCTCTTGTTCATTACCTGATCTGTAATTAAAGTATCGCTTGGTTCTTGTCCTGTTCTGACAGCATAATCATTAGGAAGTACCCATAAATTAGCACCTGCTAAATAGGTTTTATAGATACAAGAAGGTACAAAATCTTCAAATCTTTCTTCACACCTATCCAACATAAATATACAGAGACATGTCTCTATGCCACTTACCAAGGATGATTCAGTTTAGTAGAAATAAAGATAGGACCATAATGAAAGTCATAATTGGGTACAAGATAAGGTTCTTTCGCTTCTTTCCATGTTGAATATGATGTAGGACCATTATTGAGCTCATAATCATAATCCAGTAATCCCATCTCTCCTGCATCGACCCATTCAATCATGGTCTGTTTATCCATAGGCCATTCGTCTGTATGCACTCCATCGTAATTAGGGAACCCAAAAGTAGGTAAAATCAACAAATCTCCTTGATTTAGACGGTCCAAATACTGTTTAAACGATGCGCCAATCTGTGTCATCCATAAGGTCGTGACGGGCAACAGAGCCACATAATCTGTACGACTAAACAGTCGAGCCAAATTACGAGCTTCTTGATACCCGCCTGTGGCCATTGTCACATTGGCCTCGGTCAGACCTCCCGGTTGAAGGACGAGGTGTAGATCAACATGACGTCTGAGTGCAGTGGTTGTCTCATACAAAGTTCGTATCTGAGTGAGTTGTTGAATACTGAGTTCATGATGGATATTTTTGGTGGAAGGGACTAATAAGGTAGCTGAGATAGGACCCTTATAGAGTTGAGCCAGTTGAACAAGGTGGCCTATCTGCTTGAGTTCCACAACAGTAATCAGTGTCAAGCTTTCTTTTGTGGGTTGGATAGAGGCTGTAAACCAATGAGGACGAATCAGGTCGCGATGGACAATTGACTTGCTAAACATTTTCGACAGCCTTGTCTCGGGTGGTATTTCATCCAGTGTTGACCATGGTGTTTGTTGTTGTTTTTCCATGATTATTTTATCCCAGTCTATTTTAGGTTGATGCATCACTGCCATGATTTCAGCTTTCATTTCTCTTTTGTTTGAAACTCACCTGTATTTGGGTTCAGTGATGAAAATGAACTCAAGAGATGAAAAGTAGATAAACAAAAGCAAATCAAGACATAAGTCCACCCTACCATTTGAATAATAGGCAATGGTCTCTTGGTTGTATTTGTCCGTATTGAATAACTGCCTCTACGTTTATTGGATTCTGTTCGTTTGTCTGTAGGTGGACATACTGTTGTCAAAGAAGATTTTCGTTGATGAAATACACCATTTCTTTGTGTGTTCATTGTACAAGATAAAGAAAGAAGAGAAAAAGAAAAGAAAAAATAAGCTGTTGATTGTATCACACTCACAAAAGTAAAGCCAACACGTGTCATCTGTTGCCTTTTTTGAGTCAAGATTTGAGTCTGTGTGGTGTGTGTGTGTTCTAACCAGGTTTTTCCTTGTCCAAGTATTTATGTTCTCATTTACAGCAAAAAGGGGGTTATTTGTGCCCAAGAGATACAAAGTGACATTAACAAAGGCAAATCCATCTCCTCAGGCTCAAATAAAACGCCCTACACCTATTTTGTTTGTTCGTACACTTCTTGACTCTCCAACCAAGTAAACAACCTTTAAGCTAATCTATGATTGATGTCTTTTGATATAGACCATGGAATGATTGGCAAACAAGACTAAGTGATTTAGGTTATGCTAGTGTTGATGCAGCTATCCATATTAAACCAGAGCAACAAGACCCTCTTTCTACTTACTATCGAGGTATAAACTAAACATCTCTTTTATGGGTTATTGATGTTTTTAGAATTAAGCCAAGTAACCAATGATCTCTCTTTCTTTCCACCTCTTATGATCAGTCGAGGCCCCATTGCATGGCGTATCTCTCAAAAATACGTGTCCAACAAACCAGTGTCTGGTCTAGTGATGGTAGACAGTGATCAAGACGAATCTTGTCTTTTACCAGCTTATCCTACCAGTCCATTTGAGCCTCATTTTCCTATCTGTATGGTCTCTCGTCAATCCCCACCTGACTTTTTAGAGGGTTGGATTGACCACTATGCTTGTGAGGATGAAATAACTCAAGTACTTGTATGGATGGACGAGATGGGCATGTAATCCATTTTGTGACTCTATTTACGCTTTTTTTTTTTTTCTTTTTCTTTTTCTTGCTTCAAATAAATGGGTTATTGGGGAACAGTAACAAGTTCTGTGGATTGGTATCTATATAGAATACGCTTTTTATTTTATAATCAACACATATATTTAGGTGTGAAGAGAATTACATACATTCTGAATATATTGCAGAATTTTGGAATACACTTTCTGTAAGGAAATAAAATAAAATAAAAGGACGAATGGGTTAATCATGATAGAGTTTGGCCATGGTTGCATTAGGATGGCTTGGTGTAGCACTTCATCACAAGTCACTTGGATGGAGATTATCAGCTGGCTATCTGTTAATTGTTATTGTTGGTATTGGAAGGTAATAGAATAATATTTTAAGGGGGTTAACAACTTTAAATTTTCTATACAGTATGTTATTTCATGCTACTTTACAATTTGAGCATCAAATGTGGGATGAAGTAAGTCATTGATGTTATAGGCATGTGATTGAACGAAACAAAAAGGTACCTATGGTATGGACTGCATGCTATTTAATGTGGGTATTATTGAGTGAACACGGCTATCAGTCTCAGTATCATACGATCGGCATCAGTCTCTATTGTGCCCTAGCTACATTTGTTACTAGCCAGAACAAAGGCACCACTCAATTCTATATGTTTCAGTCGTCGTAAGTAAGCTATGGTCTAAAGAACTACTTATAACATATGGTCAGTTTTGGTATTGTGATGTGGACAGACTTGTATTTTGTCTACAAGATCTATTATCATACACAACTGGCTCATATCAAGCAATTGTTTCATCAAGGTGTTTATTTGTTAGTGTTGGCTATCAGTGTATGGTTATTTGATGCCAATCTCTGCTTTGTCTATGCTTATCTGCCTAATCCTCAATTACACGCATGGTAAGATCATGATTGTCTTATAGCCATCTACTCACTGTTGATTAGGTGGCATTTACTGGTAAAAATAACAAATGAGACATGCAAATAATGAGACTAACAATCGATCAAGATGTGTAGCAGCCTTCATTATTTTTTCGTAGCATGCGGTCATGAGTCAGTTGTTCGACGTGGTGATCGAGCAGAAATTAAATATTTTCTGAATATGATTCCCTATGTTCAGCAACAAAAGAACCATAGCGAATAATTTTGTTGGGGGGACATGAATCGATGGCTTTCCTTTTTAGTCTGAATGCGGTCTTTTTTTGCATAAAAAAAAAAAAGATTAAACTTTTAGTATGTAGTGTAGAAATCATGACATAATGAATTAAAACACACAAAACCTAAAAAAAAAAAAAAATCTACTTAAATAAGGGCCATTTTTTTCTTTTTTTTTTTTTTTTTTTTATTTTTGTTTATTTATATATTTATTCTTTTAGAAAAATGGAAACTTATGTTGGATACATAAAAACACCTCAAGATGCACTCTATGTGTTTGAAGCGTGTAGAAAAGGCAAATTAAATAGAGTACAACGACGCCTTACTTCCAAAGAACGTATCAACATTCGCTCTGGTTCGGTTTTTGCCTGGGATGAACGTGAAGCTGGCATGAGACGCTGGACAGATGGCCGCACATGGTCCCCAAGCCGTGTCTTGGGTAGCTTCTTAACTTACAAAGAACTCGACACAAAACGAAGACCCCGTAGACCTTCTGTGCCCTTACCTGGTGGTGGCAAGCAAATCACTTTTTCGTATAAACAAAATGGTCTTATCAAACAAAGCTTTTCTATCTGTACTGCAGCAAACCAAAAGATTCACCTCATCAGTTACTATACAAAGGCAGATATCTTGTCGGGTCGTCTACAACGTCCATCCCACGATCCTTTGCTCAACTCAATTGATATTCCAAAAGGTCTCTATCCTGAACTCAACCCATTAGATATCGGTGGTGGCCACCCAGCTTCCATTCATTCCATACAGTACCATCGTCACGATTCAATTGATTCTTCAAGCAGTGATATCTCTACAGTCTCTTCAACCAATGAACAACAACACCCACCTTCTCTGTCCTCATTATCCTCACAGTCTTCAATCACAACTACTACGATTGCTTCACCTCAATCTTCAGAGGATGAATACAATGATATGCTACTATTGTCACCATTACAGTCTCACTTTAGTCCTCATCTTAAACCCGTCAACTATGTATTACCTGCTCAAGACATTGCTTGGGAACGATTGCCATCTACAGAAGATAGACGTCAACTTAACGCTCTTCGTGACTTGGTGAGGATCTAAATAGAGCCAAAAAGAAAAAAGATCCAGAAAATTTAGACTCAAAAATTTTGTTTCTAAATTCTTCTCTTCATTATTATTATTATTTTTATTTAGTACAAAACTTACTCGTATCACTTCTTATTATAGAGAATGAATAACTTCATATATATACATACACACTTACATCTCCTTATTCTATGCTACTTTTTTTTTTTTTGCTTTATCATTCACACCTTCCTTTCTATAATATGTTAATCATGTCACTAATAACAAATAAATAAATAAAATCTACATGATTTAAACTTTTATGATAAAAAAAATAAAGAGTGTGAAACCTTTCGTATTAGTCCTTGACAGGATTTTATTTTGGATATATTGATTTTTCTGGTTCCTTAAAAAACTTAAAAAATTGAAACTCTATTCTTTTTCTCTATTTGATAGAACTCTAAAGAATAAAACACGGAAATGGTGCCACCTATCTTATCCTTCCTCCCCCCCCCATTTCCCTTTTAAAGAAAACTGCTATTTTTCTTTGAAAATCTCGATAAGCTCCCTCTTTTTTAGATCTTTTCCCATAAGTCAATTCTAGATCCTCGCTTCATTTTTCTCAGATGATAAGGAATCTATGTAGTCAGTACACACATACACACACATACATATACGCATGGTTTGTCTTGAGTTTTCTACTTTAATCATGACACCATTGTATAAAGAAAGTAAAGGCCCACTTTTGTATCAAATTTATTTTTTCTTGGTTCTATAGTGTAACCCTTCTCCCTCTTTTCTGAAACTTAAATATAAGAGAAAGGTTTACATCATTTTGAAAAATGATCGTGGTCAATAAAGAGATCTCGATAAATTCAAACAAAATATCGACTTGATTGTATCATTCTTTCTGTTTGCTTCGATGGTGTATGATAGGTAAACATAGAGAGAGAGAGAGAGAAAAAAGCTTATAGACTAAGCTTTATTTTAGCTTTATGGACTCATTATTTTAGACTAGACAGAAGATGATGGAAACTACATGACCTTTTGTAAAACATGCTTGAACATATTACTTTAATGTGCTACGAATTCCTTCAACAGTGTAGTACGAACGCACAATGATGACACCATTATGAAGAAAGCTTATATTGTGAACACTTTTTAACAAGTCATCTTAAACCTGAATAAGTCATGTCGTAAGTCAGTTATTTTATATGTGTGTGAATGTGTACCTGAACAATTATATGACGTATATATATAAAGAAAAAGAGAGACAGAGCAATGTGTCAGTTAAAGTCATATGGGGGCATATCTAAAGTCGACGTCACAAAAAGGGTTTTCTTTTTTCTAAGCACTGAGCCACACATATATAGAAGTATTGTTACGTGTGTATATATGTGATTTAAGGTCCGCAAAGAAATTGTATAAAAGTTTATCGAAAACATAGACACAAATGAAAAAAAAAATTAAATTTTATTCAAGCGTACATAAATGTAGCAAGAATTAAAATAAAACCAAGCACATGTACCCTAAATATACATAAACTCTTACTTATGGTTCTTTATACTAACAACAAAAAGAACAAAATAGATGCATTTGCTTTTTTTTTTTTTTGAAAAGCCGAATGATTCAGAGACAATAAGAATGAGTTTAACATGGAACATTATATCATTCTCGATAAGATCTAGGCTGTGTCTCCATCTTTGTTACTGCTTGATAGATTTCCCAAAAAAAAAAAAAGATGGCTTGTTGATACAGTCGAGCGACATAAACAAAGCAGTAGGTCTGCTCAAGATTTCAACCAAGGCATCGGAAATGGATGTTTATATATGCTTCTTGAGCTCACTAAAGACACAATTGATCAAAGCAACAACCTTAATTCCTATTAACCAACATGTTCAATAAATAAAAAGCTTCTTTTTTCTTCTCTTTCTCCTACAAAAAAAAAAGAGGGGAGAAAAAAAAGGTTGCGTGTCTTAAACTGAAATAGCGTTTTCTTTCTTGCATTCCATGCAATAACGAAGAATGCTTTCTTTTTCAAATCGATCATCATTTTTTTAAACAACATTTTAAAAACGAGCTGTAGTCCTAAAACAAGAAAGAAAAGTGTGGTGTGTAATGCACTTGATTTCATTGGATCATTTCTCGAATAAGCGTTTCTTATTGGCCATAATATCGTAAAAAGTGCATATCTATCAATTCAAAAGACATATATATATACTACATGTGGTCAACGCTTGTTGAAAGTCACTTGACTTTGCCTCTAAAGAGTCCTTCTATTTCTTTCTTGAGCCATACAGGTGTATGATACAAATGTTTAATGACTTTTGCGTAAAACCATATCTGCCTATTAAAAATACTTTAGTAAATTCCATGTCACCTTGTCACGTGATTGAAGGTGTGTTCCTTACAAATTCTGCTTAACACTATTAAACTCAGTTACCTAGTTTCCAGATTCATTTTCCAAACGTAGCGTTTCAAAAAAGCTGACAGCACCCTTTGCCATTTGTCTTTTAAACCTATACAAACAAAGCGATTGTTTCTATAGAACCAACAAACAAAACATATTATAAAAAAGTCAATTGATCTGTTTAAAATAAAATGAGTCAGATTCATATACAGAAAAAAAAGATATGACGCATCAAGACTGCAACATCTATTTTTTTTTTCTTTTTTTGGTAAATTTATTTTTTTTGACAAAATAAACGCTGTCTTTTGGTCGTTCATCCTTGTAAACACATATATAGACACATACTCTATGGTAGGATATGGACAAGTATATATCACATAATGACAACATGTCTTTTTCATATAAAGTGACGGACTATTCACAAAGACACGAAAAAGAATAGACACTTCGGTATCTAAAAACAATTCTCACGATCTGCATCTTTGCCTTAGACTGCTCTTATTGGCTAATTTAAAATGTGGGGGAAATGGGAACCTATTTTTGTCAATCGTTGCCCTTGGTTTTTTTTTTTTTACAGACGATCCAAGTGGCAAATCAAACCAGAGCTTCTTTGTTTACTCTTCTTGTATGATTTTATTTATGCAAAGATGAAGATCAAGGAACAAGACAAACAATAAATTGTTCAGAAAGAGGGGGAAGAATCATATCCTTGTAGGAGAAAGTCGGACAAATAAGGAGCACACTCAGTTCCGTCATATCCCGTTCCAGTAATTTTTAATGGATGGTTTTCATGCTCTTTAAGAAAAACCCGGAGCCCATCGGGCATTGAAATAGAGCTATTTTTTAAAGCATGAACATGAGCGTGTGTACGTAAAAATAATACAAGCATATGCTAAAGCTATTACAGTTCATTTTCTTCCGGTATTTTCGATGCTAAAGTCAAACAACTCCGACTCTTCCGAGAGAGAGAAAAAGAGGAGTTGTGTGAATAAGATATAAAAGAACACTGATTTCTTTTGTTTCTCTTTTCTTTTGTTATTCATTACATTTTTCTATTATTTTACTTACAATGGTTGCTTCTAGACCCGGATCCCCTTACACTGGTAGACCTCAAAGCTCCAACTCTGTTCATACCAAAGTCGAAGAAGACCTTCATGAATATGCTGGCATTGACTATGATAAGGTAAGCAAAAGCGAAAATAAAAAGGACGGATCAATTCATACTAGGATCATAGGTCACTATTAAACGCAACCCTTCTGTTGCGGTCCTTTACGAAGAAGCCTTGACTTATGAACAAGGTACTGTTATTTCTTCTGCTGGTGCTCTTTGTGCTTATTCTGGTAAGAAAACGGGTCGTTCTCCCAAGGACAAGCGTATTGTTGAAGAAGAAACATCTCAAAAGGATATCTGGTGGGGTCCAGTCAACACACCCATTTCTGAAAAGGTCTTCTTGATTAACCGTGAACGTGCCATTGATTACTTGAACACTCGTCCTCGTTTGTATGTGTTTGATGGTTTTGCTGGTTGGGATCCCAAGTACCGTATCAAGGTCCGCATTGTTGCTTCTCGTGCTTACCATCTTTTGTTTATGCGCAACATGTTGATTCGTCCTACTGAAGAAGAACTTGAAAACTTTGGTACTCCTGATTTCACGATTTTCAATGCTGGTGAATTCCCTGCCAATCGTTATACCACAGGCATGACTTCAACCACATCTGTCTCGGTCAACTTCAAGCGCAATGAAATGGTCATTCTTGGTACTGAATATGCTGGTGAAATGAAGAAGGGTGTAAGTAGACATTCGTAAAAAAAAAAGGGGGGAAGGAACTGTTGTATACTAAAAAGTAACTATAGATTTTTACTGTTATGCATTATTTGATGCCCAAGGCTGGTGTCCTCTCTCTTCACTCTTCTGCTAATGAAGGCCCTAATGGTGATGTCTCTCTCTTCTTTGGTCTTTCTGGTACTGGTAAGACCACGCTTTCTGCTGATCCTAAGCGTTTATTGATTGGTGATGATGAGCATTGTTGGTCAGACGATGGTATTTTCAACATTGAAGGTGGTTGTTATGCCAAGTGTATCGACTTGTCTGCTGAAAAGGAACCTGATATTTTCAACGCTATTCGTTTTGGTGCTATTCTCGAAAACGTTGTTCTTGATGAAGAGACTCGCGAAGTTGACTACTCTGATGATTTCTTGACTGAAAACACACGTTGTGCTTATCCCATCTACCATATTCCTAATGCTAAGTTACCTTGTATGGGTGGTCATCCCAAGAACATCATCTTATTGACCTGTGATGCTTTTGGCGTCTTGCCTCCTGTCTCCAAATTAACTGCTGAACAAGCCATGTATCACTTTATTTCAGGTTACACTACCAAGGTGCCCGGTACTGAGGATGGTATTGTTGAACCTCAAGCTACTTTCTCTGCCTGTTTCGGTGCTCCTTTCCTTGTCCTTCACCCTCAACGTTATGCTACCATGTTGGCTCAAAAGATGTCTCAACACAAGGCTGATGCTTGGTTGATTAACACTGGCTGGATCGGTGGTTCTGCTGCTACTTCTAAGCGTTGTCCTCTTAAATATACCCGTGCTATTTTGGACGCTATCCATAATGGTGAATTGGCCAATGCTGAATATGAAGACCTTGCTATTTTTAACTTGAGAGTTCCTAAGGCTGTCACTGGCGTTCCTTCAGAACTTTTGAATCCCAAGACTGCTTGGAACGGTACTCCTGAAGAGTTTGATGCTTCTCTTCGCAATGTTGGTCAAATGTTTGTTGAAAACTTCAAGACTTATGAAGATGAAGCTGCTCCTGAAACTTTGGCTGCTGGTCCTAAGCTTTAAAAGAAATCTTTTTTCTCTCTTGTATCATTTGCATCCATACTTTTCTTTTGCATCACTTCTTTTTTTCTACTAAAAAAACAGAAATGTATTATATTATTCACTTATGAAATAAAAATTCAAAAACTGAATTTGTTGATTTTAAAAAAAGCCTTTTCTTTTTTCTTTTTGCTTTAGAAAAAACTACTATTTTCTCTGAATGAAACTTTTGTTTTTATTAAAAAAAGTCTTTTCAAATTGAATCCATACATTTGCATTATAACACATTATTTTTGAAGATTAAATCAAAGTCTATTTTATTAAAAATACAATAAGCAAACAGCTTAATAAACTTCAAGAATGTAAGACTCCTTTTCCTTCCATTCTTCAATAAGAGCAGAAGCCTTAGCAGCATCAACACCACCATATTGAGTGAGACCATAGACAACAGCATCCTTGACATCAGGAACAGGCCAGGTAGGACCACAGAGATAGAAATGACCCTTTTGATTCAACAAGTATTCACTCAACATTTCAGCGTCTTCCTTCATCTTGTGTTGAATGTAAATCTTTTCCTTCTGGTCACGAGAGAAAGCAAGACCCATATGAGACAAGACACCATCGGCGTGATAAGCTTCCAATTCTTCACCATAAAGATATTCCATAGAACGATGACGAGAACCAAAGTAAAGGACAACAGGACCCACCTTCTTACCAGCAGCCTTAGCCATGTAACGTTCTTGAATGAAAGCACGGAAAGGAGCCATACCAGTACCAAGACCAGCCATGATAACAGGTTGAGTATCAAGAGGTGGTAACTTCATGACAGATGGCTTGATAGAAACAGTAACATTGTCACCCACACGCAAGTTGGACAAGTAGCGAGTACATTGACCATAACGCTTCTTGCCATTGATTTCCCAGTCAACAGCAACAATCAACAAGTGGACAGAGTTCTTGTGCATCTTTTGAGAAGAAGCGATAGAGTAGTGACGAGGCTTGATAGGAGAGACAATCTTGGCAAGGGCTTCAACAGAGGGCTTGGCAGAAGTGAATTCACGCAAGAGTTCCTCATAAGTGACAGTTTCATCCACACGCTTCTTGAAGTCTTCTTTACCTTCAGGAGAAACCAAGTACAACAATTGTTCACGTTCCTTGGGATCAGTAGCAAAAGCAGCAAGAGATTCATAAAACTTCTTGGAAGGACGACCAAAGATATCCAAGTTCTGACTGAACAATTGGAACACAGAACGGACTTCCTCAGTACCTTTCTCACTATCCTTTACAGAGACAACATCATTACCATTCAAACCATACCAGTTCAAGAAGGCTTGGACATCTTCATAGTTGTTGTGACCATGGACACCAAGAGCATCACCAAGTTCATACTTGAGGTTGGAGTCAGAGGTATCGAACTCAATGTGGAAGACATTACGATCATAGGAATCAGGAGTCAAACGACGGTTTTCACTGACATGGATAACATAGGTGCTTTCATGCAAGTCAGGGCGGATAGCAGTTTGAGTCTTGTAAGCCTCGTTGAACATCAATTGCCAGGCAGCCTTATGCCACTTGTTAGATTCAACACCGGCGCCTTCTTCATCATCATCAGCAACAGTAGATTCAGACATGTCCTCATCAACCTCTTCAGCACCAACAAGGCGGTCCACAGGCAAAGCAGGCAAGAAAACATCACTGATTTCCAAGATAGTCCAGGGAGGCAACAATTCGACAGCAGACAATTCCTCAGACACAGCCTTGACAACATCAGACACCACACCAGCCAAAGTGCGCTTCTCTTCTTCATCAGTAGGTTCAATTTCTTGATAGAGTTCAACAAGGTGGTCAGCAACGGAAGAAACCTTTTGAGACAAGGTCAGGAAGACAGCTTCCCAAACAAGGTGAGTGGACTTGATGTTCAAACCAAGGTCTTGAGCAATACGAGCGGCATCAATGGTATACAACTTGGCATTGAGTTGGGTCAAACCAAACTTGAACTCGTTAGACAAGATGCCTTCAACTTCATCACCGTGCTTCCAAGGACCATGAAGAACAACAGTAGCGTTCTTGGCGGCATGAGCCAAAGTGTTGTATTCCTTGATGACAGAGATATCATGGATGGCGATGTATTGGTGAGGAGCAGATTTACTAGCACCATAAGTGAGGTGAGTGTGAGTAACAGGACCACCAACACGGTAAGCATCATGAGTTACACGAGCAGCAACAGGAATACTGGGCTGAACAGCTTGAGCAAGGTGAGCATTGTGAATGGCAGTAGAAGAACCATCTTGACCAACATCCCAAAAGATAGCACTCCAAGCAGCATCACTCTTTTCAAGAGCAATTGTTTCGTCAGAGACAGCAAGAGTGAAGGGCTCAGCAGCAAGGTTGACAAAGGTTTCATGTTCAGCTTCTTTCACAAGAGAAGGAATGTGAGTAGCATGAAGGTGAACAAAACCAGCAGCTTGAGCACTGACTAAACGAGGACGGTGATCACGAGCAATGGGACCAAAGCGGATAGAGGCAGCAATATCTAAATAGAGAGGACCATTGAAAGCATAGAGTCCAGCACCTTCTTCAAGGACAACCACACGGCGAGCAGACTTGGGTAAAGAAGCAATAAAGTCAGCTTCGGACCAGGGGCGGAAGACGCGGACATTTAAGAGACCAACGCTAACGTTCAAGTAGGAAGCTGCACGAGCAACAGCTTGTTCAATAGCAGCATTAGAAGCATTCAAAGTAACCAAGACAGTTTCAGCATCAGTAGCACCAATGTATTCAAAGGGCTTGTAGTTGAGTTGAGCAAGGACCTTCTTGGCAACTTGATAAGCTTCAGTATAAGTGACCTTGTTGGGAATAGTGCTGTCGGCCAACTTTGTCAATTGAGCATAAGAAGTCAAATTGACCTTTTCAATTTGCTTAGAAGCAACAACACCGTTGAAGAAGTGAATGACGGGCAAGCCAACGGAGCGAGCAAGCAAATGAGCAACAATGCTAATGTCATGGGCTTCTTGAGCATTAGAGGAAGACAACAAGATAGCACCAGTGTTACGAGCAGCAAGAACAGCATCGACGTTGGTGGAAGCTACCAAATCTTGGTCATAAGATTGAGCAGCTACATGGAAGACAACAGGTTGACGTTCAACAGCCAAGGTATGCAAATTAGGAATCATAGACAATAATGCTTGAGAAGAAGCCAAGACAGAAACAGTCTTGTTCTGGGCATCAGCAAGAGCACCTTGAACAGCTTGAAGAGCACCAGCACGGGTTTCCATCTCAGCAACCTTGACAAGTTGGCCTGAAGCATTGCGAACAGAAGAAGTCCAGCTAGGTAATTCTTGACCGAGATAACCGGAAGCAGAACCGGGATAGACAAAGACAAGATCAGAAAGACCATAGGCAACATATTCAACAGCATGATTAGCATTTATAAGGCGGACTTGAGAGTCTTGAGAGTTAGCTGTCAGAAGATAAGTAATGGCTTGTTTGACTCTGGATTGCAACAAAATAGAAGCATCTTCATCCACAATGGTTGTTTGACTGCCAGCAGTAGAGGCAGCATCAATTTCCTTCTTTAATTCAGCTGTCACAGCCTTGACAAGCTCAGGGGAAATATCAACTTTGGTATTGTCATGAATGTGGTTGTTGTTGGTAGGAAAAGCGGCACTCTTAACGAGCGATGCAACTAAAGCAACAGAGGAGAACATATCCTTGATCTAATGAATAAGAAAAAGAAAAATGAGGAAATAGATAATTGCCAAAAAAATTATTATCAATGGCACGCCATAGCACTGAAACTATCCATTCACGATCAACAGAAATTGCGCAATTGTTTCTCCGTCCTTGCTCATATTTTTTTAATGGTGAAGTTAGATCGGTTGATTTGATTGGATAATATTCTCCACACATAAGCTCATTTAAATAGAGTGCCTTTTGATCTAATATTTTCCTACAACAAACTATACGGCATACTACAACATGAGATTGAGTGTTACACACAAGGTACTTAGAAAAAAGGGGTCTTGTTTGTGTATTGGTTTTTCCAAAAAAAAAAAGTGAACATTTTCGCATAAATACATTGATTTCAAAAGTCTGGTTGTAATAAACTTGAAGTTTGTCAATTCTCTCTCAATTCATTCTACAATGTTCTTTCTACTTAAAAATAGTCAACATATGCTTAAATAAGATACTTCTTTTAGTTTCAACAAAGATAAATGCCTTTACTTGCTGATCAAACCTTTATTGAAGATTGTACTTGAGGAGTTGGCCTTTATTCATATTAAGTGGTAAATAAAGCGTATTAAACTTGATTTTGATACAACGAGCGGTCTAGTTCTCTCTCTGCTTTTCTTTCTGTCACACTTTTGCTAATAAAAATTTATGGCTATCAGTATCCTCCAGCAAAATAGTCTTTGATTCCTTTTGAATCTTTGGCTAGTTCAAGAGCTGTTTCACGACATGAATGACAATATAGAAAAAACCCAAATGTTTGCTTCAATGTAACAAACATTATGTACTACTAAAGTCAATTAAATTCTCTTTATAAAATATTAAAAAACACTTTTTATTTATATGGTATAAAAAGAGAGAGAGAGAGAGAGAGAGAGTCTATTAAAACTATAAATACATTAAAAGGTATGTCTTGCTTGAAATTAAGCAAAATGATCGTTGTAAACCTTCTTCAACTGTTCCATAAACACAAACATGAGTGTGGTATGAGGACTAAAATAGAAATACATAATCTATTAGTAAACAAGTTATTTGTACACTTTTTCAAATACGTTACCCAATACGAAGGTAATGAGCTAAAAAGCCCTTATAGAGACCACGCACACCTTCAATTTTGATCATCTTGGCAAAACAATCCACAGGTCCTTTGTACAATAAACCTTTACCTGTGTTGGGATCCACACCTTGGTTATACATACGAGTTGAAATGACATCAAAAGGATTCATGGCAAGACAAACCAAAACACCAGTAAACATAGAAGTTGCAAAATGTGTACCGACAGAATCGGGAAAACCAAATCGCTTGAGCAAAATGTCCTTACCAATCATGTATGTAGGCATCTGCACAGCTGATCCAACACCTGCTCTAACCATGGCCGCATCTGCACCACGATAAAGACCTCTAATACCTTCTGTACGATAAATTTGACTGAGTGCATTTACCGCAGAACTCATTTCATGTTGATAACCAATGTTCTTAAACACAGGGGAGAATGATTGTCGGCGGGTCTTGATCAAATACAATGGTGAACCAAGAACAGCACCTACTACACCAGCAAAAGCCCCAGAAAAGACACTGGCGGCCAAAAGACTACCTTCCGATTTGAGTTGTAATGTTTTTTTTACTTTGTTCAAGACAGGCTCGTAAAGACCAAGACGGCTGCCGTTTAAACAAATTTGATAAAAATAAGCAATGCCCAAACCCCTTTGTGCTCCTCGAAGGCCTTCATGTTGAAGTACGACCTTTAATGCTTGAAAACTGTTGTGATAAGGTCGAGATGCTTCTGAAAGAGCGCCTGCCCTGACCAATTCACCTTGCAATTGAAGTCTAGTCTTTACTACCTTGATTTTATTTGTCAGAATATGATAATCATCGCATTTTGTGTTTTACCTCCCAAGGGTTAGTGAAGGTAACAGCACCACAAGCAGCAAGGCCGCCAATAGCGAAACCGACAGCGGTATCTTTGGCTTTGTTTCTAGCCACTGGTTTGAGTTGAACTGGTTTTTGTAGTGTTGACATTGTTAGAGATGAGAGAGAAAAGAGAAAACGTGGGGATAAACTTTGGACCAGTTTTATAACTGATAACCTAAACTACAGAGTGCTGATTGGTTGCTCAAATGACAAATTTTGAATCTTCAGGCCTTAATGGTTCCACATATCAATCGGTTCTTGATTTCACTTGTTCAAGTTTTCCCGGGTAATGAATGCGTATTTGTTAAAGCAGAAAGTCAGCAAGCGATTATTGTAGACAAGAAGCATTAAGCTTTGGTAGCCCACAAATTGAGAATTCAATACTACTCATGGAAATCTTGAGTTTGATAACTCTTGCTCTTCTTTCTGACGCTACAAGACGAAAAATAAAGCTATTGAAAAGCTTAAATACTCAAAATGAGCGCCAGACGTTCCAGTTTTTTTTCAATGTGTTTTCTTGCTAGTTACAGTATGAAAATGATGCGACATAAGCGAAAAAGCTCGTAAACATTTCTTCACATTTGCTCAATATTTTAGCAGCAAAGCTGCTGCGTTCTCTACATCAACAGACTTACAATGCAAAGATCTAAAACTTTTGTTATTGCGTCAAAGCTGAAAAACTACGTCTTCATGCAGTTCTCGGCACAAGCTCGATTTTTGATGCGGCGGGATGAAGATTTGGAGTTACCTTCCGTTTTCAATTTCCGCTCACAGCCATTTTGCATGTCCTGTGTCAGTTCATCCCACGTTCGCATTATAAAATGCCTATATTTTTATCCTCTCATGTTCTTTAGCACTCGAAGCCTCATACAACGCTTTAGAGTCATCCATTGCTAGCACATTTCATATGCCATCTAGAGCAAGAATGCTCAAATCACAGCTTAAACGAGCCATTCTTTGATGCACCATTGCTCGACAACCAGATTATCAAAACAGTCCATTTTTTGTTTGAAACATGTCCTTTTGAGACCAGCAATCGAATGGTATCATTGGTCTGCAAGTTTTGTGACCCATGGGGATCCACGGAGGTCCGTGAAGATGGAAAAAAAAAGTCGATCGAGAATTTTTGGAATGACCCATGTAGGCCTGATCCAACCGAGATGAGGTGAGACAATCTCTAGGCACTTCTGACAAAAAGAAAGCGAGTTTACTAAGACAGAAAAGGCGACTTAATCTGAGCATTGCCCTCAAATCTGCATTCAAAGTTCATTGTACACTGTAAATAATACAAAATAGGTCCATTATAGTATATTGACTAGTAAATGGTTACTTTTTCTTACATCATTTGATGCACAAAATATAAAAAGTAAGACTCGTAGTAGCAAGCGACACCTTTGAGGCTAAAGGAAACAACTTTAAGCATAACAAATCATGAATATCTTGTAGAGGGGCTTTGGATTTTAAACATCGACATTTTCTTCGCTCTTTTCTGCAGCCTTATTACCTTACAGAAGCAAGTGGAGTTCAATGTCCAGACGTGACATTTATCATTAGTGTATATCATTGTCTTAACATTTATCATGCAAGTTCCTATTGATAACTAACAAATGATGCATGTTCACAAATTATCAGCATCATTGAAAACATTGGCTCGATAGTTTTAAAGAACAGAAAAAAAAACGAACACGAAAATTCCTTCTTGTACGCGCATGTTCCGTCAAAGAGCTTTTTATTCTTTATTTTCTCGAGTGAGCAAGCGATACCTTAGAATGGACCACAAAACATATGGTATTGCAAAGAATGGTGTTACCATGAAGATCGAGTTGACAGAGAAAGAGGCTCAGATCTGTAATGTGCTTCAAGGCGTCTCTAGTCTTATTGCACAACAAAGACCTGAACTTCCTCTGATTGAATCCCGTATTGCTGGTGGTTGGGTTCGTGATAAGGTATATAAGCAAGCCTACTTCTCAACCTATACTTATGCAACTTAGCTTCTCGGCAAAGACTGTCATGATCTCGACATTGCCATCAATGACATGATGGGTTATGAGTTTGCAACCTATGTCAATAAATACCTTGAAAGTCAAGGTGTACCCACACGATCGATCGCCAAGATCGATAGTAATCCCGAGAAATCAAAGCACTTGGAAACAGCCACAACTAAACTTTTCGATCAAGAAGTTGACTTTTGTAATTTGCGTACCGAAATCTATGAAGGAGATAGTCGTATCCCCTCTCAAGTGGTAAATAGTCTTTATTTTCAGTAACGCACTCATGTATTTTAGACATTTGGAACACCTTCAGAAGATGCTTATCGCAGAGATATCACCATCAATAGTTTATTTTACAATGTTAACACACATTCTGTTGAAGATTTCACCAACAAAGTAATACATTTTATCGTCCAATTTGGTAGACTAATCAACAATCATAGGGTATTCCTGATCTAATCAAAGGATATATTCGTACACCACTTGCACCCTTTGAGACTTTTCGTGACGATCCTCTTCGTGTAATTCGTTGTATTCGTTTTGCCAGTCGATTCAACTTCAAAATGGTACCCGAATTATGTGAAGCAGCCAAGCACCCCGAGATCAGAGATGCTCTTGTCAGTAAAATTAGCCGAGAACGTATTGGTATTGAGCTTGACAAGATGATCACAGGTCCTTTCCCTCTTTTATCGCTTGAATTGATCCATCAATTGGATTTGTATCCTGTGGTGATGACATCTCCTGCCAACATTGTGCGTGGTACAGTAAGCACTTCAGATACGGCTGTGCGTGCTGTAGCCATTGTTGAATGGCTGTGTTCTCAAGAATCACAGTTATCTTCTACTTCAAAAGAAGAAAAAAGGACGCTTATCTTGGCTGCTAGTGTCTTGCCTTTTCTTGGTGTCTTTGTAGAACAAAAGAACAGAGAAGTCTTGGGTGTTCAATTAGTATTGCGTGATGCTATCAAGGTAAATCAACATGACTTGTTATTGGGATGCTAATACACGATAGACAAACAATGTGGATATCAACACTGTCTCTACTATTTTTCGAGGCATTGACCAACTTCAATCATTAGCCAATCAAAATCTGAATGAACCTGCTTCTCGTTCTCAACTAGGCATGCTTATCCGAGAACTGGGTGCATTATGGCAAACAGCCATCAAAATGACTACGGCAAAAGAATTACTAGATACCCTCTCTCATATTGACTTGGCCAACTTGACTAGTGCTCAACAAGTTTGCAACAAGTATAGTGCATTAATACAATTAGCCTTTGATTATGGCATTGCAGACTGTTATCAATGGAAACATATGGTTGATGGCAAAAGAGCAGCTCAAGTGGTTGGTGTAAAACCAGGTCCTGTTTTGACTGAATTACTCAAGGTTCAAATGACTTGGCAATTAGAACATCCTCAAGGCACAAGAGAAGAATGTGAAGAAGCACTTGTAAAGTACTGGCAAACTAGATAAATAAATAAAAAAAAAGTTTATTTCTTCTTTTGAAAGGTTACTTTGACATTGACCTTGTTGAGTGGTTGATAACGGGGTCTTGATGTTGCCTCATGTTCTACTTTCTCTTTAGTACCAAATTCGGATCGCATTATGGCTTCGAGTTCAAGTTCCATTTTTTGTTGATAACTGAGTTCAGGAGAAGGACTTTTATCTCTTGTGGTGATGATATCTCTTAAAGGCAAAATGTCTTTGGGCTCTTCTTCTTCTTCATCAGAAAGTAAGAAATCAAAACCTTGATTTAAGGGCTTGTTTTCTTTTTCTCCATTGGCTGATTTGAGATGAGCAACCAAATTTCGCTTGCGTTTCTTTTCTACAGGTTCTTGTGGCAATGATGTCTTGTTTAGAGATGTGTCTTCAAAAGGAAAAGTGTGTGGTAGTGTATTTGTATTAAAAGACTGAGGTGATATAGTATTAGGGAAAGGTGTAGTATTATAAAAAGGCATAGTAGGATCATTATCTAATAAGCTAGCAACATCATTAAGTCCAAGTGGATCATTGAGTATATTGTTCACATTCATAGGAGCATTGTACATGGGCTGGGGTTGTTGATAATGATAAAGTATATTGGTATGACTAGCAGGTGTATAATGAGGTAGGTGAGAAGAAGGTTGGGGGTCAAAAGCAAAAATATCAAATGAAGGTTCATAAGATGATGGTGTGGACACAGAAGGCTTGATTTGCTTCTTGGGTGATTTCTTTTTAGTTTTCTGTACAGGCGAGGATGAAGTAGAGGATGAACAAGAAGGTGAAGGTGAAGATTTTGTGAGTTTTTGCTTTGATTTCTTTTTCACCAGTTTCGTATCAGGTACGGCTCTTCTTTCCGCTGAAGCTACCATTAGTTTGATTTCGAGTGCTTTCTTATCTATCTTGGCTGGAAAATCAAAGATAGCATCGTCAATATTTGGTTCTTTGGGTGTTGGTTTGGGTTGTGAGAGTTCAACAGAAGAGTTGGAGGAAGAAGGTGAAGGAAGAGAGACTACTTTCTTGTTGTTTTCTTCTATCGCAGTATGGGAAAAGGGCACTTTACGTTTGAAAGTAAAAAGTGGCTCTCTCTTCTTTATGCCTCCAAACGCTGTAAACATATTTATGAAAGAAAAGAACAAAAAATTTTTCTTTCTGAGCCTATCAATCTCTATGAAACGCGTGCAATCTAAATATCGCGTGAAAAAAAAAGGGCGCGTAAATTCTCCTAATTTCTTTATTTGGCATTGTTTATTTTATACATTGTAAGATCTAAGGGTCATTCTTTTCATGATATATATATATATATATATATACTGTCTAAACAAGGTCAATAGCACTTTCAACTTCTTCTGATTGGCGTACAATACGGTAGTTTCCTGCACTTCTTTGAATTCCAATGCCTTTGTGACGAATCATTTTCTTAATTTCATCTACCCAAAAGACAGTACTGGTCACTAGAATAATTTTGAACAATTCAGACAAAGAAAGGGGCTCTGTTTGGAAAATAGACTGGAAAAAGGGTACATAGACAACAAACATCTGAGCTACAATGGAGCCACCTACAGCAATGTTAAACATTCTGTTCGAAAAGAAGCCAATAGAGAAAATGGATTGCTTTTCTGATCGACAAGCCAACGCATTAAACATATCAAAGAAGACAAAAGTAGTAAACGTCTATAGTGTGTGTGTGTGTGTGTGTGTGTTAGATCATACGATAAACAGACTTACTTACCATAGTAGCATCTTTGTTAGTTACGACACCATCAGCCATCTCAGAGACATAAACAAACATGGTGCCCAAAGTAACAATGACAGCTGCAGTCAAGACACGGGCGATTAAGCGAGACGTCAAGATATTTGTATTACGTGACCTTGGTGGCTTCTTCATGATTTCAGGATCAACAGGCTCAACACCTAAAGATTGAGCAGGAGGACCATCCATAATAATGTCTAATATCAAAAGTAAGCCTCTATTTTTTATATTCTTCATACTTTACTAATCCAAAGAATTTGCATAGCATTCAAAGGCGTCTTGAGTCCAAACAAAGTAGAGATAGCAATCAAAGAGAGAGCAGAGATACTTGTACTCAATTGGAAAGTCAAAAAGTTTTGAATATTGTAGAAAATAGCCTTGCCTTCTTCAATAGCATTCAAAATAGTAGAGAAATCATCATCTACCAAAATCATATCGGCTGCTTCTTTGGAGACATCCGTACCACTCTTGCCCATGGAAATACCAATATCAGCCATTTTCAAGGCAGGAGCATCATTGACACCATCACCGGTCATTGCAACCACAGCTCCTGTTTCTTGGAATGCACGTACAATAGCTAACTTATGCTTGGGGGTGGTTCGAGCAAAGACAGAGACGGAATGGATCATTTCTTGCAACTGGCGTTCTGACATGGTTTCAATATCATGACCAGTAATACAGCTTCCTTTAGAATTAATAGGGATACATAAACGACGAGCAATAGACATGGCAGTGGCTTCAGAATCACCTGTGATCATGACCACCTTAACACCACCTTGAATCAACTTTTTAATGGCATCACCTACACCTGGACGAGGAGGATCATGTACAGCCAAGAAACCAGTATAGCACAAGTTGTTTTCATTAGAGCCAAAGGCTGTACTGAGCACACGGAGACCATGAGAACTCATAGCAGCAACATGTTGAGTAACAGCTTCTTTTAATTCAGGTGTGAAGGGATGCTTTGTGAAATCAGAGGTATAATAAGTAGTACACTTGTCAATGAGGACTTCAGTAGCACCCTTGACATACACTATGCCAGAAGTTGTTTGGTCATCTTTTTCACGACAAGTGACAGACATGAATTTGGTATCAGAATCAAAAGGAACTTCATTTAAACGATCATAGTGCTATGCTATATTAGAAGCAACATTTAAATACATGCAGTCACTTACAATACGCTCATCTTGCATACCACTGCGAATAACAACATCCAGTAAGGCCATTTCAGTAGGCTGACCATAGATCTTGTTGTTTTCACCCACTAATGCATTGTTACACAAATTACCAATACGAAGTGTTTGACGCAAGGCTTCAGACATGTTGGAAGGTACCTTGTATTCATAATCAAATGTCTCTTGGTTTTCAATAGTAAATACTTTGGTGACAGTCATTTGGTTGACAGTCAAGGTACCTGTCTTATCAGCACAGACAACATTGACACTACCTAATGTTTCAACAGAAGGTAATTGCTTTACAATAGCTTTACGATTTGCCATACGAAGCACACCAAGAGCAAGAGTTACTGTGACGACAATAGGCAGACCTTCAGGAATAGCAGCCACAGCCAAACTCACTTGTTTTATGTCAGCCATTGTATATAGTATCATAAATAAGCTTACCACCAATCGTGAACATATCTAACCAACTACGCTTTTGAATCACACCAATCAATACAATCACACCAATCACACCGAATGAGAATATGGAGAGTTGTTTGCCGAGATCGTTCATGCTTATTTGAAGAGGTGTCTTTCTTACTTCGACCTAACAAAAGAGTCAATAAACAGATTCAACTTGGTAAGTTTACCTCTTGCATAAGCTCAAAAACATGACCAAATTCAGTGCTTTTACCAGTCGCTACAACAATACCTTCACCGTGTCCGTTGCGTACAAGTGTACCCATGAAGGCAATATTTTCTCGTTCATTCAAAGCTAACTCAGCATATGAAGTTGTGGCTAATACGTCGGCAATCTTTCTTCTGGGCTTGTTTTCACCTGTCAAATTTGACTCATCAATTTCTAACCCAACACTCTATACACAGTTCAGTTCTATAGTTGTATTCGATGGACTTACAGATACCAAACGGCAATCAGCAGGAATACGATCGCCTACACCGAAATGAACAATATCACCCGGCACCAAATCATTTGCCAACACATCAGCAATTTGTCCATCTCTGTATTATTTTATCAGAAACAATACTTGTTTTAACGCGTCTTTATACCTCACTAAATGACAATGATGTGGTACGAGTTTGTTTAATGCTTCCAGTGATTTCTCGGATCGATATTCTTGAACAAAAGCAACTAAGAACAAATTAAGCATTTTGTATGAATAGCATTATGTTTACCTGTAACTACAATCATAATAGCCTGCAGAGTATAATAAAAAAAAAAGGGAGAGTATATATATGTGTGTGTGCTTAATAAAAGGAGGATAAATTCAGGAGATAAACAAAATTACCATAGTAATACTAATAGCGTCGTCAAACTGACCCATAAGGACAGAAACACCGGCAGAGCCGAGTAAGAGTAAGATAAGAGGATCCTTAAAGGAATCAATAAATTTGGAAAACAGGGATTCTTCTTCGCCTGCTTCTAGTTCATTGATTCCGTAAATAGTACGCAAACCAAGTACATCTGATGTGTTTAAGCCTCTTTTTATGTCTGTGTTGAACTCATGAGCAACCTGTTCCACAGACTGTCGAGCTGCTTTAGCAGATGGTGTTGTCTTTCCTGTTGATAATGTCGCCATAGTAAACTATGCCAACTCGTATAAACGAAAAATATGACAGTTAAAAAAAAAAAAAAAAAAAAAAAGAAATAAAAGAAAAGAAATAAAGCCCCTTTACACACGCAGAATCTCGAAAACACAAAAATTAAAGAGGCGCATTATTTGATACGACCCAGTGCTTCTTTATTGTTTCTTTTAGTTTTCTTGTTTCTTTTCTTTGTTTACTTTGTTTGTATTCACTTGCATGAACATCAAAAGAGGAGATAGAGAGAGAAGGGCAGAAGGGCAGAAGGGGAGAAGGGGAGAAGGGGAGAAAGACAATATCTTGACAGCAATTAAGAAAGGAGCCAATCAAACATTGAGACGAAATTGTTGCACACAATTTAAAAAAGAATTCCAGGGAGAAGAAAGAGTCGATCATTGTTTGAAAAAGAAAGATGATCAACATTTCGATGTCCGCGTAGGAAACGCTTTTCTTGGACAAGAATGCCGTGTAACTGGTATTTTTTTATTAGATACATACAATTTACGATGCCCGATTTGAGAGATATACAATGAGCTTCATTCCCACTATTCGCTTTTCTCTGCAAACTAAACTTATTTTGGTCGGAGACCAAGGCTCGTTTGTATCAGATCAATCCTTGTAACTGTATGCCTTGAAAGGTACTAAAGTTCGCTCAGTTCATCTTCAGTTTTCATTTTTTGAACATGGCTACTTGTTAAGGTGACTCTATCGAAGCAACTTTAAAAGTTGCTGACACAATGTGGAACAATATCACAAAGAACCTTTCTGTCAATGTTTTCGCAAGCTTTGGCAATCGTAGCTAGATTTTTTTCTCGAGAACTGAGCTGAAGATTGAAGGTGGAGTCTATCGTCGTTTTGCAGCCAAAACAAAAGTGGTTCATTTCTAATTTTTAGGCCCAACAAGCATATCTATGTGTACCTTTTTGGTAGTCTAAACCTTTCAATCTAGCTATGAACCTAGCTATACTTTTTTTACGTAAATATATTGATAATCATAAGACGCTTCTTTCTTTAATATAAAAGGCAGGTCAGTGTTCTATCGCCTACAGGAAGCAGCCAATAGAATTCCAATTTTGGCTAAAGCGCTATCGGGGCTGGTTACGCGGTGCGGTAAGCAACTATTCCCAAGAAAACGATGAAGCTCACCCTATACAGTCGCAGTAAAGGCTCGAAATTAGATATATTCTTCCTTCTTTCGTAGGATCACTTCTTGAACAATGACCGTAAGTGTCCTTATTAGCCATCTGATGCGAAACGAGAGATGGATGGATTATGTTGAATATGAGATGAATTGATTGTTTTGGATAGTTGGCTATTGATCTTTTAAATCCTTCTGTTGAACACGAAAAGCGTTCTCACAAGCTCAAGCGTTTGGTGCAATCTCCCAACTCTTACTTTATGGATGTCAAATGTCCTGGTATGTAGAATGTTCAATTGATGAGTAGTTCATTAACATGCATAATATATAGGTTGTTTAAACATTAGCACTGTCTTCAGTCATGCTCAAACTGTTGTCTTGTGTTCTTCTTGTGGTACTGTTCTCTGTCAACCTACTGGTGGTCGTGCTCGTTTGACTGAAGGTTGTTCTTTCCGTAGAAAGGCCAACTAGATTTTACCATCAATCTGTATACATTCACACTTACACTTGTGTGCGCAATATTTCCACACACACACACACGTGCGCACATACAATTACATATACACACAAAAATTATATATATACACAGACGCAGCTGCGACATGCCTACGCCTAATAAAAAAAATGATATTGATTCAAACTGTATTTTCTATTTCTTTTTAGATGGCACCATAAGTTTTTTCTACAAGTAATTTCTGCTTCTTGGCTGTTGTATTGCGTCTGTTTAACATATGTCTTCGGATCACTCGAACCTTGTTTGTTACTAGTAAAAATATGAGTATCAAATAAAGACAATAGTGTCATTTACCATCCACATAAACATCTGTTTCGTCAATAATTTCCTAATTCAAAAGAGATGAGTGATTACATAATATTAATGCAAACAATGTTACTTCGCCAATAAGTTCTTCAATCACATCTTCTAAAGTAATGACACCAATAGCACCATGAGTATCGTTTGTGACAAGTGCCATATGGCCTATAAACACATAGACTAAGTATGGTTACTGTCTGATTCCACTTACTCTTGCCCTCTTGAAAGAAATTAAGGATGTCAAGACAACTTGTATCAGGTCCTGTCTCAGGCAATGCACTCAAGGGCAGCTGTTTCATTGGCAAAGCGTCTTCGGGATCATAAGTAATCAAACGCTTTGTCAATAACATGCCGACAAAATGAGCCTTGTCATCAGGCGCATGGATAGGAATACGAGAATAACCAGCTGTCAAGATTTTATCAACTAATGTTTCATCTAAAATATCGTCTGTTGAAAGTGTAAAGACGTCTTTGATAGGTGTCATGATAAACGAAACAGGTTTTTGTTTCAAGTCGAGTACAGCACCAATAATGGTTACTTCATCGGAAGTCAGTGCATCTACGTCGGAAGGATGGACTGCTTGGTGTAAGGAAACCAGTGTTTTTAAACCAGCCTTCTTGTAGACTGTGCCATGCGATTCACCAAGGACATAGTCTAACAATTTGGCTATGGGATAGGCAATAGGGTACATAATGTACATCAATACCAATACCATCCTATTTGAATGGTTAAATTATGATTTGACAAGCACTACTTTTTACCATGCTGTTTTTGCACCAATTGCTAATCCATGTCGGACACATATGGCTACACAAAAAAATGTCGATTATTCCTACATTAAAAAAAAAAGGAAGCTTACATTGAGGTATCACTCTATTCAGATGTTAGTTCTAATCCATTATACATAGTTTATACTTTACTCTCCAAAAATAACAATGAGAGCTGTAGAAATGACAACAGCTTGCCAACCTCCACTTAAGACACCATGTAAAATAATAGGCAGTGTTTCATTGACAATGACATTCGAAAGTAATAAAGTCACTAGTACCCAATGATTTCCTCGATCTAAAAGAGCTAAAACTTGTTTTGCATTCCTTCTTTCTGAAGGTGTACCGGATTCGATTAATACATGGAGATTTGTCTTGTCAAGGCCCATTAAACCAATCGTCAATCCTAAGAGAAGAGTCAGTAAAATCACATCTACATAAAGATACGTGCCTGCAAATACACCTCCTATAAAAACTAAAAATAGGATACACAAAAGTTTTTCATAAAGCTCAAATGATTGTACACGACTTTCGTTAAATAATAACGGTTGTCCCCATATTTTTTTAATGACAAGTTGAAGTAGTAATAGCCTTTTCAGCATAGCGTAAGAAAGAAAAAGAAAGAAAAAAGAGGAAGAAAAAAGAGAGTAAAAAAGAAGGATAAGTATCGTTTAAAGTGCCGCATTTAGGAGAACAAACAATTCATTATAGACTGTTACTAACAATCGCACTGGATCGGCTTATTATAAAGTTTTCTTTTTTTTTTTTTCAAGTTCTACTTTAGATCACATATAATTGCATAGATATGAAAAAGTACTTTTCTTTCAAACACAATCATGATAAAGCAAATGTTACTTAAACTTACACAAACTCAGGTTCATTTTCATAAATAAAAAGCCTTCGTTCACGGAAGTAGAAGTCCGATGTCAATCTTTTACCCTTTGAAATAATTTCTTTGCTCTTGCCTATAGACTCCAATTACAATGAACATGTGGCGCTAGCCTTTAGACGTATATTAAAAGAATGAAAAAAAGCGATAGAGTGTACTACCCACAAATCTAAAGAGACTAAGACCAGCTACGCTCCATAATAAAAAGCTCATGTAACTATTTGTCCTTGTATCGAACTCGCCTACACAATTAAACCTGTCAATGAACTATCCGCTTTGACGATTGTTCTACCTAGCTTGCCAAGATTGTTCACAGTACAGATAGCAATCACGAGTATTAAATTTGTAAGTATCCAACAGACCACAAGCCTCGTACGAAAGTTCTTGTAATAGTCTTCCTGTCTCTGCTTGGGATCGCCTGTTTTTATAGACAGCACCTTGTGTTCCAGATTCTGGACAGATGCTTCATACAGATAACCCACGTCTTTTTGTTCAGGCAAAGTGACTTCTGCTGTAGTTTTGCCTACTTTTGTTTCAACATGTCCTAAATAAGGTACCAAAGTGATGTCTTTTGTACCCCAACTAACATCATGAGTATTGCAAAAAGCGTACGTGTTTAAAATGTTAATGTAACTTGGTGCGAGCAAAAAATACTGCAAGAAACTTGTCACCATATGCCATGGATCTAGGAAAATAAGACTGGATAAAATATAGACGCCAAATGTAGAAGAAAGAGAAATGACAATATCTCGAAAGGGCCCATTAGAAATAAGGTCCACAATATTTTGTGGTTTTGACAGTTCAGAAAAAATACCATCGTAGGCAATCCACACAGACGCAAAAATTACATAGATCATAAGTAATGAGAAAAAAACCATGATCAAGCCATACGATCCTTGAGAACTATCAACACATAAGACACACATTTTCTTTTCTTCTTTTGTTTTTTCCTCTTTACCCTTGCGGACGATTGCCTATGGACATCAGAAATAAACAAATCATCAAGACAGCGTATATATAACTTAGTATAGTATGCACTACATTAGCTGTATTTTTATCAAATGGTGGATTTGACATGGTAGCTAATGACTTTGTCAAGATATAAAAACTAATAAAAAAGTTGCCCTTGTATGTTGTAAATTAAATAATCAATTGATTTACGACTTACGAGAGCAAACCATGAAAAAAGCCAATTGATACACAAATAGATCAACTCTATAAGTAATAGAAATTTCCTTTTGCCCGTATGATTCGTATTTAAAATTTTCCCCCAATGAACAAGGCTATAAACACCAGCAAAGAAAGATCCTCATTGCAAAAATTGAGCTTGATATAGTTATGTGTTGCTTATCTTACCATTTAACCATCTTCTACGTTGTGCAATAAATTCAGCAATGGTGAAGGGCACATCTGTTTCTCCATAAGCTCCAGAGACATAATACAATCGCCATTGTGAATTTCTTTTGGCTACCAATTCATAGCACAAAATCCGATCTTCAGCTAAATACATATTGGCATCAAATATACCTTCCAAGGATGCTACTAATGGGCTTGATGTGTCGCCCAAAAAATATTTTTTCAATGGTCCTTCATGTGTCATAGGATCATTCTGAATAGCAGAATATCGATAGGCTGAGAATGCACCAGGCAATACTTGAATATATCCCAAAAGACTCTCCAAGGGTTTGTCGAGGATATTTGAGATTTTATATTCAAAGTTTTGTGCCCCCACTAATGGATTTAATAGATAGACACCACCCTTACCTGTCATGACTTTGATTTGTCCACATGCACCACCAATATCTCTATGTTTATGAAATGGATGCCATAGTTTATAAATCGAATGAGGACCGGGTCTTGTTCCAACATCCATTAGAATGCAAACATTGGGTTGAAGAACAGGACAAATGGCTTGAAAGAACCAGCGATGTGAATTGATCTTGCGCTGGTTTTTTTCTTTGAGGCAAAAAATGATTTGTGTAGGCACAATGCCATCCATAACGCCTTGGTATGTCAAGTCTGGTGTTAGTGATAACTGAGTTGTGTACTATAAGCTATTCAGTCTGCGAGCAATCCACACTATGCTTATACCTCGTACAGATGAGCATGAACAGGTTTATCGTTGATTGCATTTTTAGCAATTCCTTCTTGGTAGACGCCCAAAACGGAAATCAGATCAAGCACTTTTCCATTTAGTTTCTCTCTTCCATCTGCAATTATGCAAACCACAACTTTTTGCCATGCATTTTCACCCTATTGAAACAGATAAATCTCTTTGAAGCTATACATAGGGAGCTTTTCTTAATTTACCCAAACTGAAGAGCGATACCGTTTTGCTAGTTGACCAATATTTTTCATAATACCATGCAATGTTCTTGATAACAAGACTTCATCTTCCTATAGAATGTTTAATGCATAAATTCGAACAAACAGTCACCGACATTGTACATCGTGATACAGATAGCGATCTCTGTTTCTCGCTTTATAAACTCTTGTCTGAGTGTATAAGACCTAGATTGAAATTCGGATGGATCACAGGTAACTGCTGTATATCGCATAAGATTAAACTCGGGCGAGTCACGCAATGGTACTCGCTCTAGGTATTGAGTAGGTACAGGGCAATTCAAGACAAGTCTTCCTTGAGGCATTTGGACGAGTCGTTTGACTGTCTTGTATCTTCTTTCTTGCCTAGCAGGTGCATAATAATAGTGGTTGGAAGAGATATCGGGTGACAATGGTGGCAAAGGTGCAGAGGGGCGGTAAATTGGTGGTGTTTGGTAATAGTGATATTCCATAAGTATAAAAAAAGGAAAGAGAGAAGTCTTGTTATTGTTTTGATTTAAATGGTAAAGGTTAGGTAATACACGCATAACTTTTATTTATATTTATTCATGAGATACAAAATTTGATAAAAATACCTGTTACAGTAATGACAACTTTTAATTGATATAAAATATTTTGCATAATATTCATCATTTGTCATATTTAAGGATGTTCTCTTTGGGCATCGAAAATACCAAGTATCGTAGTATGTCTTGATCGCCTATTGTTTGTGCATCGAATGATGAAAATATGAGTGTCTGTCTACTAGTCAATATCTACTGAAAGGTGTCTCTTTTATACTGATTACAGTGTACAATGAGCTTTGAATGCATATTTGAAGGCAATGCTCAGATCAAGTCGCCTTTTTCTGTCTTAGTAAACTCGTTTTCTTTTCCTTGAAAGTGCCTAGAGAACGTCTTCTCTGATTTTGGTGGGACCAGACCTACATTGGATCATTCCAAAATTTTTGATCAAGTTTCTGTCGAAAAATAAATTTCACAAAACTGCCAAAGTAATGATACCATTCGATTTCTTGCCCCCAAAGAACACGTTTTAAATGAGAAAACGGATTTTTTTGATAATATAATTGTCGAGTAATGGCGCATCAAAGAATAGTGCATTTAAGCAGTGTTTTGAGCGTTTTTGCTCTAGATGGCATATAAAATCAGTTATAAATGGCTCTTTCTAAAACACTTTGTATAACTTTGAGTGACGGAGAATATAGAAAAGTAAGAATATAGGTATTTTATAATATAGATGTGGAGTAAATGGACAAAAGATGTACAGGATGGCTAGTGTTAGAGGTTGAAAATAGAAGTAATTCGGTTCTTTCCAGCTGCATCGAAATCGGGCTTCTTTTAGTGGGTCCCTCCCAAGACCACTAATACGTGCGGCAAATAAAATGCTTAGAGCAATTTTATTTTCAAAATCTATAGATATATGCGAAAATGGTCGCTTTTTTGGAGTAGACTACGTTTGTTTCAGCATTTTCTTTTGTATCTTTCTACCTCTATCAAATGTATTTTGGCCTCTAAGATTGTACATAAGTTGCCAATAATACCTATCTGTACTTTTAACTTTCAATAATCAGGACAATTTTTTTTTTTTTTTTTTTTTTTTTTCGCTTTGGACTAAATTGAATCTTCCTAATTAGAAGAAACTATCAACCTTGGAAAGAAAGCGGTCAACTTTATATGTCATCATTGCTTTGGTGATGAATTTAATGAACCTGTTTTCATCCAGTCAAATAATCTATCACAAAAAAAAAAAAAATACTTATTGAGCAATTCAAATGGGAGAATGATATGTATCATTTGTTCCTTTTTTCTAACAACATACGCAAATGCATTATAGGTATTCAAAATGGATTATGTGCAAATAACTCATATTACTTTATCAGCATATCAGCGCTTTTCCTTTTGTTCTATGGTATTATTTCTCGTCTCTCTCTCTTTTGTGGTCACCTTACAAGGATACTTTAGAATATGTATGTAGGAGAGACCAATGGCTCAAACATCTGAATTGGTCGTTTTACTGCCAACATGATCAGTTTTACTAACCAAGGTTTTTGCCTGTTTAAGCTCTGATTAGCCTTTATTAATAGTGATGATTAACAGAATAGCTGGAATCACTTTCATATTCGAAACAATTATGGGTAGCATCATACTTAATCTGAAATCAAGAGCAAACCATTAGTAGTAGCATGTCATAAAGTCTACTTGAATGTTTTATTCTTTAAATTAAGGTATTTGCTATTTATTCAAAGTATCAAATTATCACGGCTTGCTACTTTGCACATCACCAACAATACGGTTGTATAGATAACCAGGCAGACAACACCTATAGATGTAAAGGAAAAAAAAAAAGTCGATCAGTATCAAGAGTATCTTCAAGTAATAATGTTTTTGTGCTAGTCAGAATCAGGCATGTTTTCTATTGTTATTTAGGTCCTTGTATAACTGACAAAATAGCTCTGTCAAAGGTGTCCTTCTCTACCAAGACGTTCGAGACGTACCGTATACCACTTGGGATGTACATGTTTGTACACTGTTCAACCAAAGGTAGCTGCACACAAGCAGAATGCAACCGGTCAGGACCAAAAAAGCAACCTCTCCATCTAGGCTACAAACGTTTTCACCATCAGAAGAATTACCTCCTCAGTAGCCATCACACAAGTGTGAACAGCATCATATTGGCTGAACGTATACCAGTCGGCTACAACACAAAGAGTAGTATTCAAACAGCTGGTATCCTGTAACAAGCAGATGCAGGACGTTCGGTATCCTAGGGTTGTTTGTCACTTTGTACAGAATTTTGAAAGTTACCAAGGCCTAAATAACAATAGAAAACATGCCAGTTGCTGACTAGCACTGACAAATACTTTCCTTGTAATGGTTTTAAAGCTAGCAACTTGCAACATCAGTGTATATCAACCGCCAAAACCAAATAAGATTTATCTGCCAAAGGTGTCCTTCTCTACCAAGACGTTCGAGACGTACCGTATACCACTTGGGATGTACATGTTTGTACACTGTTCAACCAAAGGTAGCTGCACACAAGCAGAATGCAACCGGTCAGGACCAAAAAAGCAACCTCTCCATCTAGGCTACAAACGTTTTCACCATCAGAAGAATTACCTCCTCAGTAGCCATCACACAAGTGTGAACAGCATCATATTGGCTGAACGTATACCAGTCGGCTACAACACAAAGAGTAGTATTCAAACAGCTGGTATCCTGTAACAAGCAGATGCAGGACGTTCGGTATCCTAGGGTTGTTTGTCACTTTGTACAGATCTTAAATGGCTGTTAAAATAGAGACAATAAAAATCACATTTTTCTCAAGAGTCATTCTTGACGTAAATAGCTGGACCGGACAGTTGGGTTTTAATATGAGAACGCGAAACATGTTGAACTCATGAGCAACCTGTTCCACAGACTGTCGAGCTGCTTTAGCAGATGGTGTTGTCTTTCCTGTTGATAATGTCGCCATAGTAAACTATGCCAACTCGTATAAACGAAAAATATGACAGTTAAAAAAAAAAAAAAAAAAAAAAGAAATAAAAGAAAAGAAATAAAGCCCCTTTACACACGCAGAATCTCGAAAACACAAAAATTAAAGAGGCGCATTATTTGATACGACCCAGTGCTTCTTTATTGTTTCTTTTAGTTTTCTTGTTTCTTTTCTTTGTTTACTTTGTTTGTATTCACTTGCATGAACATCAAAAGAGGAGATAGAGAGAGAAGGGCAGAAGGGCAGAAGGGGAGAAGGGGAGAAGGGGAGAAAGACAATATCTTGACAGCAATTAAGAAAGGAGCCAATCAAACATTGAGACGAAATTGTTGCACACAATTTAAAAAAGAATTCCAGGGAGAAGAAAGAGTCGATCATTGTTTGAAAAAGAAAGATGATCAACATTTCGATGTCCGCGTAGGAAACGCTTTTCTTGGACAAGAATGCGATCTCTGTTTCTCGCTTTATAAACTCTTGTCTGAGTGTATAAGACCTAGATTGAAATTCGGATGGATCACAGGTAACTGCTGTATATCGCATAAGATTAAACTCGGGCGAGTCACGCAATGGTACTCGCTCTAGGTATTGAGTAGGTACAGGGCAATTCAAGACAAGTCTTCCTTGAGGCATTTGGACGAGTCGTTTGACTGTCTTGTATCTTCTTTCTTGCCTAGCAGGTGCATAATAATAGTGGTTGGAAGAGATATCGGGTGACAATGGTGGCAAAGGTGCAGAGGGGCGGTAAATTGGTGGTGTTTGGTAATAGTGATATTCCATAAGTATAAAAAAAAGGAAAGAGAGAAGTCTTGTTATTGTTTTGATTTAAATGGTAAAGGTTAGGTAATACACGCATAACTTTTATTTATATTTATTCATGAGATACAAAATTTGATAAAAATACCTGTTACAGTAATGACAACTTTTAATTGATATAAAATATTTTGCATAATATTCATCATTTGTCATATTTAAGGATGTTCTCTTTGGGCATCGAAAATACCAAGTATCGTAGTATGTCTTGATCGCCTATTGTTTGTGCATCGAATGATGAAAATATGAGTGTCTGTCTACTAGTCAATATCTACTGAAAGGTGTCTCTTTTATACTGATTACAGTGTACAATGAGCTTTGAATGCATATTTGAAGGCAATGCTCAGATCAAGTCGCCTTTTTCTGTCTTAGTAAACTCGTTTTCTTTTCCTTGAAAGTGCCTAGAGAACGTCTTCTCTGATTTTGGTGGGACCAGACCTACATTGGATCATTCCAAAATTTTTGATCAAGTTTCTGTCGAAAAATAAATTTCACAAAACTGCCAAAGTAATGATACCATTCGATTTCTTGCCCCCAAAGAACACGTTTTAAATGAGAAAACGGATTTTTTTGATAATATAATTGTCGAGTAATGGCGCATCAAAGAATAGTGCATTTAAGCAGTGTTTTGAGCGTTTTTGCTCTAGATGGCATATAAAATCAGTTATAAATGGCTCTTTCTAAAACACTTTGTATAACTTTGAGTGACGGAGAATATAGAAAAGTAAGAATATAGGTATTTTATAATATAGATGTGGAGTAAATGGACAAAAGATGTACAGGATGGCTAGTGTTAGAGGTTGAAAATAGAAGTAATTCGGTTCTTTCCAGCTGCATCGAAATCGGGCTTCTTTTAGTGGGTCCCTCCCAAGACCACTAATACGTGCGGCAAATAAAATGCTTAGAGCAATTTTATTTTCAAAATCTATAGATATATGCGAAAATGGTCGCTTTTTTGGAGTAGACTACGTTTGTTTCAGCATTTTCTTTTGTATCTTTCTACCTCTATCAAATGTATTTTGGCCTCTAAGATTGTACATAAGTTGCCAATAATACCTATCTGTACTTTTAACTTTCAATAATCAGGACAATTTTTTTTTTTTTTTTTTTTTTTTTTTCGCTTTGGACTAAATTGAATCTTCCTAATTAGAAGAAACTATCAACCTTGGAAAGAAAGCGGTCAACTTTATATGTCATCATTGCTTTGGTGATGAATTTAATGAACCTGTTTTCATCCAGTCAAATAATCTATCACAAAAAAAAAAGAAAATTTAGCGTAGTATTTGAAAAAAAATTAGCATGCTTGTGTATGCGCAAAATGCGTGAGTTTATTAAATAGGTCTGCGTTGAAGGCAATCTTCAAATTTGGCAGCAGAGTATCTACAGAAGCCTTTAAGATCACTGTACAAAATTCTATTACAAGCATCTGCAATTCTCGAAGTCAATGTCTCCTCTTCCAAAAGCTGTTCCCTCTTGAGTTTGCTTTTGCAAACCGACCAGAATTGCTCAATGGGATTAAGCTCAGGCGAGTAAGGGGGGGGGAGGTACATGCACTTATAGCCTCGGCTCTCAATGAGATTCTGAATATCTTGATGCTTATGAATAGGAGCATTGTCCATGATCAAATAATGGCCACGGAATTCCTCATGACGATCCATGACATCCAAAACACAACTGATGAAATTGAAGTAATGTCCAGTAACTGTACCATTGTTACTGGCCACTTTTGCATTCGAACCTCCTGCTGCTTTTCTTTTCTTTGATGAGGGTAATGCTCTTGGTCTTCTTACACTAATGCTAACAACACCAAAAGGCGAGATGGCACCCAAAATGGTAGTAGTTTTTGCTCTTGTTTTGGGCACTTTCACGCTCGCACGCTCGCCTTCTTTGGACCAAGAAAAATTTCTCTTAAGGTTGATATGGAAAGCAGCTTCGTCAATGAACACACAGTTGCTAGTGAAGTCCATATCTGTTTTCATCCATCTCTTCACCCACTGATAGCGCTCTTCGATTTTTTCAGGACTGTTTCTCTCGAAAGCTTGGAAACGAGCCTGCTTGAAGGTAATCTTACACTTATCCCTGACAAACTTGTTGAAATCGCTTTTACTGATATCGAGTTTGCCAAATTTTTCTGTCAATACGTCAAGCATGTCGTCCAATGTAACAGAATTTGTGTTCTCGTCTGCCCATTCGATCATGAAATCTCTGTGCTCATCAGTTAAAATGGGCGGTCTGCCTACAGGTCTTCCACTGCCTGTAGCCCTTTGGATATGCTCCTGAGGATCTTTGTTGTTCTTGGCTACCCAGCCTTGTGCCGTTCGAACATTAATGTTGAGGGCCAAGGCAGCAGCACGAACACTCATTCCTTTTTCTTCGACAAGAAAAAAAAGCTTTTCTTTTTCAGCATCCTTGTAGTGCTTATATGCTTTTGTTCTCGCAGGTGTTTGCTTCAGCTCTGCAGGTAACTCAGCTTTCTTTTCGATCCCTCTCTCGGGAGGCTTTAAATCTGTGTATGTATCGTAGTCTGTTACGCTTTCGACTGGATACATCTCGTTGTCAATTTCCATTTCAAACTCTACAACTTCGTTTCCTTCAATGTCATAATATTATTCATTTTCGTTGAATATGCTATTTTTTCTTTCAAATACTACGCTAAATTTTCTTTTTAAGAGTACGCACATCTTTGTAACTTTAGACAAGAGAACATAGAACAGTAAACATAAATTGCTGCTCCAGCGTAAGAAACATCAATATCCTTCAGTAGCATCGAAAAACTCCTGGTTTTCTTCATCATTGTTAGAGCCTTCATCAAGCTGAACCATTGGTAGATCTGCTCCCAGTACTTGGTTGGTAAAATCCACCGTCGATAAGTGTTCCCGCCGGTAATGGTTCTGAAATGTCCTTGAATCAACCCAGTTGCCCAGCGTCTGTATATCGTCAAGAGATATTCCTTGTTTTAACGCAATAGAGGATGCAATTGAGCGTACACTGACTCTTAATTCGCTTGTAGACTGTCGTAGTACCTTTCTCAGCCAAGAAGAGATGGTGGTAGTTTTGACCGCTTGTTGAGGACGCTTGGTGTTGACGAATAAAACGTCAGGCTGGCGTTTGACTTTTGCCACCGGATGGTCTTTTAATGCTTGAAAAGATAACACTGGACAAATGTCCGAAACTTGATGGGGATGAATAAGTACTGGTTTGATAATTCGTCTGCCTTGTCTAGTTTCTTTAGGTGCCACAATATCAAATAGTAAGTTGCCCTGATTGTCCCGAGTTGCAGATAAAAGAGATATTCTCTGTAAGTCTGATGATTGCAAAAAGGCCGCCATTGCTACCAAAAACGCAGTCTTAATTTGCAGATCTGCCAAAGAGCAACGCTTGATGTTGATCTTGGCTACGAATTGTATACTTGGTTTTAAGTCGATTGTTGGACGATGGATTGCTAGAGGCGGGGCTTGTTTGGTGACTGCATTCATGAAAACTTTCAGCACCTTTTCTTGTGAAATTGAATCCGCATGTGGGTGTAACTGTAGAACTGCTGATCGTCATAATTTGAGCGTTGACAATTGAAAATGTTTTTCCGTTTTTATATCTTGTAAAAAGTTGACCAATTGTGTAGCTGTAAATGCCGAAGGAGGGACCTGATGGCGTTGTGCCCAGAGAATGAACTGCTGTTGTGGTTTTTGGTAGGTACGATTGGTACTGATGGCTGTACTGTATTGTTGATTTATTGTGTCTGAAGCTGTGTTTGAGAGTTGCTTGTTGTCAAATTTGCTGCGGATAAGAGCCAAACGGATAGTCTCCAAGTCGGTTTCAACGGCCAAGGTGTGTTCCTGCTGGGGCAAGTCAGGTGCTCCGTGTACAGAAAAATTGGTGCTTGCACTGCCAGTGCTTGAAACACCGGAAACCATAATGCACTCGTCCAATGTGGGACTACCAACGTTGCTAATGGCACCTTTTCCTTGACTATTTTCTGTAAGCACTTGCTGATTAAGTTCCATGGCGGGTTGATCCAAGGATGGCGAAATTGATTCCATGCTAGGCTGAATGCGTCTGTTGCATAGGCTTCGGGATCTGATGTCCATGATACAAACTTTTTTACGAGGGATGTCGTTCTGCCCGCAAAGAGGTCGATGTCGTTTCTTCCCCATTGTTTTTGAGCCTGGTTGTGCACTGGTCGTCGTATCATCCAATTGTTCTTGCTGTACTGTCTTCTTGATTGTTGATCCGCTACTTGATTCTGTTGACCCGGAATGTGCTTGGCTTCCACCATGATGTTGCGTTTCAGACACCACTTCCAAAGCTGAGTTGCAAGCTTCATCAACGATAGCGATTTTGTTCCCCCTTGCTTGTTGATATACGCCACTGATGTTGTATTGTCCGTGCGTATCAAAATCTTTTTGTTGTGTAACTGAGGAAAGGTCTTGAGAGTGAGATACGCTGCCATGAGTTCTCGCCAATTTATCGACTGGTCGGCTTCGTCGCTTGTCCAGTGCCCGTATGCAGTTAGGTCGCCATAATGGCAACCCCAACCTGTATTGCTTGCATCTACGTGAACTGTCTCGGTTGGTTCGTGGCCGATGAATGACTTGCCGTTCCATTTGCTGAGGTTCTTCAACCACCATTTTTTTTTTAAATTGCTGTAATTGGGCTTGTGTTGAACAGAGGCCGTTTGGCTGGGCTGAAGTTGGGAACGCCGAACCAACGACTGTGTTTCGACACGGTTGCCAGAAAAAGACTTCTTGTTGAACTTTTGAGCTGCTTGCAAGGCCTTTGCTGTACTGAATTGATTGTTTATCAAGTTATGAAACTCGTCTTGTGCCATAATATAGTCTGTATTGTTTGCAGCAGATAATCTAAAGTTTGGATTGATTGCCTTGAGTGCAATGTTTTTTCTAGAGTCTGTCAAATCGTAATTAGCATGCAAAACTAAATGTCTAATATCATTGATGATTTGCAAGTATCTGTGAACGTTTGGATTGTCAATTTCAGAGCTGATCTCATGTGCCAAGGTATCCAAAGGTCTGAATATTGCTGAAGTAACATATTGATGATGCTTGAGCATTTTGTCTTCCCTTTTTTGATCATAACTCATTCTGGCATATGCTTCAGGCATGGTGGCGGGTGGTTGATAATTGACTCCTTGGATGGCAGGATATCTTTCAATCAATTGTTTACGTTGGTTGTCAGACATTCCTGGACCAATAGTTGCGATAATTCTCGAGAAGGATTCCAATCATGATGGGGTTGTGTCTCAAAAGAATGTACTTGTTGTTGGGTGTTGAAAAGTGGGTCTTCTGCTTCTATGTCTTGTTCCTGTTGGCTTTGTTATTACTGTTGTTGATTCTGGAGTTCTTGATTTTGCATGATTTGCTCAATCATTGCTTGTTGTGCAGCCATTTGCTGTTGTAAGGCTGCTAAAATATCACTGTTTGGTACTGCCATTTGAATATAACAATGATGTTTCGGAATTTACTATGAAAAGCGAGCGATAAAAAGAAGATCAAAGAACAAATAACATTACTTTCACATATTTATACTTGATTTTAATTTGACCTATATATTTTACTTACACATATTTATCGAATAAAACTAAGAAGATCACAGCAATTTATGTTTAATGTTCTATGTTCGAAGGTCTCAATAAAATAGAGACAATAAAAAACACATTTTTCTCAAGAGTCATTCTTGACGTAAATAGCTGGACCGGACAGCTGGGTTTTAATATGAGGGCGACTGCGCATAAAAAAAAAAGAAATAGCAATAAAGGCTACTATCTTTCTCTCTCTCTCTCTCTCTCAGAAAAGATCCTCAAGTTGTACGTTATAAAAAAATGTCACAGCCACGGTACTTCCATGAAAACGATTTCAACAAATGGTCTTTAAGAGATGCATTTGAGGATTACCTTCCAAAATTTAACTATGATTACCAAAGAACAAAAGATGCATTAGTAAAAGATCTTCACGAACTATCTGTTTCATCTTTAATTTTTAAAAGTGCTACGAAAAAAGCAAACGATCTTTTACAAGACCTCAAAGTAAGTGAATATTATGCTTTGTCTACTCTGAATTACTAAGTGATTTCGATCAGAAAAATAATACATCTCTTAAAAATCTGGCTGATCAATTAAAGGTAATCCATGGCAACCCATTTCATTTTATTTTTTGGAATAGCATTCATATTTTATTTAGCCCTGTCATAGCGTTGTTAACGTCTCTCACAATAATATAAATACTATCAATATTAACACTGGTAATTTTAATGACAAGCTAGCAATGAAAACACTAATTAAATGGTATGTTCAGCCAGCACTGTATTAAACAAAGAATCAGTAAGTGACAATAGATGCTATATGCTCTAATCAACTGCAAAATACTTAGGTTCAAAAAGAACACGAAGAGGTTGATCTTGAAGATAGTCCATTCATTGATCATACACCACTTGACTCTATAAGGACTAAAATATTAAGATACCGAGCCAATGCAAAATACATACATGAACCACATAAACAAGAGTACGTATGATCAATGAAAACAAACTTACAATATTAGCTTGCTTTTCCATGGTATTGTTGATTTAACCCCTTCTTCATCAACGAAATTAAGAGAAGTTATTGATGATGATGAAATCAACATATTGACTTCCAAGTTAATGAAAGACGAAATTAACAAAGAACACATTCATGAGTTGAAAGAGTTTGCCTTTGGTGTTTTTCATGATAAGGTAAATTCTATAAATGAAAATATGTTATAAAGACATTTGTTTACAGGACAACTCGCAAAATCTCGAAAAAATCTTGAAAGCTGCAAAGCTTGCCCTTGTTGATCAAAATGATGATGATTGTCAATCAAAGAAACAAGTATTGAAGATGATGAAGCACTGGTAAAGTAGTCATGAGTTTCATTCAAGAGCTTATTGTTCGATAGTCTTAGAAGCCATGAAGATGGGAAATCCTCCTTACTTCTCAAACAAGGCGAAATGAACTATATTGTCTCTTTCATGGGTCCGTTGATAAAAACTCTATTGCAATACAATGCAGATAAGATGAAGTTAATCTGGTAAGAAGCAAAACATTTAATTTGGACTTTGATCGACGAACAAACCTTGATTTTAGGGGTGACCAGAGCCTTGAAGTTGATAAACAAGAAAAGCAAAGTGTGCAAAAAGATGATGAAAGAAGGGCACAAGGAAAGATTCCAGACGCGATTATTTATCTAACAAACCATGACTATCCCTTCGTAATCCTAGAAGTCAGCGGGCCACCAAACATCACAAATCACAACCACTTTGTCGGCGACAAAATCAAAATGGCCAAACACTTGAAGTGTATTCTAAAGTCATTAAGAAGGACAATTAGCTCTGGTGATGAAGGCATTTATGAAGAAATAAATGTCTATGGCATTCAAGTCTACTGCAAGTATGAAATCCTTCAAGTGTCTTGTCTAACTTGTTGAATAGTAAACAAAATGTACATTTATAGCTTCTCTCAGCCATTCCGCGGTGTTTATGTGTACAGAGAGGAACTCTCTTTTGCTCTCACTCGTCCATTTGGGTTGCAAAAGAATTTCCTCCCTAGGCTTGTAAAAAGCATGTTTATAGTCAAGGTTTGTATGAAAACCTATCATTTTAGTATCTAACAAATGATTACTTTGTCAACAATAGTCTCTCCTCGAAAGCAGCGCTACTTCGATTGAGAAATTCATCCATAGCGAAGATGGTGATGACGCTTCTGACGATTCAAGGGATACTGTCTTTGTTTCACCAAAGAAACAAAAAACAAGAGAATAATAAATATAGCGCATATGTGCAGTAAATAGGAAGTTTACATCATAAGGATATCTTAAAAAAGCCACATTGATTTCTGCTTGTCTTTTATCTTTCTGATTTTTAAAAGCATAACAATGACAACGCCTGTCGTTCTGGATGAAGACACTTACACAGAAGCCATCAGTCTTATTATTGAACGCGACTTCTTTCCCAACCTTGCAAAACTAAGAGCGCAACAAGACTATTTAGAAGCACAACGCAATGGTACTTTTACTGATCTTCAAGAAGCAGGAAAGGCTTTACGCCAAGTCGATGCCAATCCCCTAAAAACCAAAAGAGATGGTCAACAGAGCATCAACTTTTATGTTGAAAATGAGCCTCGTATTGAAAAGCGTGTCAATCTCAACTTGTCACTTGATCAGTTTCAAACACTTTATACAAGTGAAGATAATGCTTCGTTTACCGATCTACTCGAGAAAGCCAATGTGAAGATCAAAGAGCAGAACAAGTGGTTTTTTGATCGTGAATCAAAGCAGTTGCGACTGACTGACAGACCTCATGAATCGAGTCCTGTTCAATTGATAGAAGCGGGCAATCAATCAACATTGGGCTGGAAATATCAAGCAAGGAATTCACTCATGTATTTTCCTCAAGGAAAAAGCGAGTCTTGGGTAAACCAGAATGAAGGCAGAGGACAGCCAAAATCCATTGAATATCACAACACACATATCTTGACAGAACAGGCAAGTTGTATCAACGTAGTCAAACTATTAACTTGATACAGACAGTCAAAAAGAATCCGAATCCTACAACAGATCAGGGATCATTAATGGCATGGAACCAATTGAATGGATTACAGCGAGATAACGATAACCCTTCATCCACCCCAAAAATTCGAGGATTTAGTCTCGTCGATGCCACACCTACTTTAAGTCCAACTCGTATGGGAACACCTGAAATGACTTGGGGTTCTATTGAAGGCACACCCTTATTGATTTCTAATAACAATGGATCAAAGACACCTGGTTATTCATTACCAAAGATATCTAAGCGTGAAGAATTAGGCATGAAATTGTCAGAGAAAGCATCCAAAGCATACCGAAAAAAGACAAATGAAAGACAAAGAGCCATTCAAGGTACTCCTCGATCAGGGTAAGTGCTTTTGTTTTTGTTACATAAGCTCACTAGTTTAGGGCTGGATTAATGTCACCTGCTGCTCAACATTTGCTAAGGAAAAGCCATAAAACACCAACGCAGCGAGCCATGTCAGGATTCGGTGAAGCACTTCGAAGTACTTATAGTGGATCACCATCCTTAGGTATCTCAACACCAAAGACAATTCGACGCCCAGGAGCCACACCTACTCCCATTGGACTATTCCGAGCAGGAATAACACCACAGCATTCACTTGACAAAAAAAAGTAAATAATAAAAAAAAAACAATGTTTTATTTCTTTTTTTTTTTTTTTTTTTTTGTGTATATTATATAAAAAATGTATCTAATCAGAGTCAGATTCAGTAACATAATCGGCATCATCAGAATCAGAATCAGAATCAGAATCAGAGTCAGAGTCAGAATCATGCTTGTCTTTCTTGTCTTTCTTGTCTTTGCTTGAACCACCAGCCAAAGCAGAAGCAAAACCTTGTTCACGCATTAATTTCATTTGGCCAGCAATAGAATCTTCTTCAGGTTCAGAGATAGAGTCATCCACTTCTTCTTCTTCAGGGAGATCAGCAGGATCTTGTACTTTGAGCTTAACATCTTGTAAAATATCAGTGCCAACATAAGTATCTGACTTGACATACAAAGAGAAGGTGTATACACCAGGCTTGGGTGGACCAGGGAAAGGAATCTTGACAGTTTGTTCATCAACAATATCAGTCACTTTTTTGTGAGGGACCAAGATACGGTTCACTTTGGGATCACCCAAAAAGATCCACCAACAAGGCTTCTTTTCTCCAGCATAATAAGGTGTGTGAGCCATAGGTAAAGATGGGCCATTGTTCTTCTTTTCATCGTCAGGATTAATAATAGCTTCATCCTGTTCTTCTTCCTTTTCATTCGTGACTTCCATGCTAGTTACCTTGCCATTCTTCAATTTCAAGATAAACGTAATGATAGCGCCTGTAGTCACAATGTTATCCCCAATCACCTTAAAGACAGCCTTTTGAACAGACAATTTAGGAATACGGTTGGCAACTTCCACAATATCAAGATATTCATCATCAGAAACAGACTTTAAGAATTGTTTACGTTCATCTTCAGACATGTCACAGACTTGTTGGACACTAGTGACATTGACTTTCTTGTTACGATAGTGACGACGCAAGAGAGCGTTGGAAATATGAGGCAATTGCTTAACACTGGGTTCGCCAGGATAAGTAGCTTGCAAAAAGTGTTGTTGCAATTCCATCAACTCACATGTGCTGCTTAACCATTGCTTCACAGTAGCGATTTGTAAGAGTCCTTGCAAAAGATGAATGGATTTGTCAACAATGAACTGTTGGTCTTCGACCAGAGCTTTGGTGGCGCCCTTGGATTCAAGATCAATACGAAGGAGATAAGCATAGATAAGCGTACGGGCTTTGCGACTAAAGGCAGGGACAGCATCTGAGAGACGATCGAATTTCTCACCCAATCTGTTCTCGAGTTCTTCAGCAATAGCACTGTTGATACTCTTGAGTGCCTTTTCTTCACCTGGACGCACATCAGCCTCTTCCTTGAATTCGATAGCACCAGACAAAACACGAATGATTTCTTTAAATCCATCATTTTCTTTCAGTCCCTTTACAAAAACGCCCATGGTTCTGTTCAAGATCTTATCTTTAGTAAGACGACGTGATTTATACCACCATTGAGCCTAAGAAAAGAGACATGAGCCATATGCATCTAACGTGTTACACTTACAATAAAATAAGGCAAACCAAGACCAAAAGCAAGAGCATAGAAACCCAAGACGTACATACCATTGCCTTCAACAAGACCCTTAGGAAGAGCAACACCCATTGTGAATGATTGCTTGCCATCAGGGTGACCAAATTCTTCATAGTTTCTACGAGTATCTTCATCCGTCAAACTATGAGCAAAGACATTAGAAAATGTGCTAAACGCGCGTT